GGGGGCGCAAAATCTCGTGTATGCAACAACCCGCGTCTTAGGCGCGGAGTGGCTTGCAGCAGCTCTGGTTTGATCTGCACCAATCGTGCTCGTTTCCAAGATGCAAGATCTTTCCAATCTCGGAATTGGCATATATGATCTTGAGGAGACGAATAGGCAGGTTGTTGGCGATTATCTGGTTATAGATGCTCGGTAGAAGATCCGAGAGGTGGGTTGTTTATGAAGTCTTAGCATACCTACCAACCGATTGAGCAGACAAGCCGAAGAATAGTAGTTCCAGTAAGAGATGAGTTCAACGTTCATGAGAAGTTGAGCTTCGCAGCAAGACTAGCAGAAAGTGATGCGTTTTATCAACGAACAATAGGTGCCTTTTGGCCACTGTCGTGAGAGATCAGTGTCGCAGGTATTGTCAATGCAACGTTTTCCTAATGTTATTACCTCGACGGCATACTTGTACTGCACGGCGCGCGTCCTAAGCGCCCAAGCCGCGATCTTATCAATTCAAACACCTGGACGGATGCGCGTCATGTCTTATTACCATGGGCTCCGTGTACAGAGTGTTCACGCTCTCCTTCCGCGAAAGGACAGCAGCCTAGTAGATTCGGGCACATGATACAACCACTACTACATGTATTACAGAGTAGCAGCGCTACGGGACTAGCTTTGGACCCTACGAGCGCAGGTGACGAACGATAGTATCACCATGGACTTGTTGGAGGATTTGCGGCCAATGAGACAGAAGGGCCACGCCTGAACAAGGGTGCCCTAATCTGCAGGTTGCTTTGAGATGAGATTAGATGCGGGTTCTTGGGTGATTGGGGTTGCGTGCTACGTAGCACGAGCATTGATTATTGCTCCGACATCCCTTGGGAACCTGCGTCTAATAGTAGTTGTACATACTCTTGGCTTACAGTTTTCAAACGAATAAAACACAGAATTCGAAAAGATAGGCGTATAGAATTCAAATCAATCACAAGCCCGTGGAATCGCATTATCCCATGGGGCACGAATAATTGCTCGTGGAAATGGATACGACAGACGGTGCTTTTTTTTTCCAAGCCACGACTCATAATCACCGGAAATCTGGCTGTGTCTGTATCGGATTCTGGTGAACGCAAGACCCCAGTGAGATGAGGCTGAGGCTTGCGTACGCAATTCAAGAGATGCGGGCAGCTTGTGTCCGTTTCCTTCCGGCCAGCGGTTCCCTTATGCCCCGATAGTCCGCACATCTGGTGCCTTTTCCAGTCCAGGACAAGACGGACGGCATTGAGTTACGAACAACGGTCAAAACCCGTGCTTTTTCGATGAAATTGGTGGATCAATGCTATGTACAACCGTTATTGCAGGCATCACGGAGGCCTCGTTCCTGGATTGCGAGATCCCAACTCGGACGGCAATTGGACAACAAGTTTGGAATGGCCACAACAAGCCAGACCCCCCTCGTCCCATAAACCCAGACCCAGAAACCCCCCGATCCCGCCGTAGCGCGGGCGATTGCAGAGCAAATCAGGGCCCGGCAAGACCGCAATTCAGGGGGAACTGAGTCCACTCTCCCCAGCCCTTCTAACCGGCGTGCTAATACTGCATACCACTAAAAAGGTAGCCGAACGCTTACGCAAAATGGCGCCAACGAGCCATGAGGCGAGGCGAGAACAAGGCGAACGACTCGCCTTTGCTGCTGGCAGGGGGCTTTCACGGCCAACAAGTCGGGTTTGTCGTGAGAAAGGGTTGGGGAGACTGCAATGCTGGTGGTGATGAGTCCAAAGGGCAGTGGTTATCAAACAGGTCGTGGCAGCTGCTGGTAGCAAGTCGTGATACTATTTGAACGCATTGAACGAAGCAGGTCTGCACACCGACGATTGGGGTTCGGTGGAGAGAGGCCATTTCTCGCCAGCCCAGCAGACAGCCAGTCAGGATGCGCGACATGAGCCGAAGCAGCCAAAGAGACTGGAGTCGACGAGCTTGCCTTTTCGGGGGCTCAACCCATAACGTAGGTAGGTACCTACATGGTAAGGTAGGAAGAGACAATTGAGTGAAGACATCCAGGTGAGATCAAGCTGTATGTAGTTGTAGGTACTTCTGCAATGCCCAGCCCGTAGCGAGATGCAAGTACCTGCCCTGCAGAGGCGTCTCCCCTGACCTTGTCCGGCGCATTTAGTATTATTACGCACATACGATACATACAAGTGTGTTTTTGCACCGGAAAGATCCAACTGAGAGGGTGTTACGGAGCAACATCAAGTACGCTGGGGATTATCACCGCCTTCCGATCGATCTGTGCAGTTCGTGTCCGCTCTTCCAGAAGAGCCTGGTTGCCAACGGCTGTTTTCTCTCTTCGTCTCCGACCCCTGCTTTTCTTTTGCTTCCTCCATCACCCTTCCTTCAGCTTTCTCTCTCCAAGATCATCTCAGATCGTCCACGGGAATCTGTGGGAGTGCCAGCTAGGACATACATACCCGGTCTGGTGTTTCCTCCCCCCCATGCCGCGCTCCCTCCTCCGTCTGCACCCAAACTCGCCACGGGCCCGTCTGGCAAGAAATTGCACCCGACCTTTTTAGATTCTACCAACAAGGGCATAGCAGCTCATTTCCGACCTTGCACCAGATCATTGATCTCTGCCAGCTAGGAAAACCGCCAAAGCGCCCCCCCTTTTGACACACACCCCCGGGGCAACGTGTGTGGCCAAGTCAGCCCTTTCGATTCGAGCTTTGCCGCATCCCTGCCCTGGGTCTCTACTATCTTGCACTGCCGTTTCAAGCGCCGTTGCGGGTTCTGCCTTGCTTTATTACTCTCTTTTTTCTTTCCCTTTGCCTTTTGCGTCTCACGCCACGCCTCATCCCCTTGGCCCAGCTGGTAGTACTCAATCACACACAGGCTTGATATTACCCGACCTGACCTGGTCTGGCCTGATCGAGCTTGCTAGTATTGCCGGTGGTGGTGCCAGTATTACTGCCGTCTGCGTGCAAAGCCTTGGAGCCCGCCTTTCAGAGCACTTGCGCCGCCGGCACTGACACTGACGCTGGGGGGGGCTTGTTCTGACACTCCAGCCGCTGCTTGTGAGCGACTTGAGACATCGAATCGTTGCGGCTTTCAAAAAGGCTGCCGGTGCACCAGCTGGCCCCAACGCCCCGGCTCTGGCGATTGGAGCTCTCAATGTTGACAGGCCACATGCAGACAGACGACGACACGCAGCTCTCTTGCACTCGACTCGATACCTGGCCCTGCCTGTCTGTCTGCTTGCCTATCCTGATTTCAACACTCGCTCTCTTCCTCTGATATCAACCCTCTTGGAGCTACCTCGATACTCCGTCCAGTCCGTTCCATTCAGCCTCCATCTACTGCCCGCCCGGGATTGGCGCAGTTTGCCCGGTATTACAGCAGGTACAGGTACCGACCTAGGGGCGCCACAGTGTGGGGATCGGCGGCTTAGCAGCACGTCCAGCGCCTTTGTCTAGGTCTCTTCTGGCTCGACCACCGCCAGCTTCGTTCCACTGCCGCTTCCATCCTGCAGGCACGGGCGCAACACCAACCACATCTTGCAATCTCGTGGCGTCTGGGCTAGCCGCTTCCCTCTAGTACCGCTGCTGCTACTCGTCCTCAACCTTCTCCCTCCTCCCGCCTCCCTCCCACCATGAGCACCGTCAGCGACCGCAATGCGCCGCTCTCTCCAGTCTCTGTAGGCGGCAGCGAGTGGTCCTTCTCCCGCTACCAGGCCAACGACGACGGCCGCGGCTCCTATCCCGCCCGGCCAAACAACATCCTCACCTCGCCCCCCAACTCGGGCTCGGCGGCCTCGTCCGGGACCATGAGCATGAATGGCTTCCCTCCGGGGCCGACCAACACCGGGGGCCCGTCGCCGCCGCCCTCCGTCGGCCGCTCCAGCAACGGCATGAACATGTACGCCAGGAGCGAGGCCGGCGGCGAGTCGCCCACCACCGCCATCGACGAGGGCGTCCTGGCCGACCACTACGTCGCCCTGCGCGTCTTCCTCACCTCGCGCGACCCCAACATCAAGCAGCCGCCCAACAAGGCCCGCGACAAGCTGCTGCGCCTGTCGCCCGTCCAGTTCTTCGAGCTCAGCACCGACGTCTACGACGAGCTGATGCGCCGCCAGGCCGCCGCGCGCATCCCCCCCAATGCGCCCAACGTGCCGCCCGCCTTCCTGCTGCCCGAGAAGACGTTCCATCCCAAGCGGAATCAGGCCCGCCAGCGCCTCTCTTCGCTCGGGCCTCCTCGCTTCCGAGACCTCGCCGCCGATGTCTTCCACGAGCTGGAGCGCCGGTATCCGCAGTTCATGGGCAACGACATCCCGCGCGTGGGCAGCTCCATGTCCAACCGCTCGGGGCCCATGAACCGCACAGGAACGCCCGTCAACGGAGGTGACTACCCGCCCAGGGGACAGAGCCGCATGCGAAGGCCGTCCAACGCCAGCTCCATCAGAGGACCGCCGCCCATCGACACCTACGGTGTGCCGCCCTCGCCCAGCATCCCCAATGGCAACTTTGCTCGGCCAATGCCGCGACATCCCACGCAGAACAACACGATCGTACCCAATAAGAGCACAATGATTGAAGAGGACGACGATGGCGCTGATGATTATGGGCTCGGAGAATCGTCCGAGAATGGACAAGCATCTTCAGAGGTGAGTTTCGATGCCAGGGTTTCTTTTGCAAACTCTCAACCATTCGATACCTTGTGACGATGGGGCCAATGGGCTTATTCTAACTGGTGACAGGCGGACAAGAAGATCATCGAGGACTACGAGGCGCAAGTGAAAGACTTGAATTCCAAGATTCAAAGCATGCAAGATGAAATCAAGAAGAAGGAAGAGGAAATCAATAGTTTACGCGATAACCACCAGTCCCAGGCCACCGCCAAGGATGAAGAGAAGCAGGAACTGGCAGAAGCCCGCTCAGACCTCGAGGGCAAGCTGACGGAGGCGGAAAAGCTCAGCAACTCGCTGAAGCAGGAGCTGGAGCGCATGCGCGAAGAACACGAAAACGAGACACGGCAGCTTCGGGAACAGGTGCGACAGAGCGTCAGCGTCATGTCCTCTGCGAGTGTAAATGAGGATCTGCAGCGGGAAAACGAGGAGCTGCGACAGTCGCTCCAGCTACAGCAGCAGGTTACGGAGGAGGCGCGGGCCGAAGCTCGAGAGTTTCTGCGTGAGATGCGGCAGCTCTCTCAGCAGAGCGGTTCTACATATGAGAAGCAGGCAGAGCTCGAAAAGACGATTGAGCAGCTCGAGCGCGAGGTTCGGGAGTGGAGGAACCGCTACGCCAAGACCAAGACCCAGATCAGAAGCCTGCGAGGCTCTTCCGCCGGATTCAGCGTGGATGGAGAGTCCACCAAGCTCCCGAGCGACAACACCCTGCTGGACGAGGGTGGACGGGTCAGGGACGTTCACGTCACCAAGTACCAGATGGCCATTGACGAGCTCCTGCAAAAGGTCCGCGACGACAACCCAGAAAACGTCATAGACGCCATGAAGGCAGTCGTGGTCAGCGTCCGGCTCATTACGAGAGACCTGGACGAGTCCGCGCCGCGCGGAGATGAAGCGTCACAGCAGCAGCAGGGAAAGCTCAGGTCGAGGATCTCCGCCACCGCGAACAGCTTGATTACCGTCTCCAAGAGCTTTGCGGCGAGCGCCGGCATCACTCCCATCTCCCTTGTGGATGCCGCGGCGTCACATCTGACCGTAGCCATTGTTGAGATGCTTAGGGCCGTCAAAATCCGACCCACGCCCACCGAGGAGCTGGAGGACGACGAGGATGGAAACGCAACCCCCATCGACTCCAGCGGCTTCTTCTCCCCGCGCAGCACGGCGCGAGGATCGACAACCCACGACGGCCTGCCTCCGGCCCCGGCTTTCAAGACTCTTGCCAACATCAGGGCTAGCATCGAGTCCTCGGCCTACAGCCCCGTCAACTCCCCCCGGGCATCGGTAGATGCGTATGCGAAGTCGGCGCCCAACGGACACACTGAGGAGCACTACGACGGCCCAATCGCAGGTCTGAAGGTACGGGCTTAGGGCGACAACTAACCAAGTTGAAGAAATACATACAAAACACGACCGACGACGTGAACTGACGATGGCCCAGACCTACCTTGAAGAACAAAACACCCTGTTGATACCCGAGATCCACAATCTAGTGAACTGTGCTCGCGCGGACGGTGACATTGGCCAAATCTCCACGCACGTCGGCTCCATCAATGGCTTTGTGGATAAGATTGTCTCGGAGACTCGACGATACGGACGCGGCAACATGGTCGCCCGCCTGAGCGAGTGCCGAGACCGCCTCGTCCAAGCCAACCGCCGAGGCCAGGAAATGGCGGCCTCTCAAGTCGACGAGAGGGAGTGGAAAGCTTGGTCCCTGATGTTGCCACCGATTGCGTTTGAGATTGCCCGGGAAACCATGGACCTTGTTGAAATGGTGGAGGAGCTGGCGGCGTCACAAGACGCAGACGACTTTTCATGATGTTGGCGAGCCGTCATTAATCATTAATCACAATATACCGCTTTCTTTTTCTGTTTGTTTTTGTTACCTTGGGAAGAGAAGCAGGCAGCAGGAAGGGGTCTATCGATACTTTCGAGGGACATGGGTCAGGTTATCCCCCTTCCTCATCCGGTATTCTACTAGATGCTTCCATCTTCGTTGCCGGCGTCACCCCGTCACCGTGGTCGTTTTCTTTCCCTGTTTCTTCTCTTGGAGGGTGAGGAGGAGTCTCAATACCCCCTTGTGTATATGTTTTTTTTTTCTTCTTTCGCGGCAAGGCCTTTGTTGTTGTTGTTGTTGTTCTGCTTGTCTATCTCATACTCGATTGATATCGGCTGGCCTGTGTTGCCTGGCTTTTTATTTAGCTTCCTCTTTTTTACTTCTTTTTTTTTTTTTTTTCCAGCGGGGGATGCGAGAAGGAAACATGCCCTGACGAAGTTATGCGGTCAGGAGAAACGAGCCGGTTTTTATTGGCCTTACTGTTGGCGGGTATCAAGAATGGCATCATGGCCGCGAGTGGATGGGAAAGGAAAGGGCATTTGGTTGTGGGAAAGAATGGTGGTTTCTGACCCGTATGCAGAGAATGAAAAGAATCAATAAAAACGGTGCATTCACAGCTTCTATTCTTTCCGCCGCTGTGCTGGGTTGTGTCCTTTTCTGGGCTCATCCTCACTCTCCTCCTAAGGTACCTTGTATTTGGTGATACAACGACGAGCAACGCATAGAGTCGTATATTAGGTCAGACGTTGAACATCACCTCATTGTCTCGGGCGAATTTGAGCCTCTTGCATCAATGTCCCGAAATACCGTTGCACAAAGTCCACTATTTTATCCCGAGATGGTCCTTTTGCGCATCTTGCAATTCCTTCTCTCTACCTACCTACGTAAAAGAGTACGAGTACTGTACTGTGTCGCTGCTTCATATCAACCTCTGTGCTCACACTACAAAAACAAAATCAATCAGCAGCCCGCCGAACCCCTGAACAGATCTCCCCCGCGTCACAGACTCAGATAGTAAAAGGCAAAATCACTGTTTTTTCCCCCTAAAAGATGAAAATGGGGGGAGGGGGGACCTGTCGATCCCCAGAACGGGCAATTCGAAGCTAGCCTGATCCCTGTTCTCCCGCTTTTTTCCTTTTTGTGGTGGGTGGTGGGTGGTGTGGGAGAAGAGCATTGGCTCGATTTTGCGATCCCGCGCTGTCCACCCTTGGAACATGAGGGTCAAGGCAAGGCAAAAGGCATCGCAGTTCTTGACAAAAGCATGTATTACAGGAAAGGCTGTTTATGTGTAGGGAAATTGGATAACTTGGGTAGGAGTGGCTGGCTAGGCCTTATTGGCTGCTTGAAAAGATGAATGATGGATGGATGGGCTTCCGGATTCGGGTTGTGTGTTGTTGCACCATGGGAGTGAAGGGAGTGAGTGCATACCTATGGACTGGTGTATGGATGTACTATGTCGTATGCACGGCATCACTTGGATCGTGGATTGATTCGATCTCTGCATGACCTGCAGCCGCAAAGTACTATCGTCTCCCTACCTTACCTTGCCTACTATACCTTAGATCGCGGTCTTCATAGTACGGAATCACCAGGCGCCTCCAGAACAGCCCCGTCGCCAGCTCAGCCGGACAGGTACCTGTCAAACACGCAGCCGCGCCCGCCAAACGGCAGGTACCCATTAGCACCTGGGACCAAGGAAAACGAAAACGCCCCCGAAAAGCTGGAAACTGCCACCACCACCTTGACACTCACCTTTGCCTACCTCATTTCTTCTTTCTTCTCTTCTTCTTCTTCCTCTTCCATCGCCTTGGATTGCCTGCTCTCGAGGTTCTTTCCACTTCTTTCCCTCCAACCTCCAACGGCGTTTCTCTCTTCTACCTTACTTTAACCATCCCTCTTTTTTCTTCTCCTCTCCCCTCTGTCCCTCTTCTCTGTTGCATCATCTCCGCCTCTCCTCTCTCCGTCTACCGCACTTGTCTGATTTCTCCTCCGAAGGCGTTTTGGTACCGGATATAAGGTAGCCCTGGCTTGATTTTGACGTCAGTGAGGGCCAGAGGTTTTTCTTCGCAATAGCGCCGAGAATTCTGCTTTTCTGGCGTTCTGGGGAGGGCTTTTTGGCGAAGTCGTCTTCTTCTGCGATTACCCTACTGCGGCTACCGTTGTCCTCCTTCAACCTAGGTCGTTTGTTCCCAGTCTTTGGAGGAAGCAACACACCCTCCAGCTCGTCTATCCCTCGACTCTCCGGCCCTTTTCTCTCTTCAACTCCCTCATTTTCTTTCTTTTTTTTCTTTTCCCCCTTTAGACCAACGACGAGGCAGATTCGACTTTGACTTTTCAAGAGCAGCACCTTGCCCTGGTTGTCTTTCCGCATGGTTGATTCTCCTCGAAGATCGTGTTTGCTCAAGGTGCAGCTACCCGTGCCCTCTTTTCCCGGGGGGGGGCGGAAACAGCCTCACTCTCTTCAACACGGCCGGGACCTGTTTCAGCCTTGCCCAGGACCAACAACATCTTCACCTTTTTTCTCCACGAGTTGTTCACACCTTTTCAATCCCAAGTACAGCTTCGGGGCGGAGCAGCACCGCCAAAGGCAGACCCGAAAGCAGCCCACGTTTCAGCCTTTGGTCTTCTCGGCCCTCGCGCAGCACCCCGTCTGTTACTTCCGGAGCCGTTCAGTAGTCGGCATTCTCCCCAAATAATCCTGTCGACTACCTTGCAGGTGCGAGGTGTTGGCCGCTCACACTTTCAGCGATCGCTGCTCGTTCTGAAGGACCATGGAGAACACTTCCGTTTACGAGGCCGCCAAGGGTGCCTGCGATGTGGCTCGGAACATGGAAAAGTGCCCAAAGGAAAGCCCGCCAGAGATGAACGCCGCTCAGCTCTTGCCTGCGTCTTCGTCGTGTTTGGCTCTTGAAAATGGCGCCGAGTGGCCCATCTCAGAAATGAGGACCAACAGCCTCCTCAATAAGGAGGACGAGAACCCAACTCGCAATACCGAGCCTCTCACACAATCGACAGAAGGACCGCAAGAGCAACTTTCCGCACCAGCCGTCAGCTTAATATCAATGCACCCTTTACCGGAAGCGACGGTTGATTCGACACTGACCCTTGAAGAAATGACTGCCTCGCTGCCTATCGGTACTAAAGAACCAGCCCTGGAAGCAACTGAGGATCAGCGACAGTCGGAGCCAGAAACTCCCGCGTCCCCTTGTCCACTGCCGGAGCCAGACAAGTCGGTCGACGAAGTTGAGATGGTCAGGTTTGGCAGCTCGACAGAAAACTGCAGCTCTCCAATGACCAGAAGCAGTCGACTTAGCTCGCCCTTGAGTGAGCTTGAAGCTCTTCCAATAGCATTTTCTTATGACGGCCCCCCTGGGCATCGAATTCTACATCTGAGGCCAACGCCCGAGCAGTGGACCGACTTTCCCGCCCTGCTTGCTTTCGCACGGAGCCTTCACGCCGAGCAAGACGGTTGCTTCAAGATCGTGCTTCCCAAGGAGCTTCAGGAACCGCTTCCGGAAAAGAAGTCGCAACAGGCCCCTGCAAATGCGTATCGTATCCGCCAGACGAATCATCGGACGTTCTGGCAGGTTAGCACAGTTCCAAGCGATGGCACCTTTTCTTCTTCCGAGCCGGACGCCGAGCTTTCGGCAACTGCGGAGGAATGTTTCAAAAGACTGAAAAGGCTCTTTAACAAGAGCATTGATAGGCAATTGCGGCATATTCGGTACCGTGTGGACGTTCCTGCGTGGACTGCAAAGCAGAGACTGGAAGCAGGCGTTCCGGAACGGAGTCCAATCCATCCCCTAGCGGGGGACAAGTTGGATCACACAAGGGCAATCATTCCCGGAGTTCATACGCCCTATGTCTACGAATCTGCCCAGCACTTTGGAGCTACCTTTCAGCTCCACGCCGAGGATTTCCGCTTGTCGTCGCTGAACCATCTATACAAGGGCCGGAAGATATGGGTAGTGGTTCCGTCTACGGCCGTTGACATTGCTGAGGAGGCCCTTAACCGGAAGGGCAGGTGCTCCCAGTTTATGCGTCATCGCGCCGAGTTCTTCTTCCCAGACAAGCTGCAGAAAATGGGCATCCCGTACCGCATTGTTGATCAGCGCCCTGGCGAAACCATTGTCATATTGCCAGATGCGTACCATGAGGGTTTCAGCACCGGCTACACGCTGGCCGAGGCCAAGAATTATGCAGATGCTGAATGGACATCCGCCACGTATCAGCCATGCGAGTCGAGTTGTCAGTTGGCAACGGCCATTCCAGAGGAGTACATGCGGCCTTTGAAAGAAGGAGAAGCGCGACTCGACCTGTGTGAGGGCTATGACGGGCATGGCGACGGCGAAAAAAACCCCGAGCAGCAGCAGCAGCCCGAAGAAGAATTGCGGGTTGATGATGGGATGTTGTCGACTGGTGGACTACCGTCGAGCCAGTCGCTCAAGCGACGGACGGAGTGTGATCTCCTAGAGGAAGGCACTGCTAAACACCCTCGACTGGACTAAGGACTTGTTCTTTCATGGGATACTCTCCCCTATTGTTTTTTTCTAACTCTGCAATGCTTTAGGGGCTGGTGATATGGGCGTCGATAAAGGAAGACGGGCTGGATCTATCGTCCTTTCTTTTTCTTATTTCTTTTGTGAAGGCATATGGGATATCTCTGGTCGACAGATAACGCATGGTATGGTAATGAAAGGGACGCGGAGGAACATTTCCTCGGCGAAAAAGGAACGCAAGGGCGTACTGGGTCGACCTGTAAAGGAATGCCGATGATATCTTTGAGGGGCCAACTGGGCAATGTCATGGCGTGGCAACATGGATTGACACTGGGAAAAGGGATAGCAGATCTTTCGGGGCGGCGGAGGGACCTGGACATATGAACTGATAGAGAAGGGCAAAGAAAGGGCTTGGGGGACTGGGCGTTTTCATCGAGCTGGAAATCTGCAATTCTTTCCTGATCTCGTTTGATTTTGTTTGGTTAGATTCAATCTTGATCGGCAGATCTTAAATGATGGATACGCTTATGGGCTTGACGCCATTACCTTACTAGTAGTCTCTGGGCAGCTACATAAGCCATCGAGCGTCATGCTGGTTGATGCTATGCGAGTCGGACACAGCAAAAGTGGTTCATTAGAGAGCACGTAGGTAAATGTATTCGTAATTCCTTCAACTCCATCTTCTGCTTCTTCGGGAAAAAAACCTCTCCCCCCTTCGCTTCTTCGTTTACGCATTAGTTTCGTTTCATGACATCTAGCCAACGTAACAAAATTACTATTTCCAAACAATGCAGGCCAACGTTTCGATGCTTTCGTGAAAAAAATCATGTATATCGAGTCACGTACGCAGTCTCATGACCACCGGGATCATGATTTGCAGTCTCACAAGTCTCTCGCCCCCTCTTTATTTTCTCGTCTTCTAAAGTCGCCCATCAAACACCCTTCTTCTCTTAGTATCCACGCCTCTCCTGGTGCTGTCGGTCCAACTCGTCACGGAAGGCATTCCGGGTGGTGCTGCCCTGGTGGTGCTCAAAGCTCTCGTTGGTGGGCGTACCCGCCAAGCTGCCCAGGGCCTCGCTGTCGCGGCGCCCCGAGATGGGCGCGTCGTGGTACTCGCCGTCGGAGAGGTGGTCGTCGGCGTTGTGCAGCTGGATGCTGGCGGCGTCCTTTTGGTAGCCGCCGGGGCGGAAGAGGTTGTTGTTGCGGCGGGCCTTGCGGCCGGAGTAGCCGTGGCGGGAGCGGCCCATGATGCTGCCGAGGTGGATGCGGCGCGCGCTGCGGTTCCAGAGGAAGACGCCGACGACGATGAAGAGGACGCCGCCGAGGGCGACGGGCAGGGCGATGGACAGGGTGCGGCCCTTGGGCACCTGGGGCTCGGGGTTGGAGGGCAGGGCCGGGTCCTGCAGGGCGACGTGCAGCGGGACGGAGCTGTTGGAGTCCTTGGAGCCGCGGGGGGCGACCTGCAGCGTGATGGTGACGTTGTTTGTCTTTTGGCCCTTGAGCATGCCGCTCGTGACGGTCAGGGGCCAGACGCCCCAGGAGGTGGGCACGCGGTCCTGGTCAAAGGTCTTGAGCTTGACGAACTCGTTGCTCGTCTTGTTGAGGTAGTCGAGGCGGACGGTGATTTCGTACGTCGAGTTGGAGACCTTGGCGCTGCTGCCTGTCTTGTTGTAGTAGTCGGGGTCCCAGGTGACTGTGTGTGCCCATCAAGCAAAGTCCGATTGTTAGCCCAAACAATGTTTGGTTTTCCTTCATGCTTTTGGTCCCTTTTTCTCCTCGCTTTCATCCAGAATTGTTGTTCCGAAAAAACTCACTGTAGTAGGTGTTGCCCGTCAGCAGGGTGCTGCTGTTGTAGGGCGAGCAAAAGGGCGCGTCGTCGCCGTCCTTGTTGTAGCAGCGCGAGAAGACGCCCTCGCCGTCCTTGGACGTGGCCGTCGGGTTGGGCGGGCGGCCGGTGCTGGTGGTGATGGAGCCCCAGGTGGTCCAGGTGTAGACCGAGGCGGTGATGTCGTGCGGCGCGACGCTGACCAGCGTGGGCGTGCCGCTGATGGTGGTCGTCACGGGCGTGATGGTCTTGACGGGCTTGCCCTCGTCGTCGACGGTGACCCAGGGGGCCGTGGGATCGGCTCGCGGCTCGAGGTTGGCGCGGCGGGCGAGGTCGAGGGCTGCCGCCGCCGGCGGTTGGGGCTCCGGGGTGGCCTTGGGCATGGCCATGGCAGGGCGGCAGAGCGCGGCTGCGGCGCCGAGGAGGGCGATGGCGTGCATTGTGAGTTGAATTGTCCCCTTTTTGGCTCCTTGTATGACTTCAATTGGTGGGCTTGGAAGTTCAAGAGTCGTTCGAGACCTCGAGGGTTGGGGTTTGGAGGGACGCGTCGAGGAATATGTAGATGGCGGGAAAGACGAGGACAGCTCAATGTCGCGTCTACCTAGCTAACGAAGGTGTGATACTAATCAATTGCCACAAGGAAACACCAAACAAGAGAGAGAGGGACGAGGATAGAGAAAAGGGGAGGAGAGGGGTCAAGAAGGAGAGAGTGAGAGAGAGAGAGAGAGAAGGGAAAACAAAACAAGGAGTGAAGGGAAAAAAAAAGGCCAGCAGAGTTTCACCACTGCTCTGCTTAGTACGGAGTTCTCCGGCGTCTTCTCCTTGCCTGCATTGTGTGTCCCCATCACCACTAAAAATCCGGCTAAGCTGACAAGGTTGAACGCAACAAAAACAAAAGGTACAAGTTGCCTTCTTACTACAGCAGCCGAATTGCCCAAACGGGAACAGCGAACCTTTTTCTCAACGCTCTAATTTGATGGAATGACAAAATCCCGCTGGGGGACCTTGCAGATGGATCGTGGACGCTTGTGCTGGTTTGGCTTTGTTGGAGTGGGGGGGAAGAATAGGGGGGAGGGGACTTGGGGACTCTCTAGTTCTCGCACTTGCATTAGAACGAGAAGAATCTCGACTTCGAATGATAGAGACAGAAGTCTTCAGTTGCTTTTCCTCTCTTACTTCTCCTTCATCATCAATATGCGGTGGACACACAGCTCTGCCTGGAATTTCCTCTCATCTCATGTAGCATATAGATACTACAAGCTGGTTGGGGAACCTCAGCATCATGGGCGATGTCTGGTGAGATGGAGCAACGCTCCCCCGCCGCCACCACACAGACCTTTTTTTTTCCCCCCCAGCGTTGACCGCTCATGGCAACAATCCATGGTTTACCAACTCTTGGCACGAGCACCCGCATGAATTACTACCTTGGCAGAACTTTCGTTAGGGGGTGTCATGGATTGGTCTTCTTCGCCTGTTAGCGAGAACAGCGGTGCTTTTTCGTATCGTAGGCCTAGCGAGCGATGAGCAAATCGGCCAGTTGCGGTTCGCTGCATATCATTTGGCAATGGGGATGTCCTGCGGCTGCTGCGAAGCGAGACATGCGGTCCGCTAAGCCGGGGGGCGGTTGATGTACATACAACTATCAAGCGCCATACGATGATGCGCATCGACGGCTATTCATCTCATTGATTCTCCCGTCCACGCTCAACTCGCGGAGCATTGTGATAGCGTTATTAAAGAATCGGACCACGAGCTGTACAAGTTACTGTGATGCCGGCGAGCATGACATTGTCTGTGTGTCTTGGTCGATGCTTTGAACAGCCTGTGGGTCAGTCAAGGGCCCATAACAGAGATCCCGGTCCCGGTCGATCCCGGTATCAGCGGTTCAACGCCATCAATGACTGCACTCACGAAGCCATGGAATATCTATATCTTGAGGAAGTGTATACCATGCATACTTTGCCGCCATACCACGGTGGAAGCAGCTGAAACATGCTCAACCAGTTTCACCATTACTGACTAGTATATAGCCATACCAAGTATCGAGCTGCATAAAATTCGCAGCGACCCTTCCCTAGATTCGAGAATCAAGTGGCAACCAGACTTTGTAATCCCGTTCCCTTCAAATGATCACGTTGTTAAGCTGGTCATGGTCCTCATCGGCCGTGATATAGAACAAAGCTCATAGATGGCCGCCATCATAACCGCCTATATAACGTGTGTCGCTCCAAAAGTTGTGTAACCCCAATTGCCCAAAAGGGGATATATAGTTTCCCTTAGTTGGACAACGACAGACTGTGTAAGCTGTTAGTCTATATGCTCAAAGCCTGTATATAGGCAGATGACACTACACTCGCCTTTGTTGAGGTCGTCGTGCTGTGCGTAAGTAAACTGCCCACTGGTTTTGCCCAAGGGAGCTGGGCTCATGGGCGTCCGTTCAAGCAAATCTCGGATCCTCTGATCCTCTTCGAAGGCATCGATACACTAGATCACATCTTTTTTGCTTCCATTCAATGGAACAAAGCAATCAAGGAGTGATGGAGCGGATGGGCATTCCGTCGTCTCCAAACTCAATGGCCCTTCTCTTTTTTATGCCATTGCCGTCATCCTGGATGGTGATGGCGCCCATATACCTGGAAAAGGCTGAGATCTCAATCTCTTCCGATTCGGACGAAAAGTCGTCTTCGTCGCTGTCTTCAAAGACTTGGCTGTGCATGGACTGCTCGGCCATTTGGACCAGAGTCTGGGTTTCATCGTCACGCCACTGCTGGGGCATGAACGGCACAAGGTGCTTTTCGAGTGGCAGTACCAATGTTAGAATGTCGACTTCGAAACTCGCCTTGGCTCCAAGCTCTCCGCGTCAGTCAAGACTTACCTGAATCTGCGCCGCTGGCGTTGCCGGAGGCGCAGCAGCATCCCCAGAAGGCACATTCAGAAACGACTCGCGCCTCTCGCTAGCCTTGACGAGGACAGGCCGCTTCGTAAAGTACTTTGCCGCAAACTCGGCCTTCTTGGCCTTGTCCTTGGCCTCCCACTCGGCGCGGGCCTTTGCCAGAGCAGCGGCCCTGATGGCCTCGACCCTGGCGCGCTCCTCGAAGAGCTTGGCCGCGATCTCGGTGCTCTTGCACTCCTTGGTCGGGCACTCGTAGACGGTCATGTGGCGCTTGATGCGCTGGCGGTTGTTCTCGGGGAACTGCTCGCACTCCGAGGGGTGCTGGGACGGGAGGCCGAGAGCGCAGCCCTTCTTGAGGAGCCGCCTGTTCTCGGCGCAGCGATCCCAGTTGTACTGTCTCCAGGCGCCGCAGAATCTGCATTTGACAATGTATTGCAGACACATTGCTTGGTGAGTATGAAGAAATGGATATGTTGCGACTGTGAATTGCTTCCTGGCCTAAACGGAGTGATGTTGTGCAGCACAGACGGGGTTGGAGGAAGGAAGACGATGACGAGAAAGAAGAAGGAGAGGTCGACAAGTGCAGGGCGGTGCGCGTTCAACTTCCAGGGCAATCGATGTACGGCAGAATCTCGAAACTGCTGAACAGCTTGCAGCTGCGTGACGATGGCGCCGTTCACTGGCTCTCAACGCTTGGGTAGATGGTTCAAGGGGGCAGCCAAGTGCTGAAGCAGGAACCCCCAAGCTGCCCGTCAGTGGGCAGATGGCAAAGCACGATAGGGGATGCAGAAGATGACGCATTTCAGCTCACTTCGCCCTCACTTTGGCCGTTTGTTGGCAGGATTTTGCTCGCCGGGGGCAGTGAGCCAGCGATGGATGGGACGAACTTGCATTTGCCCAGCCTCTGGTGCATGGGTAGAGGTAGTTCTAGACCACTGACGGCCCTTGATACCACAGGCCGTGATCATCCTCTAGAATTTGGACGTCTTTTCGGGTAGGGAGGTTTGTGTGCATGTCATTAGTCCATTCGTCCAACACCATAGTGATACCTCAAGCCTCTGGGTCAACCGACTCTCCTGTTCAGGACATCCTGCGTATTTTTCCATCTATCGAAGAGCCAACTTTTGAGCTCACTTTGAAGCACTACAATTGCGGGCCGCCAGAGTCTTAGATGTATGCCTGGATAAAGGTAGAGATCCATTTGAACGTCGTAGGCGTGGGGTCCCCTTTTGAACGGCTATGCCTTTGTTCTAGACCTCCGGCATTGCCTGTATTCATGAACATAACGATCACTCAACAGGCGTTTGAGCTTCTTCCAATCCTTCTCTCATCTTTTCTCCTCTTCTGCGACCTCTTAGCCCTTTTAAATCTCGAATGCTTCCGTGTACGGCTCGATGTTCTGCGTGCTACTGCTCATTCAGAGGAGTCGCCAACACGGCCACCCGCTAAGCATGTACACTTCTTGGAAATATAGCTATTTTGGATGATAATTCTTCGGCGCATATGCAGTCGCACAAAGGATCCATTTTCACATGATTCTGAACCCTGGTATAAGGTTGTTTGTAAGCACCTCTGTGGAGATGATAAAATGCTTCCGGAAAAGAGCATGGCGGATAAGGCTGACTTTACAGCTCGGATTGCCATCTCTTATTCGGTGCTTTAATGTCCCGAGACCCAGAGAAGCGTGATGAAGCTCCGAGAACAAGGAGGAGAGAAACCGATGACCCCAGTCGACGCATCCATCTAGGCTGCATCGGGCTTCTCTCCCCCATCCCTTTCGTTCCTGATGTCCTTCCAAGTCCAAGAAGATCTTTGAGGAGGGCGACTTTTGGGATTACCAACAGCGACAAGCTCGTCTTGTCTGGCTTCCAGCCTTCATCTTACTGTTGGGTCCAAGACGAATCATGATCCATGTCATCCTCCCAAAATGGATGACGTCGCCGCAGTCAGACACACTCGTGATAAGGATTTTGCGGGCGTCGTATCCTCGTAATGTTGATATCCAACGTGACCATGCAAGTAATATCTCTGCAGAGTGCCGCATCGCAGCCTCATCTCTGCTCGTCTATCAATCGCCAATCCAACACAGCAGGGCACCACCCAGCAGCCACCTAGTAGTATATATGAAAACACCATCTAGATCTGCCGCCGCCAGGCCTATTCAGAGTAACAACGCCCGTTTACTCGTCCAGCTGGCACTCCCATATCTCGGCATTTTCCTCGACTGCTCCTCGACTGAGAGAGCGTCAAGCGGAAACTCCATGGCTCGCTCGCCCCAAGTGCGGAACGGAATCGTCTCGAGCCTGGTAATGCCGACTGAAGCCTCGTCTCCCCGCATTGTCATGCAAAGGCATGCCTCTGCCCTGTACGGCTCGGATGTACTCCGTAGCTGGCAGATCGTCCGTTGATCCCTGCAAATCACACAGCCATGGGGCTCGGAGTCTGCCAAATCTGCGTCGTGCGGTCGCTCAGCGTCAGCCAGCCAGCTTCCTTGTAAATCTGACAGCAGACGTCCGAGCATCTCAACGTGATACAAGGACACCATCTGTGTCAAAGTTGTCGAGGTTGCGTCGGTCCAGCCTTTGTTGCTCTGCTTGCTTGGGCAATTTCAGGCACCGAATACCGAGGCCAGGCGGGCGGCTATAGCAGGCATATGCTCGTCGTCAGGCTGTGGCAGGATGGCAGGGCCCAGCCAAAGCGGCTACATTAGCATCGCTTGTATGTGCGCCGTGTGTGGTCCGGGGCTGACGACAGGATATCCGAAAAGGAAAGCATACATGAACATACCATACCTACCATACACGAGCACGCACACATGTAGGGCGCCACCACTGCTCCGTGCAGGACACTCGACCATGACCCTGGTAGATGGAGGATGGAGGGAAACCGGGAAGTTTGGGACATGGAACCAGGGCCCTGCAGCCGCACCTTTTGGAACGCCGCGCATCGAGAGCCTCTTGAAGCGTCCGCCTCCCGGTCTGCTGCGTCTCTGCCTTTTCGCGTCTTCTCTTCTTCCTTCTCCCTTCTGCTTTGCGGCCGTCTTGCAGTTTCGGCTTCTGCTATAGTTGCTGCTCTTTTTGGTGGGCAAAGCTGAAAGATTGAGAACATGGATCTGCCTTTATGATATTTCTATACGTGTATTCCGGCCGAAACCCTGGCAACCGCAACCGGCAACCACGAGGCACGCACCTACCCTCAGCCATCAGAGTTCAACCACCTGCCTCGTCTCTCTTCTCTCCCTTCTTTTTTGCCTTCTTTCCTTTCTTCTTCTTCGAGCAATTCCCTTCCTCGAACTCATTCCTTCTTTTCTCTCATTTAACCCTCGCCAAAATCATTCCCATTCAGCCAAAAAGCACTTCAGCCTTCGACAGACGCAACAACGCAAACGTCGAGTGTGTCCTAAGCCAGGGCTTTCCGTGGCTGCATAATAACGAACCAACCGGTGGCCGAGCTGCGAAGAGGGGGACGTGGACGAGGCGAACAACGCATGGGGGGCTCCCCTTCCCCTCTCCGTCAGGCTGGTGGTCTTTTTCATCGTTCGTTCGTTCTCTTGAAAGTCTGTTCTTTGTCCATTGTTCGTTCATTCATTCATTACCATGTATGGATAGGTACCTATACCCTTTGCCTATTCCTCCTATTCATGATCCTAGTCCTTATCCCCCGTTCATGACCCTGTCCCTATACAATGCGAGCATGGAAGCTGATCAAGGCCAACATGGCCAGATATTAGGCGAGGACCAACCCATTATATCGTGTTTCCCATTCTCCAACATCCGACTCTCTCAGCTTCAACCCCCCATCTTCTCTCGCCAGTCCCGTGCCGCTTGGGCAATCTGCAAGGCCGCCGCCTCGATCCTCCTCGCTCGTTCCAAGAGACTATGGTCCCTTCGCGTGCCCGATGGCCTCTTGAGCTGGGCAATCATCTCGAGCACGGCCATGTGGTCCACCACCTTGTCCGGATCTCTCATACTCTCGCCAGCTCGATCCCGGCTGCCTGACACCGGTGTCCTCCTCCCAGATGCATTACAGGCGTGCTCGACTCCATCATAGAGACAATTGCTACACGGGCCCGTCACCCCTGGCGCTTGGCTGATGCCTTCTGGGGCCACAACGCACTGGGGGGAGATGCCTTGCCCGGCCCGACAACGGCTGCAGCGTCTGTCGCTGGTGTTCTGCTCTATGCCCCTTTCATACATCATGATGGCTTCTGCGACTCGAACTTCGGCGAATGCAGGCTCCTCCCGCCATCGCCACCTCCCCCATCTGCGGACGGTAGGCAGGGGGCTCAAGGCCTCGATGAGGTACGACCACGGCCGCGCGGACGGCGGCACGGACACGTCGTCAAAGACGCACAGGGCGTGCATTTCTCTCATGGCTAGGTCGCTTGCCTCGTCCGGATGGTCGCTTGCGTGCCGCTCGAGTCCTCCAGGCCAGCCCTGTATTGAGGGGCCCTGATCGACATCATTGTCGCTCTCTTCGGCGTCGTACTCCATCTCCAGCTGGATCTGATGCATCGAACGGCCAGCTATGACGGCCGACGGGTTGGGGATTGAATTGTCGAGGACAAGCGGAGGGAGCACCAAGGCAGGGCCGCGGGCCTGGACACCGGGAGCCGCCATGGACATTGTCGTCGACCCGTCATCACTTGTAGATGCTTCGTGGACGCTCATTTTCACCAGTGATATGCGAGACACAACGGCTCAGCAGGGTTCACGGCGCATGTTGCTCCGGCACTCGTGTGGCAGGACGACAAGCCCCAGACCCGAGAGACGACAAGGCACCACACACGATGCTGACGGGAGCAAAAGTGAAAGCAGAGAAGGCGCCCTCGGGGACTGGGGGCATGGTCGTGTTTTTAACCTATTCAAGAAAAAGAGGACGGAGCACGGCAGTGAGGTATATGTACCATTTTGCCGCTCTAATGGCCTTGGTACACGTTGGCGTAGCTGTGCCCTGCACTCCCGCAGCTGCTGGATGCGCGTGGGGGAGGGGGTATGATATTAAGCTGGATCCAATTTGACTTTTGGGCTCGGGAGACAGACCAACAAGCCTTTGGAGCACGTCTCCGACAGCTCGGCGATGCGCCCCCCTTGCTAGGCCTTGCTAGAAGGACGACCGCTCGGCCGTGGACAGAGATTAGGTAAGTCTAGAGTAACGAAAACAGCTTTCCATGGCACGGCTCCATCCGAGCCAGGTGCTGGTGGTCCCGCCGATTTCTCGCAGCTACCATCTCACGAGAATGGCGGCCGGCAAGCTTGTTTTGGGGGCCGGGTTGGGCGTCTTGTGCCAGCCCTTTGGGGACTTGGAGGGGAGGAAAGAGGAGGGAGGGGCAGCAAAGAGGCAAAGGCCAGAAAAGGAGGGAGCAGGAAAAAGACTCCCCCATTACCCCGTACTTTTTTTTGCCTTTGATTTTCCTGCCCGCAAGACGCTCTCCGGGTTTTCGAGCTGTGGAGCCTCCCCCTCGACGTCGAAGGAAGCAGCGCGAGCATTTAACGGGCGCCCTTGTGCATATGGATGCTGCCCTTGGCGGAATGTCACATCCGCCGCTTGTTGGAACAGGCCCAATACAGGTGAGTCGCTGCCGGTGACACAGCAAGTGCTCAGCAAATGCAATGCAGAGGCATCAATCCTGCCCTGCTGGCAGCCAGTAGCAGCCGGTCGACGACAAGACGCACGCCCAGATACGAAGTTGCTGCCGATTCGGACGCATGCCAGGCCAGGCCAGGCGGCCTCTTCCCCCGCATTCGGTCCTCCTCTTTTTTCCATCTCTTTTGCTCTCCCTGGGCGATCACCTCCCAGCTCAGCCCACCTCCCCCAAGCTTCCGTCCCCTCCCGTACCCCCGGTCAGCTAATGTCATAGGGGGATCCGACCGATCGCATGGGATCCACGCCTGCTAGCCACAGGAAAGCTCCGTGGAGCGACACACACAAGCTCCTGCTGGACACATGGAACCAGCCCCGACGGCTGACGGAGTGGTCCCGTGGGACGACTTGGCTGTGTGGGGTATAGGCAAGGTAGCGGATCTTTTTCTTCTGCTTCCTTTCTTGTGGTGTTTCCTCTCTGGCCCCGTGTCCCCATTACAGTCCTCCGGAAATACTCCGTGCAGTACTACCTTACCCACAGAGAGGCGACAGAGTCAGAGGGCGCTTTTATGCTGGCCTTTTTATGCACGGAACAGCAGGCAGCTCGCTGAAGCCAAAGACCTGGTGTCCTCCGTGGGGGGAAGCGGATCGCGCTTCGCTGCCAGGGTTCATCGTGGGGGACGAATACAGGCGAAAAAAGTGCAACCACCATACTCACAAGGTTTGAACTGTCAATCAGGGGATATCAGCCATTGGCGTAACGGCGTTGATCCGGCTGAGGTGTGGTGGTATTACAACTATATATCAGGCACTGCCCCCGTGAGCGGCTACTACAAGTATGTTCGATGAGGAAAGCCCCCCATTTAACGTTCTGACCTTGCCGATATAAATCGCCCTGCTGTTCAGGTCTTTTGATTTTGGGGTAGCTTTTCTTGCCCATGAGCAATAGCAACTCCGGGAAAGACCACTCTTGATATCTACGCCATCACTCTCATATACCCCTAGGTCACTTACACGTCCGCCCCAATGACAGCCTCTACGGAAGTCAATGGCCTCTCCAGCCACAACGGCTCTAGCCAGGGAGCAAGTACCTCTACCGCCCCTCTGGCACCAGGTCTGTACGTGCCTACAGTGGCATTCTTCACACCCGAAGACAGCATCGACGAAGAGACAACAACAGCACATGCCAAGCGCTTGATTGAAGCCGGTGTCACCGGCATCGTGACCCACGGTTCCAACGGCGAGGCTGTCCACCTTGACCACGCCGAACGGCAACTCGTCACTCGCATTACTCGATCCACCATGGATGCCGCTGGCAAACGCGACATGCCCCTTATCGTTGGATGTGGGAGCCAATCAACACGGGAGACAATACAGCTGTGCCATGAGGCGGCCGAGTCTGGAGGCACACACGCCCTCGTGCTGCCGCCAGCGTATTACGGCAGCCTGCTGTCCACGGATCTCATCATGCTTCACTTCCGGAGCGTGGCTGATGCAAGCCCAATCCCCCTACTCATATACAACTTCCCCGGCGCGTGCAGCGGACTGGATCTCAGCTCGGACACCATCCTGGCCTTGGCCGAGCACCCGAATATCGTCGGCGTCAAGCTGACCTGCGGCAACACGGGCAAGCTGGCTCGTGTTGTCGCCGGCACACGTGGGACAGCATTCAGGACCTTTGGCGGTAGCGCCGACTTTGCCATCCAGACCCTGGCCGTGGGCGGGCACGGCGTCATCGCGGGACTGGCCAATGTAGCGCCCAAGGCATGCGCCGAGGTCATGCGGCTGTGGACTCTGGGCAAGACGAAGGAGGCGACGCTGCTGCAGGGGATCGTTGCCGGCGGCGACTGGACCGCCATCAAGGGCGGCTTCGTCTCGGTCAAGGCGGCGCTGCAGAGGTACTACGGCTACGGCGGCGAGCCTCGCAAGCCTTGTGCCTTCCTCGAGGGCAAGGCCTTGGAGGCGCAGATGCTGGGCTTTTCCGAGCTGGTCGAGACGGAGAAGAAGTTCGACGCCCTGGCCTCCTAGGCGTGCCATCACGAGTACATACATGCGACGGGGGTTATTACTACTTGCCTAGTAGTAATACCTGGTAGTAATAATCCTCATCTTGCCTCCACCATACAACTACCGTGCTCGTGCTACTCGAACCACCGGCAACAGGCAGACGAATTCTATTCATCGTCATTTGACGGGGAAACGGCTACTACTACTACTATTGTGGACGAGACAAAACGTTGACTTGGCTTTGTGGGGCGTGGGGGGAGAAAGGGGGTCTCGAGTCTGACAAGGCCAAGCAAAAGCGAGGCGAGAGCGTGGAAACTGTGGAGGCTCACTAATAGCGGGGAACGGAATCCCAGATCCATGTTTGCCGTCCGCGGGCTAGTATTGCATGCAAAGCGGGCTCGTTATTTTTTCCTTTTTTTTTCCGTGTGCGTGCGTGCTCCTCAAGTATCATTAGCGCAGAGAGAGGAGGAGGAGGAGCAGCTTTGGAGCTGATGCGGGTTTATTACTGTACGGGGAAGTTGTCTGACGAGGCCGTTGGCATGCAGCTTCCTGCGAGGCTTGAGCAGACATCAATCACATTCCCGAGAGGAAACATGTTTGGATGTTGGGATAGGAATTCAGGAGACTAAGGGTGGTGCAAGATATGAACAGAGGCTTTCTGTAAATATGTATCGGGAACGACGTTTTGGGGCATTTCGTAAAGATACTATAGTAATAACATGCATGCATGTGCTTGTTCAGCTAAAGTCCAATATATTCAATCTGAAGAATATTTTGCAAGTTCATACGAGCTACTAAGGCGTGAAAATAACCCGATACATAATTATAGGTACTTGAAGATTTGTATATTCAAGGGGACGTCCCGTATCATGGGATATCCAGGATGAGTATGGCACGGGAGTTACTTATCAAAATTTGTGCGTGTTTCTTTTGTAGATTGCTCTCAAGAGCAAAGGGATTGGGTTTCTTCTTTTTGCTTCTATATACAACTCTATCCCATGACATCTTTCACACCCCACCTACCACTACACCAGGAAGCCCTCCAGCAGCTTGACCAGACCATGCGCGCCAGGATCGGGGCACTCGTTCCATCCCTCGGCATTGACGTAGACCGATCGGCCCAAGCTGGCCTCCATGCCCTTTGTCGAGTCTGAGCCTTTCTTAGCGGCCTCGACGGCCCTAGCGAGATTGAGCGTCTCGGCGAGCGTGTTGACAAAGGGCACCAGCGCATCCACGACGGTGCGGTCGCCGGGCTGAGCGGGCGTGTACCTGGCCAAGCTCTTCAAGGCTGCCTGGAGGGCAGTTGCCCACGTCTCTGTGGTGACGGTCGTCTTTTGGCTGGTGGACCGGCCCTGGAGGCCCGAGGCCAGAGCGTTGGTGAAGATGGCGTAGAGGGCGCCCGAAGTGCCGTCCATGTTTGACTCGATGACCTGGGCAATGGTTCGGACGAAGCGAACGACGTCGAGATGTCCTGACGGAGAGACGCTGTCGAGGTGCTTGAGCACGGCTTCGGCGCCCGTCTTGAGGCAGAGTCCGCAGTCGCCGTCTCCGACAATGGTGTCGAATTTGGTGATTTCGTGCTCGGAGGCAATGAGGCTCTTGAGTGCTGACTGCAGCTTGGCAGTGGTAAAAGCAGCGTCCACTGGTTCAAGTTTTAGTCACAATTCGTCTTCTTGTACAGAATTTGAGAAATGACAAAAGACTTACAGTCAAGATTGCTGGGAGCTGACTCGTCCTCGGCTGGGGCATCCTCCTTGACCTCGGACTTGGTGGTGTCGATGCCTCGGGCCCAGTTCTCGGGACTGACCGCCGGTGACCAGCCAGCAGCGTCGGCAGGAGCATCGATCAGAGGCAAGATGGCCTTGTCCGTCGCCTTGAGAATCGTGATGCTGAATCCGAGGCCGTTCAAGCTCGTCATGTAAGTGCCGCTGAGCAGCCTTGCCGGCTTGATCTGATAAGAGGCATCGAGCTGGTCGATGACCTCCGTCGTGATGGCGCCAAGCTCAAGAGGGCTGATGCCGCCAAGGTTGTTCACCATGACAACAACTTCATCTCCGGACCTGACGTTGATGTAAGCGCGGTCACTGTCGGACTGGTCGAGGAGCTGCTTGAGCATAGTCTCGACAAGACCTTTCAGGGTTGTCTTGACACGGCCGAAGCCCTCTTCGTTGTGGATACCCATGCCGATTTCAATCTCATCTCCAAGCTCGTCAGGAGTGATTTCTCGGCCAGGGACATGGACGTGAGATAGAGAGGCGCCGACGGTGGCCAGGTTGTCAGAAGCAAGGCTGGCAATTTGGGAGACCTGCTCGAGGGATTGGCTGTCCGCAAGAAAAAAAAAAGCAGCAGGTTAGACACTTTGGCTCAAGTAAGAGTTGGCACTTGACGAGGCTTGGAGGGAAGGGGGGGGTCCAGTCGCAAGATTCAAGCTTACCCCTGAGCAGCAGCGGCAGCGGCAATCTTCTGCACGAGAACCGTTCCAGCAAGACCTCTCCTGCCGATCCGCCCTCCGCGCTTCCGGCCAACGCCAACGTCGTCTCCCACAACCAGGAGCTCAGTCTTGATGCCCTCGGCGCGGGCCTTCTCCACCGCCATGCCAAAGTGCAGCATGTCGCCGGTGTAGTTCATGATGAGCACCAGGACACCGCGCCGGGGCTGCTCTGCGCCCACGCGACGGATTGCGCGGAAGACCTGCTCGGCAGACGGAGAGGCGAAGACGGAGCCGGCAACGGCAGCGGTCAGGAAGCCCTTGCCGACAAAGCCCGCAAAGGACGGCTCGTGGCCGGAACCGCCTCCGGAGATGAGGGCGACGGTGGGCTGGGTCGCGGCATCGCGGAGGAAGACGGTCTTTTGCGCGGCGTCAAAGGCGACGGAGGGGTTGGTGTATGTGGCCGAGCGCAGAGCGGCATTGACGAGAGCCAGAGGCTCGTTGACGAAGTGCTTGGCTGGAACGTGTGAAGTTTGTTTGGTTTAGCTGGAGTCCGCGCTCTTCTAGTGGTTTGTGAAGAATGACTTACACGACATGGCAGACCGGGAGCGATGCGTACAGTTCCCCGTTGGTTATTGGCGTGTGCTACCTTTGGAGAATCGAGTTGTCCTAGAAGGAAGATGAAGGAGGACGCAAAGACGGGAAGAGAAAGGCATTCCCATCATCTCCTCATTTCCATCTTCCCCGCGGCGCGGCCATGGTCGTCTTTATTTGAAAAAGTTCGAGGATTACCCCATTCTCTCAAGCGTCGGGGCCTGGAACTGCGAGCTTCGGCCTCGTTTGCGCTCGAATGCGACGAGATCCGTCGTGGATGGGGGGCAGGGGGCAGGGGAAGAGGTAATAGTCAAAAGGCTAGCAGATGGTTCCCACGCAGGGCATCTCACCATCGACCGGCGCCCACGCAGGGCATGGCAATGGCACCATCGTGGCTTACCCTATAGATGAGAGGGGAGATGTTCGAGTTTGGCTGGCGGCAGTGACCCCCGTGTAGTGGGAGAAGAAGCTGATGGTGAAGAGAAGAGAGAGGAATTGAAGGAATAGTACTCCGTATAGCAGCACGGAGTAATAAACTGAAGAAATTATCCGGGAACAATCAGGTCAGCATCGTGGTACGTATCCCCCCAACTTCACAGCCCCCATCTGACCCCCGTCAACTTCAATGGGGGACAAGAAGCAACATGACGAGAGCATCAGACCAGTTCTCAAGCATAAAAAGAGAGTGAGAAGACTCTGCACAGCATTAATCTCAGTTTGCATTTCATAAAGTCACGATGGCTTCAAGGCAGGTGACTGGCTGCAAGTCTGTGTATGTACGTACGTGTCTGTATGCATGTGCCTGTGATCCTTCGCCTCCTGTGCCCGAGCAATACAACTACCGAACCAGTCCTACGATGAATGCGGCTCAGTCTGCCCCCCATTGCTGAGTATATTCTACAGGGTACGAATACCATCGATACTGGTCGCACGGAGTTCTTCGCTCCGCCATGGTCGTCCTGCAGTAATCTGCAGCATCCCACAGAAAACCTGACAGGACGCGGGGAGCCGAGGGAAATCGGATGCCAGTTCATGGGTCCTCTTTGTCTTTGCGGGCGGCAAGTGGCCGTTTCCCCAACTTTTGTTGCCCAGCTTATGCCGACCCAAATCTCGATTGGCGCTCTCTTCTGCCGATTTCTCCAAGCTGCCATGCACCTTTCATGTAGGGGGAACCAAGGTAATGTATCGAAATCCACGGAACTGGCAGCAGAGAGGTCCAGAGATGTGTGATGTCAATGATGTCCTTCCCATGGCTGCCCAACGTCCAGGAATAGACAGGACCGGTGTGAGACGACGCCTCTATCATGAAAACTGCAATGAATCTTGGCTTGGTCACGCCCAAGTGAGAAGAATCCCTACGTCGGCAGTGCCATCCTTGCTTCATGCAGACGTCCTTTTTTCTTGGCCACAAGATCAGGTGTCTCGTGCTCTCCAATCTGCCGCTTCTCTTCTACCCATCAGACGTATGTCAGACAAGGAATCGTCGACGTGTCAAAGGACCCTCTCCCCCCCTACAGACAACGACAGCCCGGCTGCATGCAGTTTCCTGGCACTACTTAGTATTGCCTGTTACGGAGAAGCAAAGAGAGGAAAGAGAAAATATACCGAGGAAATCTGTCCCAGTCAGTAGATGATAGTTGTTGACCCCCCCAGGGGCGTGGAACTCACCAAAAGCACTGATTTGGCACCAATAGCCCGACCTTGTACCTACATATCCCCGTACATGTACGGTGAAAGCATCTCGCCCTTGTCACCTGGCCTCTTTCCCCCACACTTTCTGCCAGCCGGTTTACCTTTTGGGCGAGAGCCGGGATCCCCATGTCTTTTCTATTCCCTTTCAGTTCATTTCCATTTCCTTTTGGAGCAGGGCCAAGTAACACGTACACGCCCACGCCCTCTGGGATTACACGTACCTCGTACACGCCCACGCCTCAGCTGGGCCCTCCTCCACTGATGGCTTCGCTCAAGGGCAGGCACTGCTGCAGGACCCAGCCCTCCTTGTCCTCGACCTGATAGTGGCCTCTTGATTCCCTGCCCTCGGGTGAAGAGCTGCACGCCGGTGATGTCGACCGAGTAATAGACCGTAGCACCATCGTTGGCCAGCAGAGCCGCGAGAGGGTGGCCATTGGCATGAGACCGGTTGATGACAGTGTAGGGCACAGCCCAATCAAGCGCAGCTTCTCATCTACGGCGTCGGGACATAGCCAACAATCAGAAGTCTTTTGATTCGTCAGTTCCAAGTAAACATACTTGGTCAGGATGGGGAGGTCTCTCTTGAAGCTGCGGTGCTTACGGGGTACTTTGCCAAAGATCATAGGCCATGGATGGCGCCTCCTGCTGACCCTTCTTGACACCCTGGAAACTTCGTCCTTGATGCTTCAGGCATAAGTGGCTGTAGGTGCAAGAAACACCTCTGTAAGCCAATTGGTGTCCTTGAGAAAGGGACTCCTGATTGGCGATGTCGGCAGGCGAAAATAAAAGGCTGGTGAGCATTGTCGGCGCTCGAAGAAACAGAGAGGAGATGTCGCACGTTTGCTTCGTAGAATTAGCAATTCGTCGGGATGAATCTGATGCAGTGATTGTTCTGACGTTCATACCTTTCATACCGTGCTTGGCCAAAAGCTCTCGTTGCTTGCATGCTTCCCTCCTTTTGGTACCGGAAGCATAGGTAAGAAACTGAACTGGAGAGGAAGCGCTGATGTCAGTTCAACCTACATCTTCATCTGCTTGACTCTAGCAGATGGTTCGACTGCCTTCATGGTGACGAGAAAGAATATACTCAGCCCGTCGGTGCTCTTCGCTCGGTAGTTGACAATCTTCTGGGGCAGCTGTTAGAGAGTGCTCTTTTGGTGCCAGAACTTCAGAGTGTGATACGTACAATGACACAGATCCAAGCTGCCATGCTGATGTCCTTGGTGTCTGGCCGTGTTGGCCGTTCCCTGAGCCTCTCTTGAGATGCCGGGCCAATTCCATACATTGCACCCATGCCCCCTGGCTGCCATGCTGTGAGGCGTCGTCGTCGTCTTTTCCCTGTGAGCAAGCATCAGGGCGTCCGCCGAGGCCATCTGCGGAACGCTGAGCCTGCAATGCAGGCGAGTGTCCGAAGAAGTGTGAAAGGTCAGCATCATGCCCGGATGAAGGAGAATGGACTTGGCGCAGTGAAGGCGTAGGTCATCCGGCAAGCCATCCGCGAGAATCGTGGTGACATCAAACACTTGCTGCAGCAAGTCGCCGCTGGCTGACTGGCTGGCTCGGCGGCGCTTCGAGAGACGGCAGTGAGCATCGTCCAGATTCGCAAGGCAGACATCATTCGCTCGCGTGAAGAAAAGATCTAGAGACTCGTGCTTTATCCAGTCTTCGTCTTCATCTGCCTGGCTTCAGACTCCGTCTCAACGGAGAGGATGAACGTTGGGGCAGATCAGCATCTCCGTTCATAAGAGCCGTCCTGGAGATGAGGAAGATGGACTCCCTTCGTGTGTCCCTGGTGTTTGGTCGTGCTGGTCGTGGCATTGTCCACGCTGTGCGCGTTCAGACGGTTCGAAACAGTGCGTTTCTCCGTGGATGGCATTCCCACGCGTGAAGAAAAGAGCTAGAGACCCGTGCTTTGTCCAGAATTGATCTTCATCTGCTTGACTTCCGCAAATGATTCGACCCCCTTCTGTGCGTCCTCGGTGTCTGGGTTTGCTGACGGTGGTGGTAACGCCTTGGTACCGAGTGCGCGTCGTTCCAGACCAGTTCGTAACGCGGACATCATTCCCTCGCGTGAAGAACAGAGCTAGAGGGAGACCCCTAGAACAAGTGATTGACATTCGAGCCAGAATCATGATTGATGATGAGAGCTGAGGTTGTGAGAAACCGAAAGCTGGAAGCAAGATTGCAATATGCACAAAAAAGGTGTTTGTGTGGACAAAGAAGTGTTTGCTTTGATGAATGGAGAAGAGGAAGGGAAAGGGGGGAGCTGAGGCGAGGAGGGAGGAGCAGGGGGTTTATATACACGCGGCAATCTCAACTGTTGAGAGGATCGGAGACATACCATGGAATTAGTGCTTTCAAAATGTTGAGAGAGAGAGAGTTTATCAACGCTTCTTCGGGGAGATATACAACAAGGTTATTGTAGCTAGCTTTACTATCTCGGTTAGAAAGCCAAATGGCATCGTGAGAAAATGTCCGGCTGCACTGAATCAACAGCCGTCCATCTGTCATAAACTGTCCCCTCGGGCAGATCTGCTCACCGAATCATACATTAAGAACTTTAGACAAAGTTTCGGTAACATCTTTAAACCTGTCACGACACATAGCAGAGTCCCCAATAGTAAGTTCTCGGCAAATTCGACAAACAGACACAAAAAAGGATGCTTAGGCCCGGAAACAATATATAACTCTATTCCCAAAATAATAGAAAGCAAAAAAAAACGCCGCGCCCAATAGTAGTACCTCTGTTTCCTCTTGGTATATCAAACCATAATCTGTGTACATGATCTAAAAGCTTTTGTTTTATTTGCCGCCCTTCTTCCCCTTCTTGGCCTTCTTCCGGGACTCCTCCCCGAAAGTCTGCTCGTAAAGCTCCGCGGCCGTCGTCTGGCCCGCCTTTCGCTTCTGCTTGGCGGACTTGACGCTGACTACCACGTTTGACTTGCCCTCTTTGGCGGCGCTGGTCACTTGGCGTTCGGCTTCTTCCCAGGCTGGGGCGTCGCCGTCAATTTCATATCTGTCATTCTGTTAGTAAGTTGAGAAACTTCAACAAGCCATCGGAAAGAAAGGCGGGCTGCTGCTTACTGATCCAGAGGCAGAGAGTCAATCATCTCTCTCTGCTTCTGCCTAAGGGCCCGAAGGGCCTCATCGCCGCCCTCCTCGAGCTCGTCCTCGAGGGAAGTGTCCAGGGGAACGAACTTGTTGTCCACGACTTCGTCATCGTGGGCGCCGCTGGCGTTCTCTCGGCTGACGCCAATGTTCTCGGCCTTGGGAAGCTCGGCATCGACGGCTGCGGTGACCAAGGAGTTGAAGTGCGCCGTGAACTTGCGCAGGATCTTGATGAACATGGCCAGGAGCTGCGACGAGGGCATGCCCATCTCTTGGGCAATCTGCTCCACGTCCTTGCGCTGCAGCCCGATGGCAAGGAGGATCGCCTGCTGGACGCCCGTGATGGAGATGTCGGATTTGAGCTTGCCGGTGAAGTAAAGGTTCGCAATGGTGGGCATGAGATCCAAGATGACGTGGTAGTCGAGCATGTTGTTTGCGTAAGACGTCAGTCGCTTCAGATCAAAGGGCGACATGAGACTGTCTAGTTCGGCTTTGGTCAGGGGAGACTGGGGCGTGGCATCGAGCTGCGCACCCATGTTTGCCGATTGGTCAATGCCCAGCGCAGTGACAGCCGGGAAGGTCCGGAACTGGTAGGATAGCAGGGATAGGAACCTCTTCTGGAAGTCTCTTGAGAAGGCGCCCAGCCATGTCTTGTCGCCGCTGATCTCGAGGGGCCTGAGCATGACGCAGGTGTGCTCGCCAGTCAGATCGTTGGCAGTCTGCCGTAGGTAGACGGGGGAGAACGATGCGTGCTTCCAGAACTTGTGCAGTTCCTTGGTCATGCCGTAGCTGACACCGAGATAGTCGAGCCTCTCCGGCTTCTTCTCCCACATCTTGGCGAAGAGAGGGGCCATGTGCTTATCATCTCTGACGGTGATTTTCTCTTCCAACAGAGATTCCTTGGCCAGCTCAGCGTCGGTCACTCGAGCAAAGCCATTCTCCATCTCCTGGTCGTCGCCCTCGGACAGGTTTGCGAACCGACCCTCGTAGTAATCGGCGAGAAGCTGCATGGCTCGCTTACCATATCCCATGCCCATGTAAGCCGGGTTAGTGGCGATACGAACAATTCGAGCACCGGAGAGAGAGGCAAACTCTTCATCCTGGAACTGCTGGCTCACAAGCCAGGGAATCAGATCGCCATGCGGCCTCTCTCCTCGGCTCAAGCTGTTAATCACGCTCTGTCGGCTAATCTTTCCTTCCAGGGCAACTTGGATAACAACGAGAGGCTCGGGTAATTTGCCGCTGTTCTCTGATGTAGGAGCGGTAAGGACAAACAGTTGATGGGCCGGGGCATCGCTCATCAGCTGCAAGTCATCAGGCGAGTTCTTGTAGTGGCTGGCGACGTAGAGTGCTACCATCTGCTGGAGGAAGGCTTCGGGGATAGGGTGGAATGAGAAGAGAGTGTCGCGGTTTACGTTGAGGAGCTCGCACAGAGATGGATCTGGTGCACCGTTGGAGCTTGCCTTGGGCAGAGTTGCGTCGAGGCAGAGAAGCTTGTTCAGCCACTTTTCGACCGGGTCACCCTGAGCATAACGAATCGGCTCCGAAAGCGTAATTTCGCGCAGTTTTCGGCTGGCCTGGAACTCCTCCGACTTGGAAGCCCTTCCGGTAGATCGGTCGGCAACCTGGGTGTCGTCGTCCGTAGTGGCCCGTCGGGACTGTTCTCGCAGCTGCTTGATGAGCTTGAGTGACAGGGATCGGCCAGTACCCTCGTAACCGTTGATGGTAGAAGCCATGAAGACCAGATACGGACCCATCAGCTTTCGAACGAGAGGCAGAGGAATGGCGGCCGCCTCATCGATGACAACCAACTCGGCCTGGCCAAGCACATGCGCATCCTGGGGACGGATGTACTGGATCGTCTGTCTGTGCTGTCGGTGGATGTTGACACGGACAATGGCTTTGTTGAAGTCGGGGTTGGTGCTCTGAATGATGGAGTAGTCCGCGTGATCAGCGTAGCCGAGAGCATCAAAGCCCTTGAAGACGAACTCGAACAGCGTCTTCAAGTTTTCGGGAGACGGTGATGTGATGAAGATGTTGCTGTATCCGTATGCCACCGCAGCAGCCACGGCAACTCCCATGGCCGCCGACTTTCCTCGTCCTCTGGCAGCCGTCAGCGCAACGGTGCTCCGCAGCGTCTTCTCGGCAATGGCATCAGTGAAGGTCAGCAGAGCCTTTGCCTGGTCCACCGTTCTCGCGAGGTTGATCAACGCTCCAACAGGTTGTCGTTCCTGGTGCTCGTCCTTGATGGATTCCAGCTCCAGCATCTGGGGGGTCTTGGCCTGATCGGCCTCCGGAGGGGGCAGAGCCCGCACATTCTTGCCGCCCGAGATGGGAAGAACGTTGAGCTCGTCGTCGATGACCAGACAGGATTCACAGCTCCCCAGTGACAGCAGGAAACGCTCATTGAACCTTGCCACCACGTCGTCGTGCGCCTCCGTCCGGTATTTCGAGTGGGCGTCCATGGAGAGGTTATAGAGCTGCCTTAAACTATTCATTCCCTTGAGCAGCATGATGACCAAGCCACCACCCTCGACCGTCTCGATCGTCCGGGCCAGGATGTTGGGCGTAATGGCTTCGAAGTCTTGCAGAATGCACATTCCGTATGTGTTACCCAGGATCTTGTCGGTCTCCTTGTAGTAGGTGTAGCGGATGTTGTGCAAGGAGACGAAGAGCTCGAATGGATCCTCCGAGTTTGCTTCTCGGATTCCGCGTCGAATTTCCTTCTTAATCTTGTCTTCTCGCTTCTTTCGGTGACTGCGTACACGCAACTAGCAGTCAGAAACCACGCCTCTTCCATCGGAGAAAGGACGAAACCGGGCATGTGATGTGCTCACCTTGTAAATCCCAGCAGCTTCTTCTTGTATGCCCACAGGACAGACTTGTTCTGCTTAATGTCCACCATGGACATGATATAGTGCAGCCGCACGATCACATCCTTGGCCTGGTCTCCCACGACGACGAAAAAGCTTCTCTTCTTCTCCTGCAGTCCATTGCGAATCAGCGCGCCAATGCGCTCGTCTCTGCACGACAGTCAGTCAGCCACCGGAACAAGCAACAAGAATACCAAGCTCTCTCTTCCTCCATGGCAAAGACTTACACTTGCTTGCGCTGCATCTTGCCAACACTTTGTCACAGCCAATGGGTCCGTGGTAAAGGATTGCGCAAGGCTTGCTGGCGGGCTGGACAAGTTTATTGCGGGACCTCGCGCAGCGCATACAAAACATTTGTCCCGGCCAAAAAAATCCAAAAATTTGGCGGTGGAGCTGGATTCTGCCGGGCGGTGGAGGCCGCTTGGCTGCGCTAGTGCAGAGGCCCGACCGAAGTGTCTCACCGAGGTGTGTCTTTGACCGAGAAGGTTCGTAGAGAGGTCGAAGGGTGCAATATTGGACCGAATGAGCGACTGCTACCAACCGAACAGCGGCCTTTGTGATGATTTGGAAGTTTGTTATCATATTTTTATCTATTGGTGACTTCATAATTAGTTGCGCCACATAATTCGATTGGGCGATTTGACGGTCTCCTGATGAGGATCTTACACATCATTCTCTGGTTCATAGCTGAATCAAGGAGACAGCGAAAGCATCAGATATGCTACATATTCATCTTATTCATACTATGTTACAAATGCCCATCTAACGGCAAAGGCCGTGCCCCACCCATGCACCACGACAACATGACAACTGCAATCTTCTCAAAGTCTATGCAAGAGAAAGAGCCCCAGGAGCGCGATGCGTAACTCATGGTCGGCAAAATGAGATCTGGCCAACTGCCAGGGAGACAACAACCCAGGAAACCGAGCGCAATAGAAAAGGAAAAGAAATAATGAAACCTGGAATGTCTACACGGCCCAAGGTCACAGCCGCCCCTTAGGTTCGATCCAGCTTGCGGCGCAAGTTCCTCGTTTTCTTCATCAGCTTCTTGTACTTCTTCTTCTTCATCTTGAGCTTCCGTTGCCGCTTGACGCTGATGGCATACATGTCACGGTGGCCGCGAGTTTGGTCGAAACGCAGCTGGCGGAGGGCCAGGCGCTCCAGGAAGTTCCGGGGCTGCTCGTCTTGCATGATTCGAGGGCTGTGGGCGATGATTCTGATCTGGCCGTCCGGCTCTGTTGACTCCTCAATGGTGAACATGGCCTTGTACACCCTGTGGTGGGCCGCCTCTTCCAGGGCCTCAGCCTCAGAAGCAGCAGCTCCGTCAGCCTCGACGCCTTGCTGCGCCACAGGCAACGGAGGGGGGCGGAAAGGCAAGAACTCGCCCGACATGGCATCGACCTGGAGATAGATGCTCGACTCGGTTCCGTCGGAGTTCTTGACGTCGAGCCTGTGCATGCCGTCGCTGGCACCTCGGTCCTGGCCTCCTATTGTCATCTGGGCCATGGGGCCTTCCAGCTGATCGATGGTGTCGGAAAGCGTAGAGACGGTGTCTCGTATCCTGCTCGACTTTGATCGAGACGCAAATATGGATGCAAAGTGCTCGTCTGTAACGGTCCTGGGCATGGTCTGTGTGACGGAGATGGGTCGGTGAAGGGAGAAGAAGGTCGATAGGCCCAGAGCTAGAAGCAGGTTAGCGACGAAGAACGACACATCTCGAGATGCAGGAAAGCACGCGGCCACTCACCTTCTTCGGACATGTGGTGGGTGCTGGGAACGCTGGGTAGTTTCTTGAAGGCCGCATTCCGGTCAGCCGAGTCCTTGGTCTTCCGTTTCCTGCCGGCCTTGCTCTCTCCGCGCGCCGACGCGGACGCCGGCACCGACTGTCCGGCCGCAATATCGTTGGGCTCATCGGATCGGGAGGGTTTCGACGACGAATAACGTCTTTGGGGGCGATTCAGAATGAAGCTCGAGGCTGCGACCTTGGGGGTGGACGCGGCGAGAGAGGCCAGCCCGGCCCCCTGAGGCGCAGAGGCGACCGCGCGCCGCACCGATAGAGGCAACATTTGCGTCGCCGGCTTCGGGCCGCTGGGTGAATGAAATGAGAAAGAAGAGGAGAAGAGTGACGAATGGGTTCAGTTCGAGCGCTGAGGCTGAACGTGATGATGTCGATTCTTGCTTCTTCGCCAGAGCCCGGGCTTGGCCGCTGGTTCGGTAAAACGATTTGCAAGGCGGCAAAAAGAGGGATGAGTCAGCGGGCACTAAGCCCTCTGTGGCCTAAGGAACCAAGGTGTGAAGTTTGGCTGGACTGAGTAAGCCGTGGGCTTATCGTTGATTGCGCTTCTTCCTCTGCGCTTTTCAGATGAGGAAGAACTCGAAGTGTTGAAGCAGGTAGAATACGAGAAGCATCGCAGGCCGAATCACGAAGTTGCGAGTAGAGATAGAGGCTTCCGTATCAGTCTGGGCCTTCGTCATCATTCCCCTGGATACGGCTGATGTGAAACCGCATCATTGGACCCGGTCATAAGACCGTATCGACGTCAGCAAACGTACAGGGGGGCAGTGACAGTGCTTTGACTGCATCTTGTTGGCGTCTGCACAGATATAGAGAGCATCACAGGGTTTCTTGCAAAAGCCTCCGACCGAGTAGTATCTTGGTGAGACCGTAAAGTACAATGGATGCACTGTGTCGTCATTGCATTGAGATTATCGCGAGTTGTACCTTTTACCGCATTTCGCAAGCATTCCTTCTAGGCCTTCTAGTATCTCGTCTTTTTTTTTCCCTCTAACGCAGGTAAATTTCATCAAATAAAGGAAAAGAGCACCGTCAAAGCAGCAGTTATACCAGCAAATAAACAAAGAACACAATTTAGGTGGCCGGCGCGGCGACGATCAACTCGTGGTCCTTGTTGCCGCCCTTGCTGTTGACCCAGCTCAGGTAGCTGTTCCAGCCAATGGAGATGACATTGGCAAAGAGCAGACGGTACTGCAGAGGCAAGAAGGTGAAGTTGACGAACTGGACGGCCGGCCACAGCACCCAGTTGGCCTTGAGCGCAGGCCACCAGGTCTGGTCAAGGCGCTCCTTGGGGCTCTTGCCCTCCATGGTGGCCATGCTGCTGAGGAAGACTCCGATCATGACGGGAGCAAACAGCAGCTGGTCAGCCGCCACGCGCGCCAGGGTCTCGACCCGGGCATTCCTGAGGCGGACGCGACGGGCCAGGAAGCCCAGCCAGGTCGTAGCAACAGGGCCAAAGACGCCTACATACAGTCAGCTGGATGAGCAAAAAAATTTTCAATGGACCTGCTGTGTGGTGCTGGCTTGGGTTGTGGGATAGAGAAGGGAGAGAGAGGCGAGATGTGGGTTTAGGCAGCCAAATAAAACCTACATCCACCATAGAGCGCCATGCGGCTGGTTCGCGAGGTGTCGTGGCCCTTGATGCCCCTTTTCTCGACGAGCTGCTGGGCGGTGATGTCGCCAGTCGCAAACAGGACGGCGGTCGTCACGCCCTGCGTGAGAAACGGACGGGCTGCGAGCCTTCCATTGTACCTGATGCCCGTTGTCAGAAGGCAAGTCTTTGTGAGAGAAGGGATCAGCGAGCGGTGGCAAACTCACCAGCGGAAAAAGGATGCCATGATGAAATTGAAGGAAATAAAAAATCAATAAGGAATCTATCCGTCTAGTCGAAACGCCGGCACCAATTTGCAAAGAGAAAGGATTTGAAAAGGAAAAGAGTTTTGAGTCGTCTTTGCTTGGGAGTCGATGAAAAGACGGCGAGTAAGTCTTAAATAGAGGATGCCCAAATGCGCTGCGGTTTGCCAGATTGGGCAACTCCTCTTCACTAGCAGACCGGGGGCCGATATGCGGAGATTGGGGGGGAAAATAGGAATGAACAACCCCAGAGACGGGGTGAGAAGTAGATGTGATGGAGAAGTCGACTCAAATTTCGGTGAGAGGAGAGGGGAGAAAATATGAAAATCTGATGTGAGAGTTGGAAAAAACTGGATGAAAAAATTTGGATGAAAAATAGGAGACTCGGTGGAGGAGGGTCGATCATTGCAGGTGCAAGTACAAACGGCTTACTTGGTTAAATCTCGCTAAAACTTGGCGGTTTGAATCGTGAGCTTGCCCAAGACAAAGGACGTTGAAGTTCTACCGCGAGACGGCTCTTGAGCTGGCAATCGTAACATTGCGTAGGCCCTTTTCTTTATCGATTCTTGAAGCATCCGTCGGTATAACGAGCCAATAACTGTATAGAATAACAATTCTGATACCGCTACATTAACAGCAATGTCCCGCAACTGTATGATAACCCAACATTCAGAGCATCAGCCCAAGGTATCTTATGCCCAAGCAACGCCAATCCGAGCCATCCAACAGCCCGTATATGCCCAAATCCCATCATGAATCATTACAGCATCAACTTAAACCGCTACTGCTTCTTCCCCCGTGCAATAAGCTTCTCATACAGTTCAACCACCACGTCGCTCCACGGCTCGCCCTCGGCGCCAACGCTCTTCCCGATCCTGGTGCCCAGGAACTCCCCGACTTTGCCCACGTTGAATTGTTCCCCATAAATGACCTTGGCATCCGTTGAGACATCCACATTGACCCCTTCTGGCCCGCTGGACCCCTTGAGGTTGAATATCACCTCGACTCGTGTTTCCAAAGGTGCCAACAGGAGGGAGCTGGTAACAGCAATACTGGAGTCGGACGTCTTGTTGACCTTTGTTGGAAACATTACATTGATACGCCTGACTTCGCGGGAGATCCAGTTCGATTTGTCCCAGGCGGCCTTCACCACGCTGAGGAGGTGAGACAGCTTCGTGCGGCTCTGTGACATCGCTCGAATATGTTCCCGAATGCATTGTAAGAGGAATTCCTTTTCCGCAGTTCTCGGCAGAGGATTGATCGCGCGGCTGTCGGCAATGTACCACAGGTCAATGGGCGAGTTTGGCTGCTTCGGTTGGAAGGATGTAATGTCCAGGACGAGCTCAATCTCACGCCTGTATGTCATCGACAGCGTTGAGCCTGAGATGCCCGTTACGGCCCATCCGTACTCCTTCTCAATGGCCTCTACCCGCGCTGTCATTGGCTGTTAGCTTGCTGTCAAGAATGACAATGATGACGACAACTGTACCTTTGAGATTGTTCACCTCGGTGCTGGTCCAGCCACGGCACTCTTCTCTGATCCGCTCCGACTCTTGAATCTCAACAAGACATTGCGCCTTCCGTGCTGTCAATTCCTCCACGTCAGCTGCCGAGGCATCAAACTCCTGTCGAAGCTTGGCAATAAGCTTCTTCTTCTGAGCAATATCATCGTCCAGGCTGGTCAATTCTTCTCGGGCCGCCTGGAGTTCAGCGGGGTCACAGTCGGCAAGTTCCTTGGCAGCTTCTTCGAGGCTGCTGCTTTCTTCCAACAGTGATTCGTAGCGGCTCACAAGGCTGGGCATCACGCTCTTTAAAAGCTTCTCTTGCTCCTCGATCAACTTGAGATCATCCTTCATGCCGTCAGAGATGCTGATGAGGCCTTCGTTCAGTCCGTCCTGCAGCTTCATCCTCCATTCATACCACATCGCCTTGCTAAGGTGACGGGCATGAGTCCTGACGTTCTTAAACTGATTGTCCATCAATGCCTTGACTTCGGGAGTCGCGGATAGATATTCTTGAAACAGAGGGGGGTTTTCTTCAAACGTCTCCGTCTCAATCTCTTTGACAATTCTTCGTCCCTCGGAGATGTACTTTTTCAACTCTCGGCAGGAATGCTGATACAGTTCTAGCATGGGCACAGTACAAGCGCCCGCCACCACACATCGCTCCAGAGACCGGTCATCTTCTCCTTCAGGTAGAATGCCGCTCTGTGATGTTCTCGGGGCGATTGTGTGGCGCCTCTTTGTCGTGTTTAGCTCCATGAAGCGAATCGAGGTCAAGTTCAAGAAATCCTGGAGGTGCATCTGATGCTCTTCGACTGTCTCCAAAGGTTGAGAGTCGTTGTTCTCCAACGGCTGGTGTATTTGCACATCGTGGACCGTTTGGTTATCTTTTCCAGCCCTGGAGAACTTCTGGCTCAATAAGGTGGCACTACCGCTACCCTTCAATGGAGATGACTGCGCAGATTGGGACGTTTTGCCGGAAAAATCGAAACTTAATCGGGTTGATCTTCTCAGCCTGCCGGTTGTCTCTTCTTTCGAAGGCGGCTGCTGCAGCCTCACATTCTTGACAGGGCTGCCCTGACGACCCTTCAACCTCTTGACGCCGTCATTCTCTTCGGCTTCCGCTTCCTCGTCCAGTTCAGCGGGTCGCTTACCCAGGAGACCCCTGGCGCTGCCGACGTGGAGGCTCTTTCGGCCTCTGAGCGGGTTTCGCTTGGGACTCATACTCTCAATCATCTCTCTAAGGTTGAGTGTAGCGTCTCGACCGTCGGATTTCCGCCGAGTTCCTTCGTCGCTTTCCTGATCAAGTTCTTGTGCAAAGACCTTGGGGTCGCTGAAAGCAACAGCCCGTTTTCCCGGAATGAACAAGCTCGTTGATTCAGTCAAAGACTCACGACGGTTGAAGATGGCCGCAACTTGGGGCGATCCCAGGCCAGGCCTGTCTGCACCAACCCCAGAGAGTTTTCGAGGCGTAGAGACATCCCGCTGTGTTGATTTTGTGCTGCTCTTTGGAGTTGCTTTCGCGGGTGAGGGCGTTCGACTTGCGCTCTGCGATGGGGGTTTTCTGGTCGCTGATCGGAGAGTTCGGCTCTGCGATGTCGGTGTTCGCGTCTTCTTCGACGATGAGGCCTGCCGAGGGGTTGTAGAAGCTTTGGATGCTGGAGTTTTCGGCGTCGTAGATGATTTTGGTGTAGTCAGGAAGTTGGGCGTTGGCGGTGTCGTTGAGACATCTATTAGGGGCTCCCTGACTGCTTGAGGCGTCGCAAGTTGAGGCGCCCTTTCTTGCACAGCCTGCAATGCAGAACCTGGCGATTTAGACCTTCGCGACGCTGTCTTTGCAAGAGGAGTGCTTTGATCAGGGGGCGGTTGCGATGCGGCTGCCGATGTTGATTGCGGGGGGGTCTCCGAATGCTCTGTCCGAGACCCAAAGAGGCTCCTTCTAAAAGCCTGCGAGGTGTTCTTGATGATGCCGCCCAGGGCTGTGGTTATGTCCATGCCCGTTGTCGCATCACCATCGCCATCAGCATCGGCGAGTCCGTCTTCGTTGTTGGCTAAGCTCTGGTTGGCACCAGAGAGAATGTTTCCAAAACCAACAGTCATGTCCATGGTGGCATCATCGCCTAGCTTCGCAGTCTGGTTCAGTGTTTGGCGTCGAGCGGCCTCATTCTGCTCCTGTTGTCGGCGAGTCAACAGGCCTCCCATGACACTGGTGAGCTCCATTGACATATCTTCGTTCTCGTCGAAGTCTGTGTCACCATCTGGCAGCTCAGGGTAATGTATGCCTCCAACCGCAGTCGTTAAGTCCATCGTGGCATCTTCCATCTCACCAGAATCTGATGGTGCATCATTGGGTCTCCCGTTCGAGATGATGCCACCCCATGCACGAGTGACGTCCATGGAGACTTCTGCCTCTGCCTCTGCCTCTCTCTCGCTTTCACCTGGTCCAGAAGGCTTGATGATCTTTCCCACGGCTTGCGTTATATCCATGTCCATATCCATGTCCATGTCCATCTCTGTGTTGTTATCGGCGCCTTGATCCACCGGTGATTTTGCAGACTCCTTGTTCCCGCTAGCTGCGGGCTGTGGGTTTGCTTTTCTCGCCCAACCAAATGAGGGTATAATCTCTTCGCCATCGTCAGAATCCTCTCCGAGTTGCTGGGTAGCTGCACGGCGGGCAGCCATGCGAAGAGCCTCGTCAAGTGTGGAGGAATCTTCGTCCACGTCTTCCATGGACTTTTCAGATGCCACGGTCGTACCTGTCACGTCTTCTGTCTCAAGGCTCATCGTCGTGCCGTCGTCAGAATCGCTGTTGGAGTTTTCTTCCTCCTCCACCACCTCTTCATCCGTGGGTATCTCCTCCACCGCATCAGCGGGCTCGGAATCCGAGCTATATATAACCGAGGTACTATTCTCATCTTGGCTTTGGATTTGACTCTGTCCACCAAGCGAGCTTCTCTTCCCTTGCGTGCTTTGATCCTCGGCGGCGGCGGTCTGGCCGCCCGCACTTCGGGTGCTCGCTCCTGAGCCTGATTTCCTCCTCGACTCTGTAGAGTTTTTAGACTGCATATATTCCACCTCATGGAAGGTGTGCAATGTCGCCTCTGCCGCAAACGAGACTCTGCGATTGGCCAGTGACTTGCGACGAGCATCTCGCCTCTCCCGCTCTTCTCTCTCCCTTGCTGCAGCTTGTTGCTCCTCCTCTGTCCGCACGGCGACTTTGGACCCGCTTGACTCCTCCTCGGGCTGGCTGGATGTTGACGCGCCTACTGATTTTCTCGGCAGCTTCGATTTCAACGGTGGGATTTCGGGTAGAGGAGAAATCGTGGGCTTGAGAATCGAGCGAGGGAGCTTGGACGGCGCCGCAAGAGACTATGTGAGAGTTCAGCAACCGCATGAGCTTCCGCGTCAGAAAGAAGCTTTCTCCATACCGCGCGCCTGTTGCCATTCCCCTGCCTGAGCGCATCCAGCCCGCCAGGGCCGATGCTCTTGCTCCGTGACTTGCGACTCGCAGCCATTGACTGGCCGACGTCGATTGTAGCATTTTCCTTGTGTGAGTTCGAGAGCTCTGTGTGTACGCCGATTGATTTCCTCGTCCGGCGCGTGGTCGGCATGGTGGACTCGCCATGCGCAGGCATTCTGGATCGTTATCGTGGTTCCGTCACGACAGTCCGAGGCAGGAGTTCCGACTTGGACAATCGAAAAGCACCCGATGACCGCGTTTGTTTACTTCCAGTTCCACCTTGGGGGGTAACGGTACGTACCTCGACTGAGCTTAGCCACATTTTGGTGAGCCACAGAGAGTGGAGACTGAGGCCAACCCAAATCCATCTTGAAGCAAGTCACGTGCCATCAATCGGTAGTCGCTGAGGGAGAGCACCATCACGTGCCGATAACGCACCCGCCCCATTATTTGATTCGCCTAATCAGCCAATCTAAATTTTGCAAGCCCTAAGGTGGGAAAGTGGCCCGAAAAAGTGCGCCGTTGCCCTACTCCTCCATCCTGTGCAAAACCATCGCCATCAGTCTTCCCACCCTCTACGATACGCCCTCAGTTACGGTACCTCTCCGGAGCAGGATAATTCAAGATGTCAGTTCTGCCCGCCGGCGCTGCGCCATATCGACCTGTCGACGAGGATTGCGTTTTGCTAACAGTCGCACCAGGGCCACCGAATTGACCGTCCAGTCGGAGCGTGCTTTCCAGAAGCAGCCTCACATCTTCTTGAACTCCAAGATCAAGACCAAGAGCACCAGACCGGGCAAGGGCGGACGACGATGGTACAAGGATGTTGGTCTGGGTTTCCGTACCCCCAAGACCGCCATTGAGGGCAGCTACATCGGTACGTGCGAAGCAACGGCGAGAGTTGGGACGGATTTCGAGAATCGGCAAAATGGGAAGAAACGAGAAGATTGGTGGACAGACATGGACGGACGCAAGACTCGATCGACGCGACGAGGACGAGATGGACACGAACGTTGAATTGTCGACGGAGACGGAGTTGCTGACCTTGATGAACTACAGACAAGAAGTGCCCCTTCACCGGTCTCGTCTCCATCCGTGGCCGTATCCTGACCGGCACCGTCGTTTCCACCAAGATGCACCGAACCGTCATCATCCGAAGAGAGTACCTCCACTACATCCCCAAGTACTCTCGTTACGAGAAGCGACACAAGAACCTCGCCGCCCACGTCTCTCCTGCTTTCCGTGTCGAGGAGGGTGACCAGGTTACCGTTGGCCAGTGCAGGCCTCTCAGCAAGACTGTACGTTTGTCTCTTATTCCGGCACCGACGATGTGACTAGATACTGACATGTCATCCCTCAGATCCGCTTCAACGTCCTGCGCGTTCTGCCCCGAACTGGCAAGGCGGTTAAGTCGTTCACCAAGTTCTAAATTGGGTTTCTCTAACTGGCATTTTTGGCGTGATAAACATCAGGGGGGAAAATAAGTTATCCCCGCTGGAGGGTCGGCATGGGAAGTTGCTTTACAAAATGAGTTGTAGACGCAATCGTGAATATAAAAAGGATTCATGACCACGATCTCGACGTCTCAGGGCTGTTTACGACGCTTAATTCGATTCCCCATCTTGGACCGCGATGCAAAGGACATCTTGACGATGAGGCCCTCAGGTGATGAATGAATAAAAAATCTACGTCTAAACATCTGCGGAGATTTTTGGCTACAGTGATGGAAAGTGACTGCTCGACGAGGATAGCGTGTGAGGCCGGCATCAACCTTCATACAGATGGATGCTGAGATCATGTAACAACGTTAGATGATGATAGACAGTATTCAACTCTCAGCGTGAGATGATGTCTATCATGTCTTATCATTCTTCTCATTTCTGAACATTACAGTAGCACGCAAATGCATGGGATAATGCAGGTTGACATACAGTCCTCCTGTTCACGCGCACAGCTCCATAAAACTGCACACAGTGCATCTCACCGCCCGCATTATGTAATATTCGCACCCTTGTCAAAAGGCATCCTCCGATCCCATTCTGTTGGGGGACGTCAGAGAGCCACCCGATCCCTTTTGGCTTCCTGGATAAAGACCCCGATACCCCCTTCCCTTGGGTCGCCGTCCACGGCTTCGACTTGATCGCACATTCTTCACCATGGGCTGGCTACCTTCAATCTTTGGCGGCGACGCCCCGAATCCCCTCGGCAAGCTGGACCCCAAGCTCCGCGAGTTTCTCGAAAAGGAATCCCCCGTCAAATACATCCCCAACCAGCGAGCGGCGGCATCATCACCAGACTCATCACAGCAGCAAGATGCTCCCCCAGCGCCAGAGACAAAGACGAAGCCGGAGCCGGCGCCGGTCCCCTCAGCGAGCCTCTACCAAGACGGGCGGTACGCGCACCTGTGGAAGAACTACCGGCCGCTAGCAGAGGTCGAGGAGGAGACGTCGTCGGACCACGACAAGCTCATGTCCGTGCTGGAGGGGTACAAGGAGCGCAAGGCGGCGATTGCGAGGGCTGGGCTCGAGAACTGCGCGCCGCAGCAGGAGGAGTGGATCAACTGCATGAAGAGCGGCAGCTGGGAGGACCAGCTGCAGATGTGCCGGCATCAGGTGCGGCGGTTCGAGAGGTGCTACACGATGCAATCTGTATGAGGCCCGCTCCCTTTCCTTTCTTTGCCCATTCTCAATTTGCAAGGGGGACCAGATGCTAACAATTACTTTCTACAGAGGTTCTTGAGAGCGCTGGGGTACGGATCAGTAGCGGGCCGCCCGGCAGAAGTCGACGAAGACATCCAGCTCCACGCCGACGCGCTCTTCCAGCGCATGCTCCAGCACGAGGCCGAGGTCGAGAAGGCCAAGGAGAACGGCACCCTCATCCCGGCCTTTGACCCGTCCCTCCCCAAGCCAAGCAGCGCCCCAGCAACAACGCCCGCCGTCAAGCCCTCCGAAGAGCTCCAGAAGCAGTGGAAGGAGAAGCTGGACCAGCTGCCCGAGGAGGAGAGGGCGGCGGAGGAGGCGGCGCTGCGGGCGGATCTGCAGGCCAAGGCGGACGTGGCGCGCAACGTCAAGAAGATTTGGGACGCCAAGAGGGAGGAGAGGGAGGTCCGGAGGGCGGAAGGGCAGGCGACGTTTTCGGATACGCTTGCTGCGCTGTTTAGCAGGGGGAAGTGATATGGGTTTGCGATGATGGTGTTTTTTCTTTTCGTTTTCTTTTTTTCCCTTTTGGTTTGGATTCAACATATTTGTATGGGTTATGCGCGTGCTCTATGGCAACTCATATCAGCCATGACTTGCGGTTCTTGATTTTCGGGGGTCATTTGATACCGGGGGGGTCGAATGTAAACTACGGCATATTGAGCGTGGGGTGGGATATACTCATGTATTAAATCATCATTATAGACGACGAGGGCCATCACGGCTTGACAATGACAGAACTCTTATCATGGGGGTAGTAATTAGTTCATTTCTCAAGGTATCATTGCTCGAACTCGACAGATGTGCTCAGGTTAGATAGACGAAGTGAAGTTTGATCCTCGAATCACGAATAAGAAAAAAAGGCAGCGTTTTAACAGCAAGTGCGCAAAAGGCTGATAGACTTCTGAGAGCCGTTCAGCTAGCATCGAAAAACATCTGGTTCCGTGGTCTAGTTGGTTATGACATTTCGTTAACAGTTCAGTTGACACCACCGAAAAGGTCCCCGGTTCGAGCCCGGGCGGAATCACTCATTTTTTGCCCCTTTCCCACTACTTCTCTCTCCTCTTCCCAACTTTTTTCCTTACTTTTCTCTTTTTTGGTATTTATTCGCCAACGACGTGAGTCAAGAGAGTAAGCAGTGAGCTGGTCAAATGCATCATCACATGAGGCGAAGAAAGGGCATGTTCTTGAGTGTGAAGGTGTGTCGATTTAAATGAGACCTGCTCCGCGCAAGGTAACCAACCTATATACTACCTGTACGGAATACTGAAGCCAAATTCACAGCGAAGAAATGTGTAGAGCCTAACGAATCACCAGAACCATGGAGACTGCCAAGTCGGGTAATGGTGTCAGAGAACCCTACTGAAACTCATTCTCGGATCGAATCGAGATGGGAAAGCAGATGGATAGCTGCAGCCCATTTTATGCTCGTTGTAGAAAGCGTTCAGATCCAGATATCAAGGAGTAAACTTCATAAGCAAGATGAGCAAAAGCATCACGGGGACATGTCCCTTCGGAGCAATGTTTCCCAAAACATCACCAGGGTCAAAAGGGGGGAAGGGGTTCAGTCATATGGTGAGAATTTATCGACTGTATATCGACTACCTCCTCTCCATACTACTGACGCGAGAGCCGCGCAGCTCTGAACCGGCTGGTGGTTTGCTCGGCTATCTCGTCGCGTACGGGCTTGATGGGAGACTCGTCCGGTTTGAGGAACCCACCTTCTCGCTGGATGAACTTCTTGCGCATCCGCTGGTACTCATCGGCCACCTCCTGGTGGGTCATGAGATCATTGACCTCGTCAGGGGCAATGGCAGCAGACGTCGACTCCCGCTCGACCAGTGTGTCGGCTATTGTGACGCCCTCCGGTCCAGTAGGCACCGGCGGTAGAGGAGCATCGTCCACAAACTTTGGCCGAATGTCCAGGGGTCCCTTGGGAACAGCGCTTGCTGTGTCTGTGGTGTCTTTGGCTTTCTTGAACCGCGACGCTCTTTTCGCTGGTTGGGCTGGTTGCTGTTTGCTAGGTCTTGATGAGCTGCTACGCTCGACAATGTCGCCAAGAGGCTCAACAAGATCCTTCTTTTCGCTGACCACCGGAGCAGGGAGCTCCTTCTCGGGCGCGATATCAAGGCTTGTCGCAAAACGGACGCCTTTCTTTGCGTCGGAATCGCCACTTTGTCTCTCCTTGAGGTTTGACTTGAGCGGAGCAGCGTTCGTCGCGGTGGATGAAGATGAGGCACGTGCCTCCCGATTGACAACGATGCGGCCGATTCCCTCGTCAATATCGTCGTCGTTGGAATCGTCCTCGTCAGGTTTGGGCTGGGCTGTCTTGGAGGAATGTGACTTGATTCCAAGCTTCTCCTCCAGCTGAAGCATCCGTCGACGATACTTGTCTGTGACAACGCTACCTTGATAGCGTCCGTATTGATCTTCCTCATCTTCTTCATCGTCGTAATCGTCATACTCGTCGTCAAAGTCTTCGTCCAGCTCGTCCTCTTCATCTGAGTCGCCTTCCTCGAGCTCAAGTTCGGCAACGACGGCTCCCACTTCGCTCATGCCGTACCGCAGCATCTGTTGCCGCAGGGCAGCATCTTCTGGTGACTCATCCTTGGGTATAACAGCAGCTCGCATGCTAATGTCCTCTTGTTCTTTGGCGGTGCCCATAATCTCCTTGACACGCTTCGCCCTCCATGAGATTTCGGGTTCCGGCTCCTCGGCAGGCTTTGTGTCGTCGGAGAAGGCGACAGTCTTCTTCGCCTCGCTCACCGGTTTGGGAGAAGGCGGTTTAGGCGACGCCACGGATGCAGCATTCTGATCCTTGGCTTTTGAATGTTCTTGCTGGTCTACAGTGCTACTTGATGCCGTAGCCTCCTTCTCAGGCTGAGGCTCAGCATCGTCTGTGACACCGGCCTTGTTTAGAAGGGCTTCGACATTCCCCAGGGTCTCGCCGGGCTTATTCACCCGATAAGAGATGACATTGTCATTCTCGTCCAGTTCCTCGACAATGTCCATGATGGGTTGGCCGTCTTCGTCAGCGGCATCAGGGTGGCTGATGACCGTCGCAGCAGCGTACTTGTTCTCGGCTGTTTCCAGCTGTTTCCGCAGCGTCTCGATGTTTTTGGAGACGTAGTCAATGCGGCGGTCCAGGACGTTGACGATCTGCTCCCTGGTCTTGAGGCTCGGCTTCCCGAAGATGTCGTCAAGCTCTTTGCCCTTGAGCAGCTCACCGTCAAAGCCGGCATGGATGCGGTGCAGCTCTTCGGCCGCGCTCACGGCCTCGACCTCCTCCTTGAGAGCCTCATACTCGGCATCCCAGGTCTGCCAGTGCTGCAGCGCTTTCCGCAGGCTGCTAACGGTTTCTTCTAGCCGTAGACGATGCTTCTCAAGGTCGGAAAAACTGTCTCTGGCATCCGACATGTCGTGTTGGGCCGAATGAGCAACAAACCTGGAAGTGATGAATAAGGTAGGTAAACAAGGTGAGGGCAAAATTTGATAAGAGAGTTTGGGTGAGTGTAATGGAAAATGGGGGCGGTCCGGCGGAACCTCGGTTAATCCAGCCCTACGTCTGAACCCCGAACTCCATCGCCGCCATGTAACCTCGTTCACGTATCGCCCGAGTGGAGGCGGGCGTCATCCGGAGCAACTCTGCAGTCCAGCTTATGCGCTTTGCCCGCTTGTTGCCTACGGCCAAACGGGGCAGTCTGGCAGTTCTAACATCAGAATGGTCTACGGGGAGTTGTCGAGACTCAACTTGGGACCCCCACATAAGCCCGTTGAGCCTTGGATGAGGGCAGATATGGACGATCAGGACCAATACGTAAAGCGTGAATCATCGCCTTGGTGTTGCATAGAATATATCACATATAAGTGACGCACAGAGCTGCTTATCATTGCCTTTGAGTTACACAAGGGGAAGCCACATATAAGTCAAGCACAGAGCTGCTTGTTCGGTTTGCAACATCTTGACAACTCTTCGCAACTCGTCGCAACTCTTCGCACAATGGCCGGCGAGACCAAGTCACTCGAGGCCAAGTGCCTCTGCGGCTCTGTCCACTTCACGGTGGATGTTCCCGTTGCCTCTCTTCCGCTCGGGGTCAACCTCTGCCATTGCAGCGTCTGCCGCTACACCTCAGGAGCGCCGTGCATGTTCCGCACGCAAGACCAAGGACTCAAACCAAAGTTCATTGCGCCCTCGAGCGAGAAGAACCTGACGAGCTACGCCATCGGAGGAGCTGACTGCACGTACGACTTCTGCTCGACCTGCGGGTGTCACATTGCCGGTGTCTCGCTTGACAGAGAGGGCTGGACGCTCTCGACGTCGGTGTTCCAAGACCACGGGCCAGACAAATTCAGGATCAAGACGCACGTCTTCAGCGACTCGGCCAAGGACAAGGGCCTTGCGCAGGCACTGACACACTATGACGGCGTCGAGCTGCCCGACTGGAATCCTCCAAAGGACGATCCTCGAGCCAAGGTCGTCGGAGCAGAGCCGGAAGTCGGCGAAGACGGACAAGACCGGCTGCGAGCTCAGTGTCACTGCGGCGGCGTGTCCTTCACAATCAGGCGCCCGACGCAGGAGATCTATGACCACGAGCTCCTCCGCAACGCCGTCTCTCCCGTCGACCCCAGCAAGTGGAAGGCCTCGTGGGACCTGTGCGACGACTGCCGCCTCTGCAACGGCACGCACCTCGTCGGCTGGGCGTTTCTGCCTCTGTCGTACTGCGAGCCGGAGATCAAGAGCGACCTCAAGATCGGGACCCTCAAGGTTCACGCTTCGTCGCCGGGCGTCCAGCGCGGCTTCTGCGGCACCTGCGGCGCAACGGTGTTGTTCGCCTGCGACGCGCGCAAGCTGCCGGGCCCGGGCAACTGGCAGGTCGTGGACATTGCGACGGGGATCCTGCGAGCGCCCGAAGGGTCCATGGCGGACAACTGGCTAACCTGGAGGTCGCGCTTGGCTTGGGCAGACAGCGGCAGGCGGTATGATGGGCTGTTTTTCGAGGGGTTGGAGCAGGGGATGAAGAAGTTGGTTGTTGCAAAGGTTGGGAGAGAGCTGGACATGGATATCAGCTTTGGTGAGGATTGAAGTTGGCGAAGGTTGGTTCGTGATGATGATGATGAATGATGATGATGAAGGCGTGTCCTGTTAGCGCGGGTTGGTTGAGCGTTCTGCCGTCAGTGATGAGGCCCATCATTCCAGATTCGACATTACACTCGACATGCCTCTTGCATCACAGTCCAATGGATTTAGTTCAACATGAAAGCCAGTTTCATACTAGAGAAGAAAAAAAAAAAAAACATTTATAGTATGCAAGGTGACACAGCCAGCCATTACAGAGTTGACTGTTTGTTGGACAATCCCATCAAGGACGATGCCGACACTATCCGGATTAAAAACACGCTACTATATGCTAACATCAACGGCACCGTCTTTTTCTCACAACCAAAAGCACTCAAAAAAGTTTCCAACGTCATTCAACGAATCAAGATTACAACAAGACTCAATAACCAAATGAAACCCCGAATTCACAGATCCAATCTTCCACAAGGCTAAACAGAAAATCGCCGAAACAGCGAAACAAACCAGCAGACACCTCACACCTCAACCAATCCCACCTCTTTGAATCCTGTCAGAATCCCATCTTATCACCTTTCCAAGCCGATTCCGGCGCTTTTTTTTCTCACTCTGCTCACTCACAGTGGGGGAGGGGGCGCCTTAACAATTTATTTACCTATTTTTCTTACAGTATTCTCCTATGAGGTGAAATCCTGCCAACCGCCCGCAGGGACCCCTTGTTTGCGCAGCTTCTGTATATAAGAAAGACGTTAGCTGGACCGGATGCGTTATGCATCACCGCGGCCATCGACTTCGACCCTCTTGTTCAAATACGTAGCCGTCAGCCTTTCGGGTGCGCGAAGCATGGCGTCTTCAGGCAGGTCTTACAATGCATGTCTCTCTCTCGCTCTCTCTCTCGTCTGTTGTCTTCTCATCTGTATAGTAGCGTCATGACTAATGGGCCTCTCATCGACACAGGATGCGATTGACAAGCTCAACGAGCTCCAGACGCCGTTCGCGGTGATTGAAGCCCGTCGCAAGGCCGGCATCCTGCCCGACTCGGTCCTGGGCATCGCCAAGATGAGGACATATCTCACACGAATCGGATACACAGTCTGTTCAAACCCTCATCTCTCCATATCACAGCGGAAAACTGAACTCAAAACTCACACACACACGCTTCACACACACAGCCCGCGGATCTGGACCGCCTCAACATCGTCCACGTCGCCGGCACAAAGGGAAAAGGCAGCACCTGCGCCTTCGTCGACTCCATCTTGTCGCAGTACCAGCAGCGCCCCAACGGCGGCGGCGGCCCCCGGAAGACGGGCCTCTTCACGTCGCCTCACCTCATGGCCGTGCGGGAGCGCATCCGCATCGACTCGCGGCCCATCTCCGAGGAGCTCTTTGCAAAGTACTTCTTCCAGGTCTGGGACCGGCTCGAGGAGTCCCGCGACGCCCCGGACGAGGACACGCCGTTTGGCTCCAAGCCCGTGTACGCGCGCTACCTCACGCTCGTGAGCTGGCACGCGTTCCTGCAGGAGGGCGTCGAGGTGGCCGTGTACGAGACGGGCATCGGGGGCGAGTACGACTCGACGAACCTCGTGAAGAAGCCGGTGGCGTCGGGCATCAGCACGCTGGGCATCGACCACGTCGCCATCTTGGGGGACACGGTCGAGAAGATTGCCTGGCACAAGGCCGGCATCATGAAGACGGGCTGCCCGGCCTTCACCATCGAGCAGCTCCCCGGCGCGAAGCAAGTGCTGCTCAACCGCGCCAAGGAGAAGAACGTCGACCTCAAGGTCTTGAAGATTGATCCTCGGCTCGAGGGCGTCAAGATCAGGCCCAACGCAGTCTTTCAGAAGAAGAACGCGACGCTGGCCATTGCGCTCGCCGAGACGGTCCTGACGAAGCTCGGCCTCCTCAAGGAGAAGCTTCCCCAAGAGAAGCTCCCGCAGGAATTCGTCGACGGCCTGGAAAAGTGCGTCTTCAGGGGCCGATGCGAGGTCAAGCAGGAGAAGAATGTCATCTGGCACCTCGACGGCGCGCACACGGCAGACAGCCTGAAGATGTCGTCCAAGTGGTTCGCCAGCGAAATCGCCGGCCGGTAAGTTTCCACCAACTCACACTGACTCTCCGATTCTATACGATAAGCTGAGAACCATAAACAATCATACTAAACATTGCCCCCCCAAACAGGACCGGCCCCAGAGTCATGATCTTCAATCAGCAAGGCCGCATTGAAGCAATCGACTTCCTCCAACCCATCTGCACCACCCTCAAAGCCCTCAACACCTCCTCCTCCGCCTCCGCCTCCGCTTCCAACGAACAACAACAGCAGCAGCAGCAAGACAGACCGGCCTTTGACCACGTCGTCTTCTGCACAAACGTCACCTACGCCCAGACCGGCTACAAGCGCGACTTCGTCAACAACACCATCGACCCCGCCGAGGTCGACAAGCTCACCGTCCAGCGCGCCTTTGCCGACAAGTGGTCCGCCATCGATCCCCAGGCCAAGGTCGTCGTCCTGCCGACCATCGAGGACGCGCTGAACTACGCGCGCGAGGTGGCCAGGAGCTCTTTGCCTGAGGCTGAGGCTGCAGCGGGAGAGGACAAGGACAGCAAGGTGCTGGTGTATGTTACGGGGAGTTTGCATCTCGTGGGGGGCGCGTTGGGGATTCTTGAGGAGACGGATGCTTTGTAAAGGGAGGGGGGGCGTCAATGGTTTGGACTGGTATGGAAATGGAGTAGGGGTGGGATGGTAATACTAGGTCATTCAAAGCGTGGGTATCATATAGATTCAACTGCATTAGAGCCTTTCTTTTTTTTTCTTTCTAAAATTCAACACATTCACGGCTCCAGAACCTGCAATATGCTCCCCACGAGATGCAAGCTGCCCGTCACCACAATCTTCCCCTTGCCCTCCCCATCCCGTCCCTTGACAAGCCTCCTCGCCTCCGCCACCGCATCCGTGGTGTTATCGAGCACCCTGACCTCGCACCCGGGCATCAAACCACGCATCCTCTCCGCCGCCTGCTCCTGCACAAGCACATCCCTCCCCTCCTCCCCAGCACCCGGCCTCGCAATTTCATTCCGCGTAAACAGCGCATAGCGAAAGACGGCTTCCTCCTCCTCCTCCTCCCTCCCGGCTTCCCTCCTGCACGCCGCCACGAAGCCCTCCAGGAGCTGCGCAATGTTTCTCTCCTGCTGGTTGAAAATCAAAACCAACGGTTGTTCGTCTGCACTTGGACGAAGCTGCTGCTGCTGCTGCTGCTGCTGCATCGCCCACTTGGCCACCTCCTCCAGGCTCTCCTTCGTATGCGCTCCGTCCAAAAGCCACTCCGCCTCCCCGTCGTCCACAACCTCGCATCTCCCCCTCAGCCTCGCCGCCCGCAAGCCCTCAACCATTTCCCGTGGGATATCTTCCAGCGGCTGCTTATCACCCCCTCCCATCAAGCCAAGATGCTCCCGCACCGCCAACACGGCCAGCGCCTGGTTCCTCTTCTGGAAATCCCCCTTCAAACGTCCCTCCACACCTCCCCATCTCTCCACCTCCTCCTCGTCAACCTCCACCAGCACCGCGCCCTTCTCCGCCGCCCTCTTCCTCAGCACCTCCATCACGCCCGGCTGATCCTTCAACTTGATCGTAAACCCCTTCACGCCAGCCTTCAGTATCCCCGCCTTGTGCCACGCAATCTTCTCCACCGTGTCCCCCAGCATGGCAACATGATCGATCCCAAGCTGCGCAACCACCGCCGCCGAAACGGCCTCCCTCGGCAGCACATTCGTCGAGTCGTACTCGCCCCCGATCCCGCACTCAATCACAACATCCCTGACCCCCCTCTTCAGGAAGATGTGCCACGCCATGATCGTCAGGAACCGGAAATAAAAGGGCTTCGACGCCGGCCCCTGCGCATCGGCCTCCGGCACGCCCGCCTTCACCGCAGCCTCCGTGAGCCGATCCCATATCTCGAAGAAGGCGGCCGCAAACTCCTCCCGCGAAACGGGCTCCCCGTTGATGGCGATGCGCTCCCGCACGTGGACGAGGTGCGGGCTCGTGTACGTTCCCACCACGCGGTACTTTGCCAGCATCGCCGTCGCGTACGCGCACACCGAGCCTTTTCCTTTGGTGCCGGAGACGTGGATGTGCCGCATGCGGGCGAGGTCTTGCTGCGAGTAGCCTGCCCGCCGGAGCCACTCGAGCATTTCGGGGATGGCGGCGGCATTGAGGTCCTGGGCGGGCTTGTTCTTGGCGGGGGACTTGGACTCGAAGAGGCTTGTGATGATGCGGTTGGATTGCAGGAGGGCGAGCTTGGAGAGGGCTTCGTCGTAGGATCGGGCCATTGTGCTGAACGATGATGATGATGATGATGATGATGATGATCGAAGAGAACGGTTGATTGGTGAGTGGAATAGACGAGACACCGGGAAGCGCGCCTTGAGGGCGATCCTGGTGCTCATATTCTGGGTGTGAGCGAATTGAGGTGGAGGAACAGATGAGGAGTATGTCAAGTCATGTCATGTCATGATTCTCAATGTCAGGCAGAGACGGCGCTTTTTGATGTACTGCGTGTGAAGGAGCATGAATAATTCGATCTCAGTTGGCTAAGATCAGAGCCGTCTGACAAGTCACATGGTGGGGCGCCATCCTCTCTCATGGATGGTATGTATTGTGTAGTTGAAGAGTGCACAATAAGGTGGATGAAAGGCGTATTCTTTCCAGGCTTTTTTACTACTACCTACTTGAGTAACAAAAGAAGACGAGACTGCATACCTAGAGAAATTGAGTGTCAAGAACAAAAATATACCTTCAACAAACATCCATGTTTGTCTGAATACTTGTACTCATTTTCATTGTAAAACTAGAACTTAGTTATGACTCTCTTGACAAAGATGATAACTTGTCATTTTCATAAAGAACATCACTCTGTAGAATATATACCAGATGTATAAAAGCAGGGTTGAAACACGACATTACAAAATATAATATATGCATTGCATTATTTGTAGCTAAGCTGACCTCACTCCATGGCTATGCTAACCCTCAGGTTCTTTATTTTGCCAACCAACAACACCAGACAATGAAATAACAAAAGGACTTGATAGAATGATAAAAAGCTTGGGGGGTATCGTATCAGACAGAAAGGAGATTATCTGAAGACATGTAGAAAAAAAGGAGATGTAAAGTTAAGGGGGCAAGAAAGGAGAAGGAGAAGAGTTCCAGCTGTTGTGGTGCTGGGAATTGTTGCTGGAAGTCGTGATGTGTGGCAACACGATAGATATGGTGATCGCTTTCACAAGCGAGATGTGAAAGAGGCGGACCTATAACCGCATAGAGTGTAGGATCAAGGAGAAGGAGAAGGAGAACGTAGGAGCACCGCGAGCGAGACTCCCTCACAACCAAAGGAGCCACTTGACCCCCCGCAAAACGCCCTTGCCAACACCCAGGAACACGCGCAGGATCATCACCATGAACCAGACATACCACATGAAGCCCACGAGCAGCCACTCGACCGTGAGCCAGAGCCCGCGCCGCAGCCAGCGGAACCTCCGCCGCCGCGTCCGCAGCATCTTGTCCATGGTGTCGATGACGTGCTTGATCTTGAGCGGCTGGCCCAGCATCAGGTCGCGGCTCGTCTCGTCCGCCTCGTCGGCGGCCTTGCGCGCCATCTCGGACAGGTCGTCGGCCACCTGCGTGCGAACCTCCCAGACGCGCGTCCGGAGGTCCTGCACCGTCTTGTCCCGGAAGTAGTCCGCCGACGACTGCCAGCGCTGGCCCCACGACTGGATGGCCGTCGCCAGCGTCCGCGCCGCGAAGGGGTACATGTCGCAGGCCGCCACCTGCTGCCTGCGGAGCTGGAGGGTGGCCTGGGCGTGTTCGGGCGTGAGCCGCGCAATGTCCGACCACGGGATGCCCCCGGGTTCCATGAGGTGGGCTTCCTTGTGCGCAAGACGCTCCTCGCTGAATGGTACGTGCTGCTCGTTTGCTCGGCGGCGCAGCTCCATGGCCTTGATGCCCGAGCTGAGTATCAGAGTTCGCATCCGGGCAACCTCGCGCTTCGACAGCTTCATCTGGGCAGGCAAGCCACGGTCCGCAATCGACCAGTGCTGGCCCGGCGGCAGTCGCCCGTGATGATGGTTGTCCCTGTCGCTGAGCGAGACGGTGGAATTGATTCGCCTATCCACGGTATCGGAGACGTGGTTGTTCATCAAGTACTCGGAGTCGGAGACGTCCGATTCTCCCGGCCGAGCTCTGTGCACCATTGGCGAGGACGCAGACGAGGATGCGCTTCGAATCTTGATGACCGGAGGCTTGAGCTCATCGGCGGCAGCCCGCCGACCATTCGCGGAGCCATCAGCAGCAGCAACAGGCGTGTCACCACCATTGGCGTGGCGATAACTCGGCATGCGATGGAACTGGGGCATGGTATCGAGAAAGTGCTTGGGCTGGTGCTGCTGCTGCTGCTGCGCCTCTTGTGCCCTGGCGGAGGGTTTCCGCGACAAAGTCAAAGGGGTCGACTTTCGCCCTCTGATCCTCTCGCTGTCTGATTCATCCGTAGTCTCAAAGTCCTGCGCCTCACCGGGCCCGTCCTTCTTACGTATCATGTCTCCCAGCTTCGAAACACCGCCTCGGAACACATTGTCGATACGGGGGCCCTTGAACATGCCTCGCAGCCCAACGCCCTCCTCGCCTCGCAGCCGCGTGCTTCCTGTGTTGCGAGAGCCTTTGCCGCTGTCTGCTCCGGACAACGGCTTTCCAACAGGGCTGGATTGGCGCCTGCCCAAGTCAGCAGCGGAGCCCGAGCGCGCCAGCTTGTCGCGTTTCGAAGATCGGCCTTCCCTGTCGTCTTCGGCATCGTCGAAGTCGTCGTTCTTGTCCCGGATGATTGACTTAATCTTGCTAAAGGGGTTCCGGGTGGGAGATGCTGCTCGGCTCCACGGAGGTGAAGGGTCAACGCTGGCGATCGACTCGGATTTGCCATTGCGAACCGGCATCATCTCTGGCGAGTTGGGAAACGAAGTTCCTTTGCCTGGAGAGAAGGAATAACGATTGACGTCGAGGCTCTGGCGTGTTGGAGAGGCCTGCTTCAGCTTCTCCAAGACCGCAAACTTGCGCTCCGAGTCGCTGGCTTCTGCCATGGATGTCCTGCGGCTGGCAAATCTAGAGGGGGGTTGCGAAATTCGTCTCGCGTCCAGTGCATCGACACTGCCATCATCAGCACTCTCATTGCGAGCCAAGGCCCTCTCTTCCAGCTCTCTTTCGCGTGCCTCCTTGGCCACCATTTCCATCATTTGCTTCTGCAGCAGGTCATTGGAGTTGCTTGAAATGGTTCCTTTGCGGACAGGCTTCGCCCTCCTCTTCTTCTCTGGCTCACTGTCGCTGTCGCTATCTGAAGAGTCAGATCCAGAATCCTTCTTGAGCCGTAGTAGATCGTGGCCGTGGCCAGTGCTTCCGTGCCGGTGGTGGAAACCTGTGATATTCTGTAGTTTCTGCTTGGCTCGCTCCTTTGCACTGCTGTGCGACAGCTCCGAGCGAACCTTGGATAGCCCAAACTCCTTTCCTTCAGTAATGGTTTCGGTTATGTCATTGTCTCTCGTCGTAAACGGAGAGATTTTGCTGCTCGTATCGTCTATCTCTCGAGATAAAGGCCGGCTCAGGTCGGAAGCCGGCGGAGGCGGGAAGATCTTGCGCCAATGGCGGTCTTCGATGAGATACTTGTGTCCGTTTTGTTCCAGCCAGTATGCGTCGGCAATCACGTCGCAAGGCTCCAAGTACCAGTCGACCCTGGGCCGTCGGGACCTCGCTACCGCTTCAGAAGGCGAGCTCTGCAAGTCCGAGTCTTCAGCATATTGATAAGGGGGGATAGATGGTCTTTCGTCGGCGAGTGAGGTGCCCGCCAGCGACATTTGTCGATATACCGAATCCACCCACAGCCTGACGGCTTCGACATCGCTGAAGCCCTGACGCTTTCCATCAATGACCTTCCTCTCACGCGCCCGCACCTTGCGATTCCGGATATACTGCAGTGGGTTGTACTGCCGTCCCAGTGGTATAGCAAGCTGCTGGGACCCCGACGTCTGGGTAGGAGAATCCGGGCCGCTACCCGACAGCGGCCTCTCGAGCCCCGGCTGCAGGGGAGGCAGCACATCGAGCAGCCGCCTGTACTGCGCCCACAGCTCGAGATGCACCTTTGCCTTGTGGGCTCTGGCCAGAGTCGATGGGGAAAACTGCCAGCGGAATTGCGGATCGTGGGAGGACTCAAACGAGGGCTGAAAGGTGCCGCTGCTCCTCGATCCAGGGACCACGGCTCCAGAGGATGCCTCTTGCGCAACAGAGGGGGATTCGGTCCGCGAAAACTTGCGCTGCTGCTGCAGATGTTGTCGAATGTTATTCGAGGCCGACGCGTCCGGTATAGGAGCGAGGCGCGGAGGGGCGACCGTCCGAGAAGCACTTCGTCGAGCGGCGAGGCGGCGAGACTCGCTCAAGCTAAGCGCCATGTTGACGATCTGGGTGGAATCCAGATCCGCCGCGGCGTGCGGCTCTTGGTGGTACACATCGGAGAATCTCGTGCCATCAGCGGAGTTGCCAGTGCTCGGGGGTGAGTTTGCAGCCTCTCCGCCAGATCGCCGGCTGGGTGCAGCCGTCTGCCGCATGATGCCCAGGTCAAGAACAGGCGCAGGGCCAGAAGCGGGCTGGAAAGCAGCATCACGGCCGCTGCTCAGCTGGGGCGCAAGACCTGGACCCTGCGAGGCGGCGGCCCGCTGTCGACGTAATCGTGCTCCTCCTCCAAAGGCATCGTGCAGCAGGAACCCTCCACCCAGACGACCCTTGTGCTTCTTATGCGCGCGCTCTTCTCGATGTCCGGTTCCGTGTCCGTGACCATGTCCGTGTCCGTGTCCGTCGTCCGCGTGTGGAGAGCCCTCGGGGTGCCCAGGACTCACGGCGTCGGCATCGGCATCGGCGGCGTCGTCGTCATCGTGAAACAGGTCGTCCGGGGAGAAGACGTCGTCTCGCTGGCTGGTGGCATTGCCGGGCTTGCCCATCTCGTGGCTGCTGTTCGGCCGCCGCTCAGGCGTCGCAGGACCATCCTGTCGTCCGTCTCGAGCTGCCGAATAGTGCCCTGCGGACCGAGGCGCAGGCATGTGGTGATCAGCCATTGCTTGGGCGCCGGCTCATAGTCGCCAGTGAGCTACCCCGTTTCTCTCTCTCAGGTTGCCCTTTGCGATTCCCGTTGTGCTACTGGAGGGCCGAGGATAACGGTAACATGGCGAGGAGGCTCTTGGAGAAGGGAGGAGGGAATGAAGAGGGGAGAGAATGGAAGAAACCGAAGCCCAAGGGAGCTGGAACACGCAATAGGGGGGGTTTCGTTTAAGGAGGGGTGCAAGTTCCACTAGGGATGGGAAACGAAACAGGACAGGAAATCAAGATTAGAAAAAGGCCGTTTGGCGATGCGCAACGAAGGCACAAGAAAAGGTTGAAGCTGAGCGTCCACTCCAACTAACCACGCCAGATTCCTAGCATCAAATTTAGCAGCACTTTAGCAGCACCACCACCGCAAATGGCACCAAAGGAACAACGTCCAAGTCGAAGCCCTCTCAACTCTATTCGCACCAGAGTTTCGCCTCATTCGCGGCCGAGAAGCGCAAGACCGGCGCGGAACGAGGCGCAGCGCAAGCCCAACGTTTTCTGCACCTCCAGGTTGTTTCCGCCGGGACGCGCAACTCGCTTGACGCAAACCCGGCTGAAGCTCGGACTCGTTGCGAAATTGGCCTTGAAACATGCTTTCAAGTTTGATTGTGCCCTGCTCTTTGAGGCCCGGTTTTTATTTGCCTTGGGCGGCCTGTAGTTGTACTGTACCTTAGGTATGTCACCGGTACGTGTCCATGTGACGATGTATCTAAGGTACGATATAAGATAAGATGCTACTACCTATACGAGTCATGGTGGTGATGGGACTGGTGGTGTGTCTGCTGGCGAATCACAAGGAGAGGAAGCGCAGTCATGCACGGTGATGTGATGCCGCCATCAGTCAGAAGCCAATCTGCACCAGATGCCATCCATCACTTGATTTGGCCTGGTCTGCGTTTCTCTCTAAATGCGTAATAGTTTATTGTCGAATCTACATGTTTCTTGATTCTTGTCAGTCACCTCTATCATACATACTATATCCATCATATATACAAGTACAGAGAGTTGTGCAGCCATCCAACGGCCCAACAGGCTCATGAAGCCGCATCAGGATGAGCTGCCACAACATCCTCGCATCGTCCACACAGTCCGTCCTCCTCTTCAGCGACATATCTCCAGCATCGAGAGCATTTTCTCTGCTTCGGCGGCAAAACATGCACAACGCCCTGCCTGCCGTCTACTGTAAACTCTTTGGTATAGACCCAGTCGTGACTGTCGGGTGAAAGAGGAGTGTTCAGCTCGACAGACGATACCACAAACATGGCGTCCAGCTCATCTAGGTATCTCTCCACAACAGTCGCTAAGCGGTCATCCGTGACAGAAATGTTCAAGGAACACTGGAGGGAGCTGCCCAGCGCTTTCGACTCTCGGCCTTGCTCCAGTCCCGCCTTGACTGCGTCGTGCACGGCGGACAAGACGGACAGGTCTAGTCGTAGCTGCGCCTGATCCAGCGTTAACCGGGCAGGATCAATTATAGGCGAGGTGTAAAGCTGCCGTGCCGGGTGTTCGAAAGACCTAAATGAAGGGTTCTGTTAGGGAAACAAGGCAGAGCACTAGCGATTGAATATTAACTTACGCATCTTCAGCCATCCACGATGGCCTGTGAGACCAGGCCTCTTCTACCAGCATCGGCGTGATTGGCGCCAGCATCCGCAAGAATCCATTCAATATGGGCACCAAGACACCGCCCCCGTCACCACAGTAGAGGCGGTCCTTCAGCGCTTCCAGGTAGAATGCTGAGAGATCAGTCGCAATCCATCGGTTGATGAGCCCGGTAGCCTTGTGGAGTTCGTAGTTGCTGTATGCCTCCCAGACCTGCGCCATGACATCCTGAAGCTGCAGAATAGCAATCTGGTCGAGCTTTGTCAACGGCGCCTGCAGCGCGGACTGGTGCAGTGACCCAAGCAGCATCTTCAGAGTTGTCCTGTACTTGATCAGGGCATTGTGGATTGGCTGTAGGATGGAAGCGCCCACGAGAATGTCGGACGTAAAGTCGCTGCTGGCAGCCCAGAGTCGCATGGCATCAGCCCCAAGGGCATCGAATCGCTTGGCGGCATCGCTCCCTTTGGTCTTCAGGGGAGGCAGCAGCTTGCCCTCCATGATTTCACTGGGAACAATAGTATTGCCCAGAGACTTGGACATCTTCTTGCCTTGCGCATCCAGCGTGAAACCATGGGTGATGAGTGTCCCAAAAGGAGCAGCAATATCGGCTCTAGCTTTTCCGTCTGCCTTTTGGGCCGCCACGAACGTGAGAAGACTCGATTGGAACCAGCCTCGGTGCTGGTCAGAACCCTCAAGATAGACGTCCACGGGGCGCCCAATCTCCGTCCAGCTGCTGCCGCTATCGAACCAGACATCCATTGTGTCAGTTCCACGCCGATATGTGCCCTTGAGCGACGGTGCGATCCACGTCGGGTCGTCTGGGGCATCAGAGAACCAGGCGTCTGATGTCTTTTGTTCCATGACAGATATGATGTGCTCGATGGATTCGTCCGTCATAACAGCGTCCCCTTTCTCATCATAGAGAGCCGGGATGGGCACGCCCCAGGATCGCTGTCGAGAAATGCACCATTCGCTCCTCCCTTTGACAAAGCTTTCCAGGCGTACCCTACCAGAATCTGGGACGAAGCGCACCTTGCTCAGCGCCTGCAGAGCATCCTCCTTGATATGTTCAACGTCTGCGAACCATTGTGCCGTAGCCCGGATGACCACAGGTTTCTTCGTGCGCCAGTCATATGGATACTTGTGTTCGAGCTTATGCGTCCAGAGCACATCCTCGCCGACCAGGTCCAGCACGGCCTGGCTTCCGCCCTCAAGGATAGGAGGCGCCGAAGTCAGCTTCTCAGGATCGTCTGGATAGGCTTCAGCGGTAAAATGACCCTCATCCGTGATGGGAGCAAAGGCTTCGATACCAAACGCCGAGCAAGCTTGGTAGTCTTCCTGGCCATGTCCGGGTGCCATGTGAACCAGACCAGTACCCGAGTCGGCAGAGACAAAATCAGCGTGAACAATGGGTTGCAAAGAGGAAGAGCCTCCCCTCAGCTTGTTCCGATATTGGAGACCCTTCAGCTGTGAACCAGGAATCGATTTCGCAATCACCACTGCAGAGGGCATGTTCTTTTGCATAACCTCTACACGGCTTTCTGCGACCAAAAGTCCGCCATCTCCGACCTGCAGCAACGCATAATCGAGCTCGTCGTGTACAGCGATTGCCTTATTAGCGGGAAGCGTCCAGGGGGTGGTTGTCCATATAGCAGCGTAGAGTCGACCTTTGAACTCGCTCAAACCGGGGACCGAGCTCCAGTTCGACATGATGGGAAATCTGACATAGGCGGCAGTCGACACGTGGTCGTCACGGTATTCCAACTCTGCCTCAGCCAAGGCCGTGCGGGACGATGGCGACCAGTACACCGGCTTGTGCTTGCGATATATAAGGCCGCTGCGAACCATCTTCTGGAACACGCGAAGCTGCCTAATCTCGAACGCCCGGTCCATTGTCGTCCACCTGTTATCCCATTCGGCCATGACAGCAAAAGATTGAAACCCCTTCATCTGATCCAGGATCGTCTTGCTCGCCAAGCGCCTGGCAGATTCTCGAATTTTGGGTGCACTCAGTCCCTTTGTGCCGCTCTCGCCGAGCGCCTTCATCTCGATGGGAAGACCGTGGCAGTCCCAGCTCGGCCTATACATGACCCTTCTACCAGCCTGCACCTGTATCCTGTTGATGATATCCTTGAGGGTCTTGTTGATCGCATGGCCGGCGTGAAGCGGCCCGTTGGCGTACGGCGGGCCATCGTGGAGGACGAACGGGTTCTCTTGGGGCCTGTTGCTTGTCTGCCACTGGTAGAAGTTATCAGTACAGTCGCGTAGGAGCTGTTGCTGCAGCTTTGGATTTGGGCGAGCTCTACGCTCGAGTCAGCGAGCTCCTCTACAAGCAATGGACCGTCTTGTTCGTCTTCTCTTCTGCTGGCTGGCTGGCTTACGGAAAGGTTGAACGCGGCAGCCTCAGCGTCGCTTTCCATGACTTTGACATGTTCGTAGCAAGACCATGCCGGAGGGCTGGCACGCTGGGCTTGGGCCTCCGGGGCAAAATCAGTTCGAATTGGCGTTTTGCGAATGGCGACTCCAAAGAAACAAAGATTTTTTTTCAGTGCTGGACTGGCCTTGAAGATATCGCGACCACCGAATGATGCCCCGCGCCAGTTGCGATTGGGCGCTCTAATTGGGTCCCTCGGCGGAAGCTTACAGCGGCCTTGGAGCCCTGTGTCTAGTGGATGGCGCGGGGCATTTGATGTGGCCCGCAGCCTCGATTACATCACCGACGAATGCGGCTCGAGCTCAGACTTGATTGTTCTTTTCGACATTCACGCTCTCACGATACATCCATCCGGCAGAGACTCGACGCGAATATGGCGCCTATACGCCGATACCTTCGGATCACAAAATACTCCGTTCTGGAGTGCAGAATATACTTGGACAGCCCGGCGCTGGCACAGTCATGGCTCCTCAACCCTCGCGATCCGATTCTTCCAAAGGTCATTGAAGCTATCCGGCCGCTCGTCATACCAAAGCTGCGTGAGGAGAAGGAAAGGAGCAAGAAAAAGAGCACCAAGAAGAAGACGATCAAAGACGTCATAGTAAAAGGTACGTGCTCTTTTTACTTTCACCTCTGCTCCGAAACGAACCCTACGGAGTGAAAGACACATCTAACAGCCCGCAGATGACTTTGAGGTGTCTGTCTTCTTGATGGAAACGGACACACGACACTCACTGCTCTCAAAACACAAGTTCTTCCGGGAAAAGGGCCCGTCCGCATTGCAGTCCAATGCATCAAAGCTCATCGCAGAGACGAATGCGAATCCCATTGACGTGGATGCCAGCGACTTTGCGCCAATCCGCATCGAGGAGGACAGTGACAACGAAGGCGTGACACTTAGCGATATCCCCTCCGCCAACACTCGCCGGCAGGCAAAGCGCCAGAGGAGCAATACCCTCGAGTACGGCGATGACGATGAATTTGAAGACGCCAGCGACGACGCCGACTCGGTTGTCGATGTGGATTCTGATGGTCATCAGCCTTTGCCAAAACGCGCCAGGGGCCTTGAAAACCCGCCAGCAGAGCCAGATGAAGACGACTACAAGAAGAAGCTCGCGATGGATGTTTCATATGAGGGCTTTGCGATCTACGGACGCGTGCTGTGTCTGGTCGTGAAGAAGAAGGAGAGCAAGCCACAGCAAGCTCTCGGAGGCCAGGCCAAGATGGAGAACTGGATCACGTCGACGCAGATACCAGTTGGCGAAGAAGCCTCATAATGAGGCTGGGGTTAATTCGACCAAGACGGCCTTGTCCAGAACGCAGAAGACAGTCCATACTACTAAGTATGCATCCCGGGCTAGACATCTCCCGGCTCGTGAAATCGTCTGCGCATCGTTATAGACACAGCCTCGGCAGAAACTATCCCAGATCGGGCCACCCCTCAACGCCTTGGACGGTCGTCTTATCGCAGAGGATTGTACATACAATCCAAACTCGTGTCTGACATCCAAGTCGAACCATTGGGATGCAAGGCGATACGATGGGATGCCTCTGACGGGATGCCTCCGAGGGATCGTCGGCCAGGTGCTGGCACACCCCCGAAGATTACAAAGTGCAGACGGGATAGTATCTTTGATACTGAGGATCATATCAGAACGCCAGCTGGAGTCCCGATCACGTCAAAGTTGACATCATTCTGGGTCCATGGCGTCGCTGGAGAGGTCCCTGAGCACATACACGCTGTTTCACCAATACCGCCCGTGCCCTCAGGATAACGCGGAGCAGCGTGGAGTTGCCCTCGGCCCCGGTGCTTGTATAACCTGACAATGGATCAACAGCGGTCTGCCATGCCACCCATGCTCCTTGCGACCGTTTCAAACGGATCATCCCGCTCACCTTGCTCCGTCTATACATGTACATACTTCATCCACTGAGGGTGGTGATATTGACAGCATTACAGCGGTGCGTATAATGGTGGAGATACCCCATCGACATGGCACAATGACAAACGCGCTGCGGAGGACCACGGTCTTGGCGGCAATTGTCATTTTAGACAAAAGTCCGGCCACTCTGACCATGTCGAGTCTGAGGTCGAAACTGTTTCCGGTGAGAGTCCAGGACTCCAGATGCCCCCCAAACCAGCACAAAGCGCCGTGACTGGCCCGTGAACAAGGCGCAAGCAACCCGAGCCGGGCCGTCGACGTTGATTAATTGCCTCGTCTCGACCTGCCACGTGAGGCGCCATGACAAGGCTGCGTCGCGCCTGATTGGCTGTGTCTCTGCGAAGCGCACGGGAGGCTATGGCTGCCTGTGCCTGTTGCCTCTGCTGCGGCTATCTCGAAGCTACGGTGGCAGCGCTATGTGCTCGCTACCTTGCTTGTAGAGACGGGGTGCTAATCTAGACTCGATTGCTTTCTGTAGATTATCATATTCCTGGACTGTTGCCGAGAGGGAGAGATAACGCAGAATTGAGCCGGGATACCTCGGATCAATGGATCATGTGCGCAGCTCCTGTTGTTTGAGGTGGCATGTTCCAACCAAGCCGAGCCATTGGACGGAAGCCAAGCTCGCCTTTCGCCTTGTCACGTCACCGGCGACTCATTCGCGGACCGTTCATTTAACAATACATGAACATGCAAGGGAAGGTGATGTAGTAGGAAGTTGGGCATTTTGCCGTCTGCGTCTCTTGGCTCCCATCTGCTGCTGTGCCTTCGGAGCGGGCGGGCAAGCGGTCGCAATAACAGGTCGCAGCAACCGCTCAGCAGGCAAAGCGGGCATAAGGCGAGAAAAACCAAACCACATCATCGGCCGCACGGGTTGGGCGAAGCAATGGCCAGATACCGCCGAGCCGCAACGGGCGCCTACTGGCGGTAGGTATGCCATCGTCAGAACCTTTTTTTTCCTCTACGGCGCGGCGGTGATTGGTTACCGAGAGGCAGAGAATCTGCTCACGGTCCGTTCCTCCAAAAGGAGCAGGCTGTCTTGTCATGCTAAGCGCGGGCAAAGCAAGCAAGCAAGCAAGAGAGTGTGACCCATTGGCGATGCTACATTCTCGGTAGGTAGACTGGGCGGGCGTGTGGAGGATTGCCTTGGGGGGGGGGCATATGCACGGCATCGTCGTACGTACTGGTACGAAGAGGGAGCTGCAAAGTAGCATCGAGAAACGGATTCAGTATTCGCGTTGCAATATTCTACTACTTGTATATGTACAGTCAGTCAATGCATGTATGGCGCGCCCCTCCCCCCTCCCCCCAGCAGCTGGAGAGGAGACATGGGCCATGGAAGAAGGGTTGCGGTGACGGTTTGCCGAGAATGCCGCGGCCAATATGCACAATGTGATGATGTGCGGCATTCTCTCTTTTTGGCCCTCGCATGACATGACAGCGCGCCGGAAGATCCATGCAAGCTGGGAGTGGGAATAGACACACTGCACACAACGTGAAGGAAGACTCAACGACAAAAAGAAAAGGGTACCTAGGCCACAAGTACCGCGTACCTGAAGTTGAAGACGAAACCTCCCCATCCATCTTGGCGAACGACAAGCCATGTCATAACTCACCAAAAACCTCCAACCTGCATGGGAAGTTACATACATACACACAAACTAGGAGGTCCAGCGAGCTGAAGCCTGTGCTGGCACGATGGTGAAATCTTCTTGCCTGCCGGGCTGGCTCGGCCATACAGGCCTCGTCCCGCTACACCCTCTCGACCAACCCCCACACCCTTCTCAGTTACCTACCTTAGCTTCAGGTTCAATAGGCGAACCGAGCAGCTTGAAGCCATCACGAACTACGGGCACTTCCAACATGGAGAGAGAGGGCGCTGTGGCTTGAATTAGCGGCAACCGATATTTCGCGAGCCGAGATTGCTTCATTCTTCATACATACTAGTAGCCCGTTCATATACATACATGGCCCTGACGAGGAGGAATAAGGTTTCTGCTCGGAAGCATCTTCTGAGCCGAAGCGAGCAAATCATGACTCTTGTATGCAAATCATCTATTTCTCCTCGGGCTTGCTGCATGCATGACTACTTAGTACATACGTTGAGGTACGTTGATGGTTTCTCTTGGCCTTTGAATTGGAGCAATTCGTCTCTGCAATAGCTATTACCAAGGCCACAAGAAAGACCCAACAACAGCCATAATATCGGTTATCATGCAACGCGGAGATTGTGACTTGGGATCGCAGCCCATCCCCCCCACAGACAAAACATCAAGAGGAGCAGAAAATGCACTGACAATCGAAACACTTCACACACGCTTACCTGGAATTATACATCAAGACAACCCCCAAAATCTAAGTGTAACACATGAGGAGCAAGACCAAAAAAAAAACCCGCGCGGGCCTCTGTTTTCTCCACGATCTGCCCACGATTTATGGGGGAGAGGATTCCAAAACACGTTGTGTGGCGCTCCGGCGTCCCGGTGTGTTTTCCGCAAGGTCCGGGTACTTTTTTTTTTTTTTCCCTTCTTCGTTTTTCTTTGATATCCGGGTTGAAGGTGGGCGTCTCTTTAGTTATCTTCGTTCATTTTGTAGCAACTTGAGGTGATCGGGAGCCGGACATTTTAGCCCGTTCATCGTGCCTTTGTCTTGAGTGTGATGAGCATCTTCGAGTTCTACCCAAGGTAGGTTAGGTAGTGATGCACGTTAGGACTGATGGCAGTTTCATGGATTGTCTTGGACGCCGGACTTTGTTCTCCGCTCGTAGACGCCTGTCGTCACCCATCATGTCGTCATCTATCGCAGGCATCAACAGCAAGAAAGAGGGGTTTGCATGCATGTACATACATACAGAAGGCAGACCAACCACTCCAGTGCACCACAGACGAAGAAGTTGCAGGACAGGCTGTGACGACGGCGCAGAAGATCGACTCAGCTCAGCTCAGCTCAGCTCAGCTCAATCAGACGTCCAATATTGGCTCATCATACATACTCCATGCATGGACTGTAGATGGTCCGACATGCAATCCCGCAAGAGGTGCAATACCCGTATCGCAGCCCGGGAGAGACGGAGTCTTCCACCTCCAGATCGCCCTCAACAGCTCTCTGAATATGTACAACCGGCTCCGTCATCAGTCAACGACAGCAGCTTTACCAACGCACGAGCCTTCTTCTTCCCCTGGATCGCTCGCTCGCTCGCTCGTTATTTGCTGCGCAAAGAGGTGTGGCATCCCGCTGAAACCCATTCGCCCATCGCTGGCCCGGCGATCGCCAGGGGTTTGACAAGTTTCCCCAAAAAGCCACAGAGCTGTACCCCTGCCCACCACGTGGAAAAGTCGGCAAAGGTGGCTTGTGCTGCGGTGTGGAGTCACTGATTCAATGATCTCTCTCTGCAGGATGGATGGGCTTCGAGCGGGCGAGTAGCATGGAAGTACTCGTATGATGGGAGTTGATGCTCGAGCTAAACAAGTGCCTCTGCTATCTAGTATATCGACCCAGGCAGTTTACGACCTAGGGCGCCTCTATTTCGGCGGTTGATCAGTCTCCGATACAGATAACTTCAAAGATATTCAGGCAGCAGGACATCATTGGCCGTCGGCGAGTCCTTGATGCAGAAGCTCTGGCTGACCGTTCATCACTTGCGGCCAGGATTCTGCCATTGCTGCTCCGGCCGATATATCGTATAAGTCATGTCATGTATGCATTGTCTCCGAGCCGCGTCATTCTGACAGCTCGAGTGTCACGGTGACAGCAGATCTGCATCGCCGAGGGAGTCATGGCCGAAGAAGCCGAATACCCTCGGAATTATCAAGCACTTCTCCCGCACAGGCAGACATGTCAGCCTCTTAAGCATGGAGCAGCGGAAGAGATGCCTGGCTGGTGGCGGATCCGAGACAAAGACGGCAGGTGTCTCAACGTTGAAGGCATCAAACCATGGCAATTATTGATCCGTCATGCGGTGCGGCTGTATGTACATAGTGTACGCTGTATGCATCTTGTCAATGGCGCCAGAGCGAACAAGTGACGGCATTTGATCCTTCCTGCATGACAGCGACGCACACTCCCGGGGGTATGAGACTGGCCATCGACCATGGCAATGGAGATACCTGCACGATGTAGTCAATCCTCGTGTACGAAGTAGTTCGTGCCCGTTGCTGTGCCTGAGCGACCCTGTCTTCAGCTTTCAGCTGCGTGGCTGCGCTTGGCCTTGGCCCTTCACGCGAGTGCGGCTGGAGACGAGGGTTCGCAAGGGACCAGCCGCCGTCGCATCGCGGCTGCTCCCTCCTTTGTTCATCGTACGCAGCCATCGTTATGCCAGAAGCGGCACATCCAAGAGTCATCGCATTTGCACCACATGAACCAGAATTGCTCTGATTCATACCTGCATAGTCACCACGCATGTACGAGCAGTAGGAGTAATCCTTCTCCCGCAGCTGCGGGCGCTGTCGGCAAGGGGGCCAGCTGCATGACTTCTCCGCAGTGGATGGACTGTCCTTGGAAGATGCTTGACCCCGTCCCAAGAGAGCGGGTTCGACACACGGACAAGGCTGACAATCCTGAGGACTCTCATCAACCCATGTGTCCATGGATGCCCAACCAGCTGGATTCCACAATACGAGCATCACACTCGACGCACCCAGGCGCGCTGTGACTCTGCCTTTCTCCCCATCCTCTGGCGATTTGAAGTAGCATTGTGTGATGAATCGGGTTGGTACAGACTCACCCAGCGAGACAGACAGCAAGGATCCCCGCAGTCACGGCCATGATCATCTGACGATGGACCAGGGCCAGAAGTCGAATCCTGCCATGCACGGCGAGCAGCTGACCCTGTGAAGCTGTACCCCAGAAGATGATGGTCGTGAATTCGCGATAGCATGGATCAAAAATCCATGCCGTAATACGTCTCTCGACGACGCCAACCGCCCTTCAGCCGCCCCTGGTGCTAAGCATGGCGAACTGCAGTTCGGTGGCTGCAAGTTTTCGGACATGGTTCGAGATAAGCGGCGAACGCTGCAGTTTCTTGGAGAACGGCCTCGCCGTTTCGCTAAGCTGCCAAGCTTTTTGCCGGCCAAACGGTTCCAGGTACAAGCGAAGGATGAAATAAAGGGGAAATGGCCTCGGTCGTTGTCGATGATGGAAGCAGAATGGAAGGCTTCCACGGAACCCGGCAATCAACGGAGAGCAGTCAAAGGCGGCCCGTGATTGGCCGCGCACCCGAGATTTGTATGTATGTACTTGGTACTCCGTACACGCAAGACGGCAAAGAGTCGACTACTGTATCTGCAAAAGACTCGGTAAAGTGGGCAAAAAGGCCCAAGGGCCAAAGAAGATACTGAAACGAGGGGACCGTCCTCAGGAAATGCGGAGGGCAGACACGGCACGGTGATTGGAAGGCGTCGGTTTGCGCTAGGACGGCCCAGATGGCTGGAACCTGGAACAGGGGGGGGGGGAGGGACGAGGTTCGTTTGGGGCTTGTCGTCAGCTTTCAATTCTGCTGCTGTGCTGGCTGTGACTCTTTGCCGGTGCGCTGGCAGGCCTGTGGTTTGGCGGGCGAGGTGAGGGCTCGATATGATAGGGCTAGGAGCGATGATACCCTGTGCTTACTCGCTACATGGCGAGATCTGCCCTGCGGTGGTTCTTGCGTGGCATTCCCTCCGGAGCAGGCCAGGGTCGTATTAATAGTACAGTATGGATGGATTGCAATTTGGCAATGAATGCAACAACTATCGTTGGCGTCAGGAGGTGGCGAACTCGGTTGAGCAAACGGGCGTTCGTCTGGTCGCTGTTCCTGTCAGACGCTGCCACATATCGGCGTCGAGTTGAGCTGTGATGGCCGAGTCGACCAGTCAGAGACAGCTGGGAGATGGGAGAGGGGGGGAGTCAAGGTTCAGTACCTGCATAGGGGCCAAAGGCAAAAATTCAATTTGCATCAACGGCGTGGATGAAGGGGAAAAGTCAATTGCGTATGGTCGTGGTCATGACACCCTTTTGGCGCGTCTTATCATTAACGACAGCTGCGCAGTTACGGGGGGGAGACGCGTCTACAGGGCCATGGGAGTGCATCTGCTGGCAATCTTGTACCTTGTGACTATCAGCGAGCAATGGATGCCTTCCCGACAGGTTTCGAAAGAAAGGAACATGGGAAAAGGCGGCATTGGACGCCAAGTGTGCCGCAGATAGTGTGTGTTCCCAATCTAGCCGCGATTGCCTCATCTCACGGCCAGAGCATTTGGTGAATTCTGGTAGTAATAGTATCTGTTGCCTCTACGGCACTCCGGCAGTTCGAAGACGAGTAAATGACAAATACTACCGGCTCAGAATCAGTCAAGGTTTGGTTTTCTATCTATACACGCACGGCAAGTAGTATGTATTAGAAATACCTTACCAACATCAGTAACAACTTGAAGAGGTGACAGCTGCGGGCGCTGTCCCACGGGAGCTACCTAGACACGATGAAACGGGAGCCGTCGACCACTCACAACAAGGTACTTGGCCGTCATGTACACACTCAACGACAAGGGCTGTTTGTTGTGGGCATCGCAGCGTCATGATCTGTCGTTGTGAACTCCTGCTCCGCACGCAATCTTGTCTTGCATCAACGATATCCGAGACACGTCTGTTTGATTTTCCAACAGTGAGGGTCCTTTCGTACAGGGAGGGAGGGAGGGGGGGCGTGGGCGTGGTTGCGGTAGAGGCATGGCGTATGTACAACAAGGAAAATCAGCACCACCACATACAAGAAAAAAAAAATAGCACGGCACAAGATTCTGCCCGCAAGCTCGATCAATTCGAAACGGCGGTGTACTGCATACTTGAAGCTGTGTGCGACGGCTGGGCGTGTGGGATGTACCGAGTCCCGGCTGATGCCATTTTTGGGAGATTGGGAGGGAGCGCTAGGCCGTGAGACAAGGTTTCGACCAAGCGATATGACGAACAAGAGACTCCAGCTACGATGATTTAGCTCGAGATTTACGGCACTAAGAAGAGCAGAGAGATGGTGAAGGGCGACACGTGTTTCTTGGGAGGGATACGGAGGCCGCGGTCTGCATGTACAAAGGTACGATACAGACAGCAGACCATTCCTCCCCATCCTGCAAGGCGGATCCTGCGGGTACTGACTGCAGCACGACCTTGAGGGAGGATTCAATGTTTGATAGATAGTACATAGATAGAAGTCGACTCACTTTGTTGGCGAATACGGTGGCTTGGAACGTAAGACGCCAGAAGCCCTGCAGAAGTCCTTGGTGCTGCCATGTGATCTACCGGGTAAGTGTGTGAGTTGCCTGAGATCGGGAGGCTTGGGTAACACCACAAGGCATCCGTTTACGAATTACGAGGTGACACGACGTGCCACACGGAGGACTCGAATCCTTCAAGACCTTTCTCTTTGACGGTGCCAGAATAGTCTGAGTTCAAGTGGAAAGGTACGAAAGAGTATGCACCGACAGCCGATCTGTCAAACAGCGTAAGACAGAACCTTGTCTGGCCATTTTCGTATCAAGCAGCGTCTAAGTGGGAGCACGAGTATTACAGGTTAGGTCCTTATGCGAAAGTTACAGAATGCCGAAAGCCCTGCTCCCACTAGATCTAGAGTCCAGACAAAAGTGAGACATTGGCATACGTGTATCGTGGCTAGACTGCTTGAGAATCATACTGTCTTGAAGCTGTCAGTCAGTGGTTATTTCGCGTCGACATGCGAGTACGAAGTTTACGCGTACTCAGCCGCAGCGTACGGTATGTATGAATTACAACACGCAAATAGAACGACGACGTAAATGAGAGACAAAAGATAAGCAGGGGGCTAGCTGCCTGCCTACCACTCAACAAGTGACAGCCTCCGAGCACCCACCCGTCGAGAATACGCAGACGAGAAGGGAGGGCAAAGAAAAAACAGAACAAAGACAACGGTCCAGACAAGGCCAGGGCTCATCAAACTGGCCCCAGCTCGCCCAGGTACCCGTTCAGTCGCGGGGTGGCTTAGACAACGGGGACAAGAAAAAAAAAAAAAAGTTGACGCCTTATCCGAATTACCGACAGCCCTGTCATTTTCCCTTTCCTAGGTATTTCTCGTTGTTGAGGCGGTAGGGAGGAAAATGTCAACGGGGAGAGGATGGGCCTTGGGTTGCCCCGTGCGTTTTTTTTTTGCTGCCTCTATTTCCTCTGACACTCGTGTTTTGACACTTTTCTCTCGAGGCCTGGTCCTTGCTCACTCAGCTAGAAGGCTTCGATTTTTCTTTCTTTTTCTTGAAGCTCTTCGATTTTGTGCGTGCCCTGTCCTTGTTTGAATCGGCGGCGTGGTGGCAAAGGATAGGCCCGGATATATCCGGAGGCTCAAGTCTCTGCCCTGGGGTGTGTTGTGATGTGGAGTCGTTTTTTTTTTGGGAGATAAGACGCCGTTTGCGATGCTGCTAAATAGCTCCGTATGACGTTTTCGATTTTTTTTTTCTTTTTCTTTCTGCTTTGGTTGTTTAGGCATGTCAAGGGTCCCCAAGAGATTAATATGGGGAGCAATTATCGTGTGGGTTGGACAAAGGCCTCGGGAGAATGCGAGATGGGCAAGATTGCCAAGCTAGCATGACTCCGGACATGGACTCCATATTACAAACACCAAATAAAGTAGAGTAACGGAAAAGCCACAAGAGAATGGGCGGGCTGTCATCAAGTCTAGCCCCCAAGAACAGCCCATGCTCACGATGATCAAGAAGAGTCTGTAAGATGGGATGCCCGTTTTGAAATCTCACAAGGGTCTGCCCTTGTATAAGGGCAAAAAAAAGCAAAGAAAGAGTGAAAGAGCGGGAAGACAAAAAAGAAAAAAAGAGGACCCCTATGATTTCATCGCTGCCCCCCACACTCAAAAGTTGAAGCCTTTCTCGGAGATTGGAACGTGCGTCGATGACAACTGTGCCCGGAGATGTTTGATATGGATACGATATCTACGATACGGCATCTCACGATTTCAACAAGGGCCGGGCAATTTGTGGGAGATGAATACTAGGTACTCGTAATACTCCGCTGAAGGAGAATTATCTCTTTGCTTCCCTCATCAACAGACATGTCCCCGCAGTCATCACATTGCGGCTCAGCTCTTGGCATCAAGTTGTCAATTTTTGTCATTTTTTTTATAGGTACATTGCTCTGGCTTGACGCGGCTGGCAGTATTCCTTACCTTGCTCTCACCTACCCCATGCATACATACGATACTCCGCTTGAACGAGTAAGAGAGCGAATTGAACCGGGGGCATGTGTCTGACAGACAGCCTCAAACCTCGCATATCAAAATTGCCATGTGAGTCATGCCCAGCCAGCCCGTAGCCCGTAGCATTACACATGTGCTGAAGCCCAATGACGAACGATTTTCGGCCGTTGCAGGGGTTCGCTGGCATTAGCCCCCGTCGCACACGCACACGCCTCTTTCGCTCAACAACACCTTTTTCAACTTCACACACGTACACAAACAGCAAATGTCAGTGAGAGGGTACGGCCTTTTTGCACGGCCTTTTTTGCGAGCAGACCAGTTGGGCGGCTGAAGTCCGACCACACCTAGGCAGGTATGTACATAGTATGTAAGGTATCCCAGGGTCGTGGGAGAAATTGTCAACAACGTGGGAGGATAAGGCTGCAGCATTCCATGCGTGAGAGAGTGTGAGTGCAATGGCTTCCTACTGGCTCAGTGAACAACGAAACGCAAACTGCATGGTAGATCGTAGCGACAACTTTTTCATGTGACTCCGTCGTGTAAGTGCTGGAAGGCAAGCACAGCGGCCGAGTCCTACATCCGAGTGCCGGGTGCCGTTCCGACACCGCATGTCCTGTCCCCTCACAAAAACGGCCCAACGACAAACAACAAAGAAGTGAAAAAAGAAACAACTCCATCATTCTTGTTGTTGACCGTCTAAAAAGTCCCATCTCATTCATGCACCCTATTATTAAAAAGCCCGCCGTGATTTGGCGGTCACGAGCAAAAAATCCAAATGGGGCCCGTGGGGGGGCGCGCATCTCGACTTTTAGCCTGTTCGATACCAAAGACTCGGGCGGCTACACGCATTTTCTTGTTCTTCACACGCCTCTTGCTTTCAAATTTTCTTCTCTTCCCTTTACCCCATCCACACACAGGCCAGGCCACCCCAGATTGCCGATTGTTCACGTCAAGTACCCTGCCTGACCGAAGGAAAAAAAATGGTCTCGGCTCTGCACCGTCCCGCAATGCGGTGAGCGAGTGCCAGCGAAGCTAACGAAAGGGTCTAGTACTCGAGTCGTGATGCCGCCAGATCGAGTAGGACATCCGGGGACCCTCTCTCTCTCGGCAGAGGCGTTTGTTGCTTTGCTCTTTTTTGAAATTTGGCTGTCCTGTTCAGGAACTTTTCAACGGGGTAAATAATGGAAGCAGAAAAAGAACAAGGCAACCCGTTTTTAGTGCTCTTGTTAGTTGGGGAGCTTGTAGCACAGACTTGTTGCAATACGAAGCAGACCAGAACAACAAGACTCCGTAGTAATATGAAGCGCCCGCCGGACCGGAGATGCTTCAGTCAAACCACAACCGACCCCCGAGAGGAAAAAAACAACAACAGGACAGAGACCAGCCCTTGGACAAAGCAGAACAAGTTTAACTGTTTCACAATGCCTCTCACCTGTTCCAGCCAGGGTGTAAAACAACCGGGCATCAGAAGAAGGACAGCTGACCGTAGGTCAGTTAACAAGCATGAACCTCGACAACGACACTGTCCGCCCCGCAGAATCGCGATCTGTCTTCTGTATGTAAAACAAAGAAAAGAAAGCCCTGCAGATCGTTCGGAGAAAGAGAGCAGGCATTCATCAGAAATCTCTTGCAGTTGTTACTCTCTGACGTAGTACTCGTACGAGTATCACCGGCGCCATATGGCACATCTACACCAAATTACGCCGTCGTCGAACACACACAAAGTGCTTTGTACGAGTGCTACGTGCCGCGGCATTGAAACTACAGGGGGGGGAACCATCATCGGACGCTAGATGGCATGTTCTTCTTCTTCTTCTTCTTCCTGCTGGTTCACCCTTCCATTGCTTTTCGTACGGAAGTAATAGCGTCGCGCCATCTCACATGGAATCCACCGGCGGCTCTTTCATGCAGATGAAGCCTCGGGTGCTTGCTCCATAGGTACTTGGTAGCAAAAGTATTTTTTTACCGCCTGGAACGCGAACAAAATCTGGCGGTCAGCGGAGAGAAAACCACAAGAGGCTGGCCAGGTGCAGATGTGCATCGGATTGCCGGACGGGGTTCTAATATAAACTGGACAAGGCCAACGAGCGCCAAGACCCGCCTAGGCTGGGGCGGCTTCTCCCTTGGAGGCACCTGATCACTTTTTTTTTTTCTGTTTTCCTCTTCCTGCCGTGTAGTACTTGGCACAGAGTACTCTTTCTCGTTCGTCTTTTACTTCTGTGCGTTGTCGTGCCTGGGTCGGTGTAATGGAAAGGTCAGGCAAGGCAAGGTAGCACTCGCAGACGCTGCGCTACGTCGGCTAATACGGTGTATGAATCAACACGCACGCGCACACTTGCATGATGTTTATATTGAGTGATGACGAAAAATCACGACAGGAACAAGGCGACCTGTCGGCCTCAGAGAGATGAGTGCTTCACCCCCTGTCTCCGAGCCTTCTGTCGTTCGTTCGCCGTGGCCTCAGCTCTGCATGGTTTGGGAAGGCTGGAAAGGCCACGATGCGACTTTGTAGCAGTGCTAGATCAATAAGGTAAGATTGGTGCTAAATACCCAATGGTTCGTATTATTTTGTATGAGATAGGGCCCAATATTGCACATCTAATTTCAGAAAGTGGCCCTGGGATTTGCCCCACGATTTTTGCCCGTCGTTCTAAAGAAGCAGAGCTGGCCCTTGCGCCGGCTGAACCGCGAGGGTTCGAGAGAACAAGACGGGAGGCTTGTCGAGAGGCACAGCACAAGCGGGAGGCGGCGGTCCTTCCAATAATCGAGGACGTGCTGAAACGTGCTAGCCATTGGAAGCCCTTTCTTCTCCACACCCAGGGAGATTTCCGCGCTAGAAAAAGGTCGGGCTTCCAGAAGGCTTCCATACGGTGGAGCCGAAGCGTCTGGGCGCTCCGTTAAGGAGAAACGAGGCGGTCGATGGTTCTGTGGACTGGATGAGGAAACGGAGGCGGAGTGGGCAAAGGAGAAGCTCTGATGGGCATCTCCAGGTACGGAGCAGCAAAGTATTGCTTGTACAGGTATGATCCTGGGGGGACCCAGGCCAGGTAGACAGGTAGAATACGGAGAAGGGCACGGCTAGTCCGTTCCCAATCGGTTCGCTCGTCCGAAAGAAGGGCGCTTGCGGGAGTCGAGATTTGTAAGGTAAGGTAGTTGTAGCCTTGTAGGTAGTAGCCGTGGTAGCTTGTTGAAGGCGTGAGTGTCTCTCGGTAGGCTCAAGTCTTAGAAATTACCTGTAGGAAAAGAAGACTGATGCGGGAACGGTGTAGCCAAGGAACGGAAAGGGGGCGTTTGTAAGCTGGAGAGTAACTGCCACATGGTGCTGCTACTGCTTGGCTGCCAGTGTGCAGGTACTTTTTACAATGATTGCTGATACGGTCGCAACAGGCGGGCAACAGCTCATCGGCGGGCGGTACCTGAAGGCGATGGCAGATGCAGCCAGGCCTGCGGTGGGCGTCGTGTCCTTGCTTGGCTCTGCGGCCTCCCCAGCAACTGGAACGAGGCCAGGAGAAGAGGATCGAAGCGGCCAAGGAACATGAAGCCAGCTCACCGTTTCCGAACACGGTTCTAAACTTAGGATGCCCGATACGGCGCCCGGCAATGTCCAGAGCAACGTGGAAGACTTGCTTCAATTACGAGCACATTCGAGGTCAGAGCTGTCGCTAGCCTGAGCCTAACCGTCTCTCGCGCTATCGTATCTTCTGTCTCTCAATCAAACTCATCACTCCCACCGCCCTCCCTGCATCCAGTTGATTCAGTTCAGTTGCTCGGCCAGGGGGGTCGCCAGGGACCAGGGCTCGACAGGCCTGTTTCAATTTCCTCGCAGTGCCTGGCCCCGCTGGGCTGGCCGCTGCGTCACCAGCCAGGGTCGCATCAGCTGTGAGAAGCGCCCATCAGATGGCACACGGGAAGGGCCTGGTGGGGGCTGGACTTGCAGTTGTTGCTGGGCCATTTTGCGGTCTGGCTTTTGGGGGAGGAGGAAGAGTCGGCGAGGTACAAGCCCCGCCGGTACCAGCCCTGCCCACCTTGCCCAGGCCCCCAAGACTGGGCTGACGTATGTGCAGCAATGCATGCCCGTCATTTGAGGGCTCAACAGAACCGAACGAGGTACAGGCGGAGAGACGTACCTTCTGTACCCGCGTGCCTGTACACTGATCCGCACACGCCCCCTCCCGCGCATCGCACGCCCGCCTGCCGCGACGCCCCTGGTACGATGTACTTCCTCCAGCTGCCCTCTCGCTCGTCAGATTTGCCTTTGCCGGTCCAGAATACATATAGGACGATTGCCCTCCTCTCCCCACGGACTGTTTACTCTCCAGATCACCAGCATCAGCTTCAGCTTCAGCATCATCAGCTCTCTGCAGTCCAGTCCAGCTTCACAACACATCAGCTTGCAACATCTTCTCCATCAAAGCATCCGCTTGATCCTGCTTCTGCACCAGTGCATCGCATCGCCGCTCAAGCCTCGCCTACCACATCTTCGATCAACCACTTACACCGAGACGCCGCCTCTTCCGCCGTCTCGCATCAACACCAAAGCTTCCCAGCTTCTACAACAACAACCTCACAACCACAATGCCTGCTCAGCGACCTTCTCACCTTCCTCCCTGCCCGGGCCCCCCGCCCAGCCGACCTCTGCCTCCTCTGCCCAAATGAGAGTCGCCGCCATGGGAAACAAACACACATCTACACGATGGCTACTCCTCTCCTTGGCTGAGCTTCTCTCTTCGTCAATGGTTCCCCGGATCTGATACACGGCTTTACAACTTGCTCTGGCCTCTGACCGCCAGGGTCAATGCCTCTCCTCTCCATCGAGCACATCAATCTGCCATGCGAAGCGGATCGGAGCTGCACGTCACCACTTGCGCTGCGACTCCGAGCTACTACACAGCACTTCTTCCCAACCGCTGCGGGGCTTAGACATGGCATTGTCTTTCATGCGACCTGCTCTTCCCGAGCTGGACATGGACATGCATCTTCCTACAGATTGCTCCCTTTTTGGGGGTCATCTACTATAGTCGAGACGCGGTAACACCCACCCCCACCGAGCTCGACCATTTCTCGGGCGTGTCGACATCGAATCACCAACCCTGCTCTCAACGGCTTTTCTGAGTCAATGACAACTTCTCTCGACAAGATCACCGTCATAGCCGCCAGCACTCGAAGAAGACCGCCCCACCAAATCTCTCAACCGCCTGGCCACATGACAGGCGCGGGTATCTCTCCTCTCTTCTTCTCTCCACACCGTCTTCGCTGGCTCGAGCGGGTACTTGCACCTTTCGTTTCGATCATCGGCTTCGCTTGTGTTGTGTGTGTGACGCCATCTCATACACACACTATTCTTACTATCTTGTAATATCTGCGGATACCTTTTCAACTTTTTCTTCTTTCTCTTTTTTCTTATTGTTTTCACTTTGGCGTTCAGCATCATCAACGTCTATGGAAGGCGGCGGCGGGGGGGCATTTACTGGCATTGGGAATTGGAAGGGAATCATGTACTACTATTACTACTACTACTCCTAAGGAGTATTCGGGGGGTGCGTCGCGGAATACCCTGGGATGTTGACGACTCTACTGTTCTTGGTTTTTGGTTGGGATACGACGGGCAGAGATAACGATTGAAATGTGGGATTGAGACTATTACCATCTTGCCCTGTCTGGCAGTCATAGACACTACAAATGAAACTTGGCATTTGCTGCTACTACTACTACCATCTACATTACTCAGTTTGCCTCCCACCCTTGTGTGAAGAACAACAAAGATGCTTTGTATTGTCTTGGGTGCTGTGATCTTTGTTGGGTGATCGTCCGATGGGCAAAGTGACGTGTCGCCTGTAATTTGAGACAAGTATGGGGCAATGTTTGATTAGCCAGAGACCAAAGAAAAAGAGAAGCTGGAGCGCCGTGGTGGCCAGCTACGGTCCGCGTTCAATCTCGTGGCCGCTGCGCCTCCGGAATGCCACCTGGGGCTGCTCAAGGGAAAAGTCACGTAGTACTGCTAGGAAGCGGTGGTCCATCTCCGAACGGAACCCTCTCTCTCTCTCTCTCAAAGGGCAAATGGGAAAAAAAAAAGAGGACGAAAAGGCGTACCGATTTACATGGGGAGTTACGGGGTAGGCAGTAGGTATTGTAGTATCGTACCTGGGTAATGAGCCAGGCATGGGGTGGGAAAATCACTCAAGATTTCCCTTGCCAAGAGCCAAGACGATGCCACATCTTGCCGTCTCTCCGTGGGCTTTTTCTTCTCCGAATTGCCTGCTACTACTACTATGTACTACTACGCAATAAGTGCTGGGGTTGCTACTCCGTACACGTACTCGGACAAAAAGATGCGTTTAGTACCTAGGATACTACCTACCTTAACGTAGGTTAAGGTATTATTAATGTTGGAGAGCGTAAGGTGGTAGTTGAAGTGTGTTGTAGCCGAGATATACCGTTGCAGCCAAGATACTTGTATGCGAGGCGGGAGAAAAGAACAACCTTGTAATACACGCATGACCTGAAATTGTCTACACTACAGTAGTACCTTATGCGAAAGGCAGAGAGAGGATCGGCGATCTATGGCTGTGTGTTGTTGCGTGTCCGGAAATACAGAGGACCTTTCGGACTCTGTTACAAGTTTTGTCCGGAGAAAAGAAAAGAAGAGGCGGGATTGGACGGGATCGAACTGGACTGACCAAAGCGGGTATGTGGGGGAGGATTAAAGGGAAATAATGATTGCATGTGCTTTGCACTGGATTCGATGGGTGTCTCCCCTTTTGTCTTCCTCTTCTTTCTTTGTCTTCTGTCTCCTGTGTGGGTTCAGTGGCCCGAGGCTATCACGGGGAGGCCGCCGCCATAGCCTCGCCCTCTGCGGATCCCAGAGCCACACCGAAAGAGTATGAATGATGCGAAACTGCCGTGCTTTCAGCTTGGCTTGGAATTCTTTGGTGGAGAGAGAGGAGCTGAGCGATGTCGGGATACCCTTGCTTTGCCTTGTTCCTGCTGGTCCTTCTTTCGATCCTTCCATTTGCCTTCCATGAGATTTTGCGTTTGTGCGTACGGAGCGGTGAGAGGCTATGGAGAAAACGTGGAGCGGGCTATCATGACCAGGTTCTCTTGTCCAAGTTTCGAGGCTATCGGGAACTACGAACGCACCTAAAATAATACTCAATGCATTTGGAAAAAGGGAAGAAGAAGAATTTTGCTTCTTCTCGCGGGCTTCTAGTGGGAGGGCAAATGGCACACCACACACACACCCCCTTTCTCGTTTTTGCTGCTGGATCACGATCACGACGTGTTTAATCGGTGTGCTACTACTATTACTACCTCACTACTCCGTAACTGGGCTTTGCCGTTGCGCCGAAGTGGCGTTACCTTTTGGCTTCCCAAGGTCCGAACCGGTGGTGCAGCCCTTATTGAGTTTGGGACCGCAAAGGCACGATGGTCGACTGGCGTTTCCTATTCGTATTGCAATCTATTTGGATTCGACGCACAATGACTCGGATGGACGTCTGATTGGGCTGGCTATAATGTCTTCCATCTTGCGTGCTTACAACATACATTTGCCTAGTAGTATCTCCATATTCTCCTTGGGGTGCATGTATGTAGTATGTAGGTACAAGTACAGCGAGGCGGGCATCATCTGCCTGCATTTGCATGCAAGGGGGAAGCGCCCAATAGTTCATGTCAAAACAAGGCTTTGGATTTTGGGGGGGAGTGGAGGGGCCATTTCGATCATTCAATAGGTTCAAAGCATCGCCCCCCCGATCTGAGATGCGTTTGCAAGCTGAGAATCCAGCTGTGGCGAAACGGGGGGGGGGGGGGGCCAAACCAAGAAACATGTGAAATTACATATGCACGGCTTAAGGGGGGTGAATTTGATGATATTACATCTGGCAAGTTTGATGCCACATTGGAGCGACGAATGAGAACAGACGCAGGCGCTGTGGCCATTGATTTGTTAGTCTAGTTGGATGCGCATCGGCATTCTAAGTGTAAACAGAGTCGCAGAACACCTTGATCCTTCATTAAGTGTGTTTATAAACATAATTGGTTGGGTTGGTCAGAGACCTGCCAAAAGGAGACAAATGGACAAAGAGGCTCTGCCGTAGCATCACGCAAGTTAAAACAACATGCGATCCCAATGTTTCACTGTTGACTGTCTGAGGTGGCACCGGACATGCACGAGTACATCCGAGTGGAACTGAATGGAAACTCTCGTGTCTGTCTCTGTGTCCTGTGTGTTCTGTTTGTTGCAATTCTGCAGCAGGCGATGAAGTAATTTACGGCTTACACACGAAGTTGAGGTCCAGCTAACGGAGATGGCCGGTTCCTGGCCAAGAATCGAAGCTACAGCAGGAACCCGTCCATCCATCCTGTTCGGCAGGGCTGCGCCTCCGATTCTGAAACATTTCGCCACTGCATCAACAAGGGCAAGCCCCCCTTTGCGCTTTGGCTGGGCGTGAAATGCTGCCATACGAAGCAAGCATACTATCAATCATTGATAGGATGTTGATAGTCGTGTTCCGTAACCGTAATAATGCCTTCGTACGAGTACCTTACGGATTGACAGCATCGCACGCTCCAACGGAGACGCCGCGCTTGGCCATTGGCCATTGGCAGCGTTTCAGGCTGCTCGACCCAAGCGACGTGCATATACACGTATACTGCACTGTAGATACCTAGGTAAGTAGCGGACATCCAGACCTTGTAAGGAATCGGTAATCAGACAGGTAACAACTGTACTAGTAGTACTCGTACGAGTATGTACGACTTCTCGCAAAGGGAAAAGGCAAGTCAGGCCGTTCTCCATCGTCCGTCCGCCGTACATGCGCACTGCATTGGCGCCTGGCGGTTCCTTGTCCTTGTCCTTGTCCATGTCCATGTCGACGAAAAGGTACCTCACATGCAGGAGGCTTAAAGCATCTCAGCATCTTTGCCTCAGAGACACAGGAGGCGTCACGTGCCGTTGCCGCGGCCGCGAGTCTCCAATCGCTTCCAAGTTGTCCTGCCTCTTGGTATTACTGCTTTTGCTCGAATCGACAGGTGGCTGCATATGTGGACGGACGGGACAGGGCTGGCGTGCCACGTACGTATCGTATCAGTCGATCCTCTCTCCCCCCCCCTGGGCGTCTAATGTCGCCAAACCATGGATTCTTGACCATTTCGGATGCTAGTATCATTCTTCAGCTGTGGCTTGTTGGTGCCACTCGATCCCTGGGGGAAGCGATGGTGATCGCCATTGGCTGATGCGATGACTGGCTTCCTTGGGCTGAGGACGACGCTCGCTCGATCCTATGGCGCGAGGGCGGAGCCGATCAAACAAACGATTGACACGTTCCCTTGCGTTTTCAGCTTACAGGGTTGGCGGTGCGATGCGAGAGGTCATATCGCGATTTGTCTGTTGTTTTTTCGTTGTTGACATGGACCTGTGGACAAGGTTGTAGGTGAGACACCATATGATCCTTGTGCTTTGGTTGGTTGCCTGTTTGTGCCTTGATAGGGCGTGGAGTGCGGCGGTGTTGATTCTCCGGCTCATCATGCTCGGGGTGCTTGTCCACGCAATGATATGATCAGCCGAGCTGCGCGCCATTGCTCGACGGATCCGATCTGTAAATAGCATCACGCGGCTGCGGTATACGAGCAATGCAGGTACACACGCACGGGCATCAGATACCTGGTGATTCTTGGACAGCACCCGTAGCTCGAGATCAAGAGCAAGCATCGCACAGACTTGCTTTCCTACAAGGCATATGACTGTGATACTCTCGAATAAGCCTCTGAGGGTTCCAACTGAAGCGGCCCTCGCCTCGAGGCTGTAGGAGCTCTATGTACTTCGTAGCATGGCCTTTTGGCTCCCCATGCAAAGTACTCGTACGACATACAACTGGGTATTAACAACAACCATCCACAGCCGAGTAGGACTTTACATGCGTTTGCCTTTGACGCCTTGACAATGGGTTACATTGATGGTACATACATACCTCTTGTATGCGGCCTCGTTCATGGTCAGGGTTCCCCCGGATTTCCTCCCGCGTCATCAAGCCACTTCCCATGCAAATCTACAAAGTAGGCATGTGCGAGGTGCAGTGTCTGCCGGTCTGACTCCCCGCCGCTCGTTATGGCCGATGCCAAGCTTTCGACTTCATTCTTGTCATAAGGTAGATGACTGCTGTTGCTTGGGTATTTTGTGGCTTGATGCAACAGAAGGGGGTGGTGTCAGCCTTTGGGGGTGGTTACATGTTGCTGGATGCACACCTGCATAGAGGCAAAATACGGTAGCTTGGCACTTTGACGGTCTCTCGCTTTGCCATTGAGGGACTGGTTCACTCTTTGCTGTGGGATTTCAGCTTGACATTTAGCACGGCCAGTGGCTTGCTTCAGCTTTATACGGATCTTGCATTGCAGATGTATCAGTCGCCCAGCCTGAGTGTAACGGCACGAGAACGTGGATGTCTACGACTACTTCTTTCATGAGCAATCTACGTATTGGGTCAGCAAGTTTGTTCATCACCCCCCTAAGCCGAAGCTTACATGGCGAGTTATGAGGTATCCTTCTCTTCTCTAATACCATCTTGCCTGACTGACGCCTCAGTACATCACGTTGTGGTGCAATGGTTGATGCCGTTTGACAGACGGGTTTTTATCTCTGATAACATCCTCAGGTGGTCGAAAGACCAAGTGATGAAGAGTCTGTATTATTGGCCAATTCTTTCGTCAAACTTGCACTCCATGCTTCCAACATGAAGTTCGTGTGGCGCATCTCGACTGTTGACGATGAACATTAGTGGGGCCGGCAAAATGTGGGACTTGGGGGATTTTGATGCCTTCATGTTCTCTGTGAGCTTCACCAGATCAACGACACTCCATCATCTCATCAGAACAAAGCCTTTGAAACCCCGCCCCCAATTGATAAGCAGCAGCCCTCGACGCCGGACTTGATAACACAACTCGCAAAACAACGAGCGGGAATCTATAGGCTCTGCTCTGTGCTATCCTGTGTGACCGCACAAGCGTCACCCTTGGGCTCCAAATATGCTGCATCTCCATGTCTGGGGTCCGGCTTTCGGCCTGCCCTCTATCGATGCCGAATGTCTAGCCATCATCGCCTACTTGCACAACGCACTGCCCTCTTCAGAGTGGCGCCTCATCCCCAGCAATGATCCCGCCGCCAGCCCCTCAAGTAAGTCGTCGGCTGAAGCTCTGCCGCTGCAAGCATCATTATCAAGTGGCGGGGCGATGTCTCGCTGCGGATTCTGACATCAATCTCCAGATCTCCTGCCGGCTTTGCACCACGAAGAAACCTGGATAAGCGGCTTTCAACCCATAGTGCGATACCTATCATCAGCAGCCATCGGCAACGACCTGGACCAGGTGCTCAACAGCATCCAAAGAGCAGACAGCATCGCATGCAGCGCCTTTCTGAGAGCCCACGCAGGCCCCCTAGTCGACCTGTCGCTCTACGTCTCGGCAGCAAACTGGGTCGCCACCACCAGGCCCGCGTACAGCTCGCTCTTGTCGTTTCCCCTGACGTGGACGGTGCCCACGCTCATCAGGGCGGAGGCCATTGCGCGCGCGGAGCACCTTGGCCTGGCCGAGCTGGACAGCGACTTTGACCCCAATGGCGGCCTCCATCTGACCGGGAGAGATGCCCTGCCCGAGACGTTCCGGAGGCACATCCCGTTGGTGATGGCGAAGAAGACTGTCCGCGAGGAGATGACGCCGGAGCAAGCCACGGCGATACGGCTGTTTGGGCTGACTGAAGACTGCCTCAAGGTGCTGGACGACTTGATGGAGGGGAACAGCGAGGATGACCCTCGGTTCTTCTCCGCGGACGGCGCGGTTTCGTCGCTGGATTGTCTGGCGTTTGGATATCTGGCTCTCATGCAGAAGCCCCCCGTGCCGCGATCTTTTCTCAGAGACTGGCTGGAGTCGAAAACCCCCAGGCTACACAAGTTCGTCGACTCCATGCTCGCTGCCATGGCCAACTGCGGTGACCTTCCCTGGACGGATCCCACCCCGACGTCCGTCGTCCAGTTCGGTGGCCGCGTCCTCGACTCCGTGGCGCGCCATGTCCCTGGCGTGGGCGGGCACTACGCGGCCGAAATGCGCTACAGGGTCGAGCGGCAGAAGAAGGGGGTCGACCAGCGAGCCGTGATGCTCATTGTCGGCGCGGCCCTCGCTGGTTTGGCCACGGGCTACGGCGTCCAGTATTACAGGGCGCTGCAGCCGTTTGGGGCGGCGAGCCAGACGTGGCAGCCCAGGAGGGTGCGGACGAGGCTGAGCGATTTCGGGCAGCTTGGGACGACGCTGAGTAGTGCCATGGGACCGTATCAGCCTGCGCCGAGTGGAATTGATGTGGGAGGTGGGGAGCATGGCAAGTTGGTGGAAGTAGATTCCGAGATAGACTGAAATGAAAAGACGGGCTCGGAAGTTGTGCATAATGAATTGCCATTCAGTATGGGTGATGTGATATGGGTTCTACGCTGGTACGTGATATGTTCCCGTGAGCTGAGCAAGAGTATCGCATTCACGTTCTTATATCTATCATCTATCATGTATTCCGATGACACGCATTTCCATCTATATCTGTCGAATTTCCTTGCCCACCATGTCAGGCCGCTCCACCTCCCACTCATCCCTCAGGACGGCAAACGTCAAATCAGACACAAACAGGCTCTGACCCAAACTCCACACCAGTGTGATGGCATAGAAAAAGTTGGCATTGCCGCTACCGGCATAGATCCACAGATGATAAAACGCAGGGCCGAGGAACGTCGCGTAGAGCATCGTCGCGGAGGCAACGTACGTGTACCGCATGATGGGGTACAAGTGTCGGTACAGCGCCAGCATGGCGAGGAACAGGCTCGTGTCGGCGATGGACGGGTAGGGCTTGAAGACGGCGAAGATGCCCAGGAGGATCGTCAAGACGGCCAGAGGCTGGGTGCGCAGGCGGATGGAGAGACCGCCGACGTAGATGACGAGGTGGAGCCAGAAGACGGCGAGGAAGAAGGCCCGGAACGAGTCGAATATCTCGATGAAAAAGTACCACCACAGCCCGACGGTGGGGGTGAGGTCGGACAGGGTGAGCTGGATGCCGTATGTTCGGGCCAAAAAGTCCCACGAGTTGCCCGTGAGCGCAAAGGACATGGCCAGCAAGAGGGAGATGCAGGTGGCGGCAATGAGAATGGCCCTCAGCGAGAACTGGGCGGCAGAGTCGATGCGTCGCTTTTCGGACTGGCGGTCGTACGCGAGGAGGACCAGAGGCGGGAGGAGGAGAAGCGGGTACATGGAGAGATAGGAGGCGAAGGAGATGGCGACCATGGCGTTGAAGGGAGAGCCGGACAGGGCCTTTGCAATGGCGAAGAGGATCGCGCAGTTTGTGAAGGCGCTCGTTGATCGGCCAATGCATGATGCTACTGTGTAGGGGTTGAATAGAAAACTATACAAACCCAAAGTTAGCAACAGCTTCAAGGGTTCTTCTCCACCAAGCTCGCAGATGGATGGCCTTACGCGGCAGCGACTAAGAGTCCCGGTGATCTCTTGGCCCGTCGAGGGGAAGTAAAGTGCTTCGACTGGCCGGCCTCTCCCGAATCCGCAATCATGAGGAGCGCATACGCGCTGAGAAGATCGACGAGGATGTACAGCAAGGCTGTGAATATGGGCCAGGTCTTGACGTCGGGGAGCAGCGAGAAGAGCGGGAGCAGCAGCGGCGCCTGGTGGAAGACGCCGCCATCATACGGCGAGACGTTGTGGTTATATAGGAACAAGCCCTCCTGCACTGCGTCGCCGGAAGCAGAGATTCAACAACCCGTCAGTTCATCGGACTCAATGCCGCCTCGCCGGGCTGGGGGTTTCGCGATGCGCCTTACATCGTTTGAAGCTCGTCACGGGCGTGGAGATCTCGACGCGGCCGGTCAGCAGATCCGGCAGGCTGGGGAATGCGGTAAACAGGACGAGTCGCAGCAAGGCGGCGCCAGCAAAGACGCCGACCTTGCTCTGCAGAGTCATGGTGGTCGACATGGCATCTCCTAGGCCATATTGAGCGAGGGGAGATGGCGTTGATCGAGTATGGGAGCTCGGCAGATGAGGTGCAGTATATCGATTGATTGATAGGCCACTTGGCCGCAGTTCAGCCTTTCCAGCTGCCGGCCAACCAGATCGCCGGATGCCCCAGGCAAGGCTCGGGAAGTGGCTTGAGTGTGGCTGGTGGGTGGGCTGGGCGGTGAGAGCAGAAGAAGGCGGCTAGTCCGGTTCCAGACAGCGACCCAGGCGGTGGCGCACGGCATTAAAAATTCCAGCTTGGTTCAGGAAAAAAAAAAAAGTTGAAACCCGTTGGCGATTGTACAGACTGAACTGCCCCGCGGAATCTTTTTCTTCCCCAGAGCATCAGTTTCCGCCAAACCACATCGCCATCAATTCAGCACAATGGCGCGCATCAAGAAGAAGGGACAGGCCGGCGCGGCCAAGAACTTCATCACGCGCAACCAGGCGATCAAGAAGCTGCAGCTCAGCCTTCCCGACTTCCGAAAGCTTTGCATCTGGAAGGGCATCTACCCTCGCGAGCCTCGCAGCAAGAAGAAGGTGTCCAAGTCTTCCACCGCCTCAACGACCTTTTACTACACCAAGGACATCCAGTATCTCCTCCACGAGCCGCTGGTGCAAAAGTTCCGCGACCACAAGGTTCTCGAGAAGAAGATCTCAAGAGCATTGGGTCGAGGCGATGTCAGCGACGCCGCCCGACTGGAGAGCAACGCCAGCCGGCCCGACAAGACCGGAAAGCCGACCTACACGCTGGACCACGTTGTCCGCGAGCGCTACCCGACGTTTGTCGACGCATTGAGGGACCTGGACGACTGTCTCTCCATGCTGTTCCTCTTCGCGAACTTGCCCTCGACCACCCAGGTTCCCGCCAAGATGATTGCCCGCTGCGAGCGATTGTGCCTCGAGTTCCAGCACTATCTCATCGTCTCCAAGAGCCTCACCAAGTCCTTCCTGTCCATCAAGGGTATCTACTACCAGGCAAACATCCAGGGCGAGGAGGTCCTGTGGCTGGTCCCTTACAAGTTCAACCAGAGAATCGTCGGCGATGTCGACTTCCGCATCATGGGAACCTTTATCGAGTTCTACATGACGCTTCTCGGCTTCGTCAACTTCAGACTCTATACCTCAATCGGTCTCAAGTACCCGCCCAAGTTCGATGCCGTCAAGGATGAGAATGCTGCCGAGCTGGGAGCCTTCACCTTGGAGGGCAAGACCCTGGTTGGTGGCGAGGAGCAGAAGAAGCTGGAGGACGTTGCGCACAAGCCGGATCCCAAGGTCCAAGCTGCCGTCAACAAAGTCTTGAAGAGCATGTCAAATGGAGAGGCCAACGGCGCCGCTACTGAGGATGCTACACCTGCCGACGGCGAGGAGGCGGACCAGGACGCCAATGGTGCCATTGACAAGTTTGAGCCAGCTGCTCCTGGAGGCGACATCCTGCCTCAGCCATCATACAGCGGCACCAACCCCAACAACCTCTTCTCAAACTTCACAGTTTACCTGTCTCGAGAGACTCCTCGTCAGCCCCTCGAGTTCATCCTCAAGTCGTTCGGCTGCAAGCGTGTTGGCTGGGATGCTGTGCTTGGCGCCGGCGCTTTCACAACAGACGAGCTCGACCCTTCAATCACCCACCAGATCGTCGACCGACCTCCGATACAAGCTTCGATGAACGAGGATGGCGATGGTGAGGATAACCAGACGGCACAGAAGCTCGCGGCCAACCGCCGTGTCCCCGGCAGGATATACGTCCAGCCCCAGTGGGTCTGGGATTCCATCAACGATGGTGAGCTGAAGGAGCCTCACCTGTATGCGCCAGGTGCAGCATTGCCCCCGCATCTGAGCCCCTTCGTCAGAAAGGTGCAGGGTGCCTACGACCCGACAATGGCGCTCGAGGAGCAGGAGCCCGAGCACGAGGCACTCGAGGCTGGTGACGACGATGAGGAAGCCGAGGCGGACGAGACTGTAGAGGGTATGGATGTCGCAGAATCAGACGAGGATGATGAAGATGAGGAGGCAGAGGACGAGGACGATGAAGTGGAGGAAGAGGAAGAGGAAGAGGAAGAAGAGAATGAGGACGAGGCCCTGCAGCGACAGATTGAGCTGGAAGCTGAAATGTCCGGCAAGACGGTCCAGTCAAAGACTGCCAACCCCAAGACCAAGGCCAAGGAGGAGGCCCGGAAGGCGCTTGCCAAGAAGGCCCGCGAGGAGGCCGAGGACCTGGAGCGTGCCAAGGGAATGCTGAGCAAGAAGAAGAGAAAGCTGTTCGAACAGATGCAGTACACGAACAACAAGAAGAGCGCAGAGGATGCCAAGCTGCGCTCCAAGAGGAGAAAGCTGGAGAAGGAACAGGCCAAGGGCAAGGCGTAATTTCTGGGATTTTCTGTTTGATATACTAGTAAATAGGATTCAACGGCGTACATGCGATGAAAATAAACTGTTTTCTTGAAACAATCAAAGTCAGAATCTCAGGAATATGAGATTTCCTAGCTGAGTGAGTGACTGATCGAAGTTGTATGTGTGCTTTGAGACTTGATGTGAGCAGCCTTGAAATTTCTTGCTAGCACGTGAACTTATACTTTTCACCATCACCTCGACCTCAATTTTCCCACTTTCTGCACCATCTTTGGCTCATTCTTGACAAGAACCGACGGAAATAACATCATTTACGGAGAATATCTCTTTCATATCTTGGAATTTTCTCGCAATCACAACGCAAATGTGCGAAGCTTCCTCTCCATGGCGGCGTTGAAGTGATTCGAGCATGGACCGAAGCGATACAGAGTGGGATCTCGATAGCGACGAGATCGCCTCTGTCGCGTCCCAGGACCTTCACGAAAGCAGGCCGAACCGCTGGACAGGCCCTCGACGAGAGTGGCAGCGCTTCACCGTAGAGGAGCGACGGCTCTGGCAGTCGATGGAGGCGGTGGAGGGTCAAGATCTGGCGATTCACCTGTACAATGCGCATGCGCTGAAGAAGCGCGGAAAGGACCCCCAAACGGCGCAAGACGTCACCGTTGCCACGGTACGCGCTTCCCTCTTTTGCATATGATTTATCTTGACGGAGGACGTTTGTTTGCTTGGCCCCATCATGAGCAATGAGTTGGATGGAGTTTACCTGGACTGACGCGCGGCGAGCAGGAAGACGGGCAGCAGCGCATATGGACGCCTCCTAGAGTCTGGACGGCGTGGCCGTTGAACGAAGGGCGCGTTCCGAAGCAGAGGGTCGTTCAGAGAGATCACGATGAGTTCGACAGATTCACTTTTCGCAAGGCGGAGCGGCACATGCCCAGCTCGGAGTTGCACGAGGAGTTGGGAGCGACGATTTTGCGGTTTGCTGGCGAGCGGTTTCGCAAGAGCCTGGAGAAGAGCAAGCGGAAAACCGTGCTCACGTCAATCGAGGGAGATGCGGCGCCTCAGCATCATGGCGAAGAAGGGTCAAGAGAGGATGAAGCCACGTCAAGTTTACCAGGTTCACCATCGCCGTCACGGGGTTCTAACCTCGAAGACGTGAAGATGAGAATGTATTCTGAGGAAGACGAATATGAACCCGTGGACTCGAAACAAAAAAGGAAACCCGATGAGGCAAAGGAACCCGTAATGTCTTCCAACGACGATCTATCCTACGAGATTCTCAGACCATCTGTTCGACATATACTCTCACAGCTGGACTCGACGCTGCGTATCCTTCACAACGCGCGCGTTGCCACCACCAACTACGCATCCGACTCTTCGGCAACCTCAGACTCGGAATCCGACCCCCCTTCCGGCCCCAAGCGCAAGCGTGGACGCCCTCGCAGCACTCATCATCTCACAGGCACGGACACCTCACCTCGCCCCGACGACGCCAGCGCCAAGCCCAAGGCCAGCAAACGAGGGCGCCCACGGAAAGTCCGCGTACCCAACGAGGGCGAAACGCACGAAGAGATGCTCGTTCGAATCGCGCGTGAATCCCACAGAAGGCTCCCCGTGACGGCAAAGGAACGAGACGCGGCGTTTGAGGAATGGCTTCGCCAGGGCGACGAGAGGCTGGCGCGCGAGGAGGCCCTCCTTAGAGAGGAGGAAGAGCTGGGCATCGACCCGCAGGCGAGTGCGCAGGAGAGACGCCTCCGCAGGCTCGGCCTCCGCGACTGGAGCGACGTCGTGGGTGCGGCTGCGCTGGCTGGATTCTCGCACCAGGTCATTGCCCGGACGGCGAAGCGATGCGCCAACCTGTTCGGAGAAGGAATGGTGATGCGGCGTCTGGACGAACTGCCGGCCTCGAGGGCACCGGCCTTTCACACGATGGAGTATCGGCCAGAGAAGATTGAGCCGGGAGGCGATTCCGATGATTCAGACAGCGAAGCAGACGTCGCGACCGCCCTCTCGTCTCGCCAGCCGTCGCTACTAGGCCGCCTCTCGAGCCGCGGCCGCAGTTCGTCTCGCGGCCGCGCCTCGCCTCACCCCTCGTCATCCGCCTTTGGAACGACGACGCCCGCCGGCAAGCGCTCGCAATCAAAGTCCCGATCCCGTTCGCGCTCGCGGTCGTCGGCCGGCTTCCACTTGTGCCCGGTGCCGACGTGCGAGCGTTCCGCCACGGGCTTCACGCGACGGCAGAACCTGCGGCGGCACATGCACCTCGTGCATCCCGGGAGGGGAGACGACGACGAGGAGGAGTGGGACAGCGAGGACGAGGTGCTGGGGGCGGTGCATGTGGATGGCTTTCTGAAGCCGATTGTCCCTGCGAGGGGGTGGAGAGAGGGCGTGGCGGCGGCGGGGAGCTCGTTGGTGATTCGGAAGAGAGGGCGGGAGAGGAGGTTGGGGGAGGACGAGGATGATGGTGATGATGATGATGATGATTATCGGGGGAGATGAAAATCAATTGGATCACGATAGGAACTCAAAACTGCTTTGAACTATATATCATGCTTTACACTAATTCATAGCAAATGTCAACTTTTTGGTCTGTTCGTTGGATACCTTGCCTTGTCGATCTAATACAATTTTCTGGCTCTATCTCTCTCGTATCTAACAGAAGTTTCCCATGACAGCTCTTCTTCTTTTTACCCCTTTGTCTTCTCTACGGAAGAACGTGAAAATGACCTTATGATCTGCCAAGCAAAATTCAGACAACAAAAAGTAACAACTGGCACACGAAGAAGAAGAAGAAAAGAACACACCGCAGAGATGTTTCTCATATCGGTCGCGAGGGGAAACAAAAACAAGAAATGGAGAAAAATTACATGTTATAACGCTGCAGGTCTGCAAGCCAAAAAAAAAAAAAAAAGTCTAACAGCGACGAAAGGAAACATGATGGTTACAAAAAACAAAGGGGGAGAAGCAATGAAACGCGGCATGATGAAAAAAGGGCCGTGGACCATTTCCTCCAAGACGCAACGTTTTTTTACTCAATCCTCTTCTTGCCCTCCTCCGCATTGATGAAACGAGCGGTGCTCAGTCCGCGCTCGTGTCTGGCAACGAGGGACCCGATGACGGCGTCCTTTCTGGCCTTGGAGTAGCTCTCGGCGAAGCCATCGACGGCGTAGGGCAGAGGGTTCAGACGCGGCCAGTTGACCTGCGGAGATAATGTCAGTCTTCGGCTTCCTTGATGAAAAAAACAGCATTGCTGAGGGTGAAAAGTGAGTGTGCTTACATAGAGCATGCCGTGCGTCCAGATAAAGTGGAAGCACCAGGCCGCCACGCTGGACCAGAAGAGGATAAAGAGACGCATGGGGATGACGCTCGAGTTGGGAGGCCTTCTAGTGAAGATGCCCACGAGAACGATAAAGACGCTAAAGGCGAGGATGTACGGAATCGCCTGGATGAGGACCGGCCGCCTGTCGCCGAAGATGAGGTTCGTGCCGACGTTGGCCTCTCCAGGCTGATAGACGCCAAGGAACAGGTCGTACGCGTCCTGACGGGGGCCGTCGAGGAAGTTGTTGAGGCACCATCGCGTGACGCCGATGCGACCGTCCTGCAGGGCGCCCATGGGCGTACGCTTGCCGAGCCTGGTGACGTCCGTCTTCATGGCGCCGGTGCCGGAGTAGGCCGCGGACACGACGTCGGCGTTGTCGGCCCAGATGTTGCGGAACAAGAACTCAAAGGCGGGATCCTCGTCCTTGAACGACGAGCCCTTTGCGAGCAGGCCCAGGTCCTGCAGTATGCGGTCGAGCATGTGGCGGGCAAAGATGCTCTGGACGACGTTGGTGCGGTCGAGGCAGTCCATGCAGTTTGTGCGCATCACGCTGGTCTGGAGACTGCGGGCCTCGATCCTCCCGTCGTTGCCGGGCATGTCGACGCCGCGGAAGTAGCCCTGCGCATCGACGGCGTCCCGGAGTCTGTCGACGATGGCGTGGGCCTTGTGCATCTGCATGCCCTTGGTCTCGGTGTGGTAGTCAAAGTAGACGTAGTGGAGGCGATCAAACTGCTGGCGGCTCGAGCCGGGCTGGATCTCGTGGAACTTTTCGTCCGTCACACGGTCGGCCTCTCGTCGTTCCTTGGGCATGGACAGGAGAGCCTTGGTCATCTGCTCGTACGACTCCTTGACCTTGGACTCTCGCCCCTTGTGGTTGACGAGGTTGATGAGGTAGTTGTCGCCGTAGATGCGGATCTGCTCCTCAAAGTGCTTGGCCGAAGCGGCGAGGGCGGCATCAGTGCTGCGCACGTGGATCTTGGGCGTGTACTTGAGGTCGTTGACCTCGGACCAGAACGTCGGCACGCTGCCTCGGGTCTGGACGTAGGACATGATCTGCACCTCCTGCTGGCCCGCTGCCGCGCCAAACTTGCCGCTCTGCATGTCGCTGCTGCCGGCGAAGCCCCCCAGCCCGGTGCTGCTGTCGTTGAGGATGACAATCTGCTCCGTCTCGTTGTAGTTGGCAACGTGGCCGTTCTCATCCACGCCTCGGGTGAAGAATCGAGTTCCGCCACGGTACCGCGAGCGTCGCGAAATCAAGACGAGGGTCAGGGGCGTGCTCTTGAACTTGGTCTGCCGAATCTCCAGCATGCCAAAGATGCAAGGGAGGATGTAGGGATCGGTGGCGGGCTGCGAGCCGGGCTGGCTGCGGGATCCGGCAGTCCGGAACCTGATCAGCTCGGACTGCAGATGCTTGTTGAAGAAGAAGCGGTCGTCCGTCCTCAGCCACAGAGGGCGGGAGGTGTCGGCCTGGGACTGGCGCTGGATCGAGTTGGTGAGGTCGATGGAGTAGGAAAAGTACAGGGGCGCCTGAGCGAGGAAGGTCTTGAGGAGGTTGATGAAGGTGTCTTCGTCCGGGTCGTGGATCTGGCGCTCGCGCATGGGGAGGATGTCGGTCGAGAGGACCTTGTAGACCATCTGGCCCTTGAGGCGGCCCATGGGCTTGGCCTTGGTGATGATGATGACATACTTGTCTGTATTCACAAGCCGACGGTCAGTTGGGCTCGTTCGGAGCTGGAAACCGTGTGCTACTGACCTAGAGGCAGCTGGATGATGCCCAGAATGCCCGGGATGCTCGACACACGCGTCGCGCGCTTGGTCGAATTGGCGCCGCCCTGGACCAGCCGGATGTCGCCCATGGGGCGGTCGATGACGAGGGACGGCGCATCGGGCGACGAGGGCGACGTGAAGGTGTAGGCATCGCTGGTGACCTTGAGGTTGATGTCGCGATAGGGCAGCTTGGAGGCTGCGAGGTGCGCCATTGCGGGCGGATCAGCTGCTACAGCTTCTGGGGTGTACAGGCTCGACGCCGCTGAGTCTCTCGCCGCAGTCTTGCCCTGTTGAAGCCTAGCACTGCCTGTGACTTTCCGTAGGTGTTCTCAGCGGCTCAGCTTGTCTGTCTCCTCGTTCTCGAGCTGGGATCAATCACATGCGGAAAACGGGGGGAATGCGGCGTGTTCAATCAAAGGCAACTGCCAGCACGGACTCGAAAAGGATATTGGAGCAGCACAGCCTCATCGATTGGCAGGCAAAACGTCACTGCAAAGCCACAGGCAGAGCTAGGCAAAAGGGGGAATTAGTGGCGCAGCTTAGACATCCAGTACCTACAGTAGGTATATTGAGTTCCCCTGATTAGGGATAACGAGGGGGGCATCGAGGGGAAATAATCCCAAGCGAAGCTGCGAAGCAGCGGAGCGCAGGGATTACCGGAGTGTTCGCTGCTTCCAGCTTTGCTTGGTTATTAATTCAGCTTCTCCCAAACGGCTAGGGAAGTCAAAATAAAAGTCGACTGGCAATTGGTCCTTTTTGCCATTTCACCGCTTTCGCGATGTATCCAAGACGTTGTTTTATGGTGTTTTTATAAGGCCAAAGTTGGTATCACGATGTAGCGGTTGTGGCGTCGCGAGATTCCTTGGCATCTACGTACCCGATTAACAACTTTAGATGCCGTATTGCGCGCCTACGCTCTAGAGCATTGGAATGATAGTTATACTGGAAGAAGCAGCGCTTTCTGAGCTTTAGAATGATATAAATCTCGTCTCCTGGAGATGCCTGTGTGGTGCAGGAAACATGTCTTGAGCAGACGATCCTAGTGAGGTCCTTTGAAGTTGACCAATCAAAGCTCTCAAATTTGGTCACATGATCTCGTGCGCCTAGCAATGCAATGCAACCTACAGCAACCCACAGCAAACGCGTTTCCAAACACAATCCTGCGATTTAAATTTTATCACACTTTTCACTTCCATCAAGGCCTTCTAGAGCATCGTCAGCAGCATCAACAGCATTAACAGCATCGACAACATCAACAGCATCGACAGCATCTCTTACAGCATTATTAACACCACCGTCAATAGCGGCCCTAACGCTATGGCATCCGCAGCATCTGCTGCCCCTCCGCCGCCTGATCCCCCCAGCGATCAGGGCCCTAAGCCTCCTGAGGATGCCCCAGACGTTCCTTTGCGGCAGTGTACGCATTGCAAAGAGCTGAAGCATGAAGATGCCTTTGTCCACTTGAGGAAGCCAGGAGCTTTTGTTGGGAAATGCCTTGATTGCCGAGAGCGGCAAAAGGCCCTGTCTACAGGCCGCCGCGTTTGTTCCTCATTATCCCTTCGTTATTGCTTTTGCTAACGTTTCTGCAGATCTCTGAAGCCGTTAGAAGCTTTTCCACGTCGAGCAAACGCGTAATCAGCAGCGTGCAGTCTCCTGAACAACCACAACGCCAGGGCATCCTCCCTACTCTACGAAGCATTGCTCCTCGGCCGGCTCCTAGTGTTGCCCCTAGCGTTGCTCCTAGTGCTGCTTCACGCGCCGCAAGCTTTTCCCTTGCAACCGTTCCTGGGCTTCTGACTTGAGCCGCGAGCAAAGCGCAGTTTTTTCGCCGCGGCGTAAATCTAGACGACACCCCCCAGGAACAAGAAGCTTATTGTCAGAAGGCGTCTATCTAACGTGAGCATCGTGTGGCTTGGCGTGCTGGGGAAGTTCCCTCTCCTACGCCAGCGACATCCCAGCTTATGGCTCTATCGCAGTCTCAAGTCTAACAGGCGTCTGAGCGTCCCCATTCCAGCATGAACGCCCCTGGAGGTGAGGCAAGCCAAGGAGCCTACGGAAGCCAGGGAGCCTACGGAAGCCAGGGAGCCTACGGAAGCCAGGGAGCCTACGGAAGCCAGGGAGCCTACGGAAGCCAGGGAGCCTATTTAAGCCAGGGAGCCTATTTAAGCCAAGGACCTCCTGGAAGCTAAGGAAGCGAATTTGCAGTGGCATCTGGTCCTGCCTCTGATGGAGCTTATGACCTTAACATGTCCTTCTTGCAGCAGACGCTTTCTTCCCAGCACTCCTAGAGTCGTGGCATCACGCCTATGCCTGCCATCCTAGAGCCTGTTTAGCCGGACATTCTATTCTAGGGAGATCTTAGCGCTATTGCCCTCACCCCATCTGATCAACAGCTTATTCGCACCTAGCAGGCGCAGATCGACTCACATTAAATGGAATTTTGCCCCCGCTGCTAGACCAAGTGGTTTGGTCAGCGACTTGCGCAAGGCATTTGCTATCGATGCCATGAGAAAGACGATAAACGCGGCGCAGGTGAGCCTTTCTTCTATTCTGCAGTAAATGACCTAGACTTTGGCGACGTTCCTAGCTATCTGCCTGACCTCTCTTAGATAGAGGAGATGCTTATTGCACGCGTTCATGTTCACGTTCAGGTGTTCCAGCACAGGGGCCAACAATATAAATATCGTGGCCACGTCGTTAGTTTCCTTCGGGATACTGGCAGCATATATACACAGCTTCCTCTGCTCCTACCTGATCTTGATATTATTATCCTATGCCTGGCTAATGAGATAGACCAGGCTTATATGACGCGTCAATTCCGCACGCAATTCCGAGTTCGCCAGTCAGCTATTCGACAATGGCTTCTTTTCTTAAAGGAGAACCATCCGGGCTATAGCGATATACTCATTGACGAGGATCGGTTAAGCCAGCTACCCTAAGACGGCGATGTCTCTCAGCAAGTCCTGAACTATCGGCAAGCTGAAGTTGATATTGAAGACGTCCTTGGCGATGACGATATGCCGGATGACGATTTTGACGCTGCTGCTGTTCCTAATCTCATTGCGGCCCAGGCCGATCTCGATTAACTTCGTGCTGAGCTGGAAGGCCAGGTCTAACCGCCTCCTGAGCAAATTCCTCTGCGCTCTCAGCCAGCATCCTAAGCATCTTAGCCGCAGCAACAGCAGCCGTTCCTACGCATGCCTGGGATTCGTTCAACCCTATTGAACGAGTTCAATCGCTCTTAACCCCTTCTATCCTTAGCATTCCCAACTCTGTATCCCAGGGGCCAGGCCGACTTTGTGCAGCTGCGCTAAAGACCGATTACCTATTAACAATACCTTGCTTTTGCTATGAAGTGGCACGACGGACGATTCGCAAAACACCTGCGATTTCGGTATGCAGGGTTTAACATATACATGAGATCATCGGTCAACACTTGCAGTGCTTTTTACATTAAGAGACCGGGCCAGGCTGCGCAGCGTACGCTTACTGTGGATGATATCTGTGGAGCGTTTAATAATGACACTCCAGAAGCCCAGACGCTCCTAAACTCTATCGTTCGATATTCAGGGAGTCTCTGTGGAACCCGTCCTTACTGGAGTAGCAAGCGGCGTGGGCTGGAGGCTATGGTGCGCGCTCTTGGCTGCCCTGGGACTTTTCTTACGTTTTCCGCCGCCGACAATTATTGGGAGAGCTTGCACAGGCATCTCCCCCATTTTGACGCTTGGCAGGCCGCTTTGAATCGCGACAGGCTGAGGATCTCGATGCAGAATCTCAAAGACAACCCACACATTGCTGCGTATTATTTTGATTACCGCTTCAAGACGTTCCTCCAGACGGTTGTTCTCCCTAAGCTGCGGATCTCAGAGTATTAGTATCGCTATGAATGGCAGGCTAGGGGAAGCACACACGTCCATGGCCTTTATTGGGCTGATGGAAGTCCTGCCGTTGACCTTTCCTCTGCGGCAGATTGCCAGGCCTTTGCGGATCACTGGGGCCCATTCGCAAGCGCGTTGAATCCGCAGCCCGAGCGCGATAATCCCCGAGGAGAGGGCAATCCTCTCGCTCAACGCCAGCAAGAGCCTACCTTTCAACTGCTATCCGACATTATCAACCTCGTCCAGGCGCACAAATGCTCAGAGGCCTATTGCCTTCGCCGACGCCGTCTCCCCAACGGAAGGCTTACGGATAGCAAGGTTTGCCGTTTCTATTTCCCACGAGAATTGCACCAAGGGCCTATCCTCTCCCGGGACTTCAACCCAGCCTACCTCACTTTCGATGGAGCGCGGAATGACGCTTGGCTGAACAATTATAATCGGCTTTTTGCGCTGGCTTGGCTCGCTAATCACGATATCTCCCCTACAGCAAGCGCTCACGCCGTCCTCTCATACGTTGCCAAATATGCCAGCAAGGCAGAGACGCGCAGCGCATCATACAAGGATGTGGCTAAGTCTATCCTTCCAATGGTCAAGAGCAACCAGCCATTAGTGAGCTTTGTGGCGAAGTTTATGAACAAGCTTGCTGCAGAGAGAGATTGGTCAAGCCAGGAGGTTTGTCATCTCCTATTGGACTTGCCATTGCAGGAGAGCACACGCGTTGCCCTGACTGTGGATTGCCGGCTAATTGAGGCACAGCTCCACGCCGAGGTCATTGGGGAGAGCGGCATTCGACCGGTCCAGTTAATGTACAAGAAGTATCTCAGTCGGCCGGGCGAGTTTGAGGATATGAGCTATTTCGTGTGGCTTACGATAATGGACCAGAGCAGGGCGAGGCCATTCTCTGCAAGAGCAAAGGCCTGGGTGCTTGACTACTTCCCCCGGTATCGTCCTGACAGGGAGGCAGATGAGTGTGAACAGTACTGTCGCGTGCGTCTAATGCTTAACCACAGCCATTGCGATCCGGCCAGTCTTTTGTCTGTGGAGGGCGTGCAATTCGGCAGCTTTCGAGAGGCATTCTAATGCTGTGTTGAGCTGCATCCTGGTGCCTATCCTGACGACTACTATTCTGAGCTTCCTCCGCCGCCGCTAGAGGAATTTGAAGAGGAGGAGCAGGATGATGAAGCTGTGGCTGATGCAGAGTGGCAGCAGCTTGCGCAGCAATTGCCTAATCCTGAGCTTGAGGTTGAGGATGTTGAAATGCTTGGAAACCGCCCTGTTGACATTTCGTACGATTGGCGCCTCTACGTCGGGCAATACTCTGACCTCTTGGCTCTTGGCCATTAATACTGGAAGCAGCTGCGCAGTGATGAAGTTGCTGCTGTGGAAGATGCTATGATGGATGCAGAGATGCAGCGCCTGAACCCTGAGCAGCGCCTGGTCTTTGATCTATTTGTTAACCATCTCCAAGACTGACTTGATCCTTTAAAGCCAACGCCCCTGCCTCTCCGCATCTAGATTGACGGCCCTGGCGGCACTGGCAAGTCCTTCCTTATTAAGGCGATTTCCACAAAGCTGCAGCAGATGGTGCCTCTTAACCAGCAGATTGTGGCTAGGGCTGCGCCTACTGGTGTAGCAGCAAATGCTATTAACGGTGCTACATTGCACTTATTGCTACGCTTGCCGGTCTCTAAGACGCTTAGCGAGCTGCCCCCCTTATCCGCCACCGACGCCGCCAACCTTCGCATCAAATTGCGCCATGTTCAGTATCTGATCATTGACGAAAAGTTAATGATTGGTCTGCGGACTATAGCGTATATTGATCGCCGACTCTGGGAGCTCTTTCCAGCGTACCAAGACGAGTATTTTGGCGGACGCAGCATACTTCTCCTAGGCGATTTTTACCAGCTTCCCCCTGTTATGGAGAGACCCCTTTACGCTGCGGAAGTCTAGAGCGAGGTTGACTTGGCCGGGAGGAATGCATACAGATTGATTGATGTCACGATCGAGCTTAAGCAAGTTGTGCGTCAGGCTGGCGATGACTAAGCCTCTTTCAGGCTTGCGCTCTAGAGGCTCTGCGAGAATGCCCCTACGGTTGAAGATTGGCGCCTGCTATGCACTAGAACCTAGTGTCTGTTGCCTTTGGCTGAAGTTGAAGAGTTTGATTTAGCTGTGCGGATATATCCCACAAACGCCTAAGTCCGGGAATACAATTTGGAATACATGGAGAAGTTGAATAGCCTGTGTGTCTGTATCACAGCTTCTAACACTGGGCCTAAAGCAGCGGAAGCCGACTCTCTTTCTGCTGGAAATCTTAATTAACGCCTTCATTTGTGCATTGGCACGCGCGTCATGTTGACTGAGAACATCTGGATGTCTGTGGGCTTGGTGAACGGTGCAATGGGTTGTATTTACGACATCTCGTGGCAGGATAACGTTAACGATCCTCGCACTGAATATCTAACGGTTATTCTGGTTGAATTGGATCGTTATGAAGGCCCTTCTTACTTTTCTGAGCCTGATCGCCGCAGGATTGTTCCCATCTTCCGGTCCACACGGGATTTCATTAAGGGGAGCGCGCCGTGTACCCGCACCTAGTTTCTATTGACCGTGGCTTATGCTATCACAGTCCACAAGTCCCAGGGATGCATCATGGAGCGGGCTGTTGTTGACATCTCTTAGCGGGATTTCTTAGTGGGACTTAGCTATGTGATGGTTTTGAGAGTTAAGACCTTGCAAGGCATCCTGTTTGATGCCTCCTTTGATCTCCTTGCTATACGCGGCAAGGGTGACCTAGCTAAGGATCCTCGCTATCTCGATTGTTAGCGCTGGATTCCTGAGATGATGCTAGTGCTGGCTTCTGTTTCCTTTGCTTAGTTTTCTATGTTGTTTTGTTATTCTGTGATCTTGCCGCTATGGCTCCTTTATGTAGATTTAGTGTTGAGATAGTGTTGGTTTCCCCCCTAATAATAATGCGTGCCTTCCTATGCGTGCCTTCCTATGCATATGCGTGTATAATAACTTCTTAGATTCTAACATCTCTCTTCTATATCTCATATAAAATAAATAACAGCTAAAAACAATCATAACAGCCAAAAGCAATAACAGCAATAACAACTCCTTCTCCTCCTTAGCGCCAGCGCCTATTTGCGGAAGATATACTCGGCCATAGTCTTCTAAGCCTTGCGGGCCTGCTTGCGGCTTACCCCATCGTCGTCACCTTCATCGTCATCATCCAACTTGAGCGCTGGATCCTCATTGTCAAGCATATTGATCATGAGACGAATGGCCGCACGGCATTGCTCTATCGCCTGGCGCATTGTCAGCATAGAGCATAGGAAGTGGGAAATCCACAGATAAACCTTCTTATCTTCCTTATTAACGGCATGATCGAGTCTTTGGATAAAGGGCATGAGCTGACGACGGCTATAGCATATGTTTAGCAGCAAAAATGGTCTAGAAGAAAGGAAGGAATATACCAGGGTCTGCACTTGTGGCTGCCTTTGTTGCAGAGCTTGCAGCGCTGGGAGCTTCCCTCTGAATCCACGCATTGATTGAGAGAAGTCGCCTTCTTGCCGGTGACGAGGCTTTTGACGCAATTCTCACATGGCGGATCCTATGGGGTTACTGCTGCTGCTGCTGCTGCTGCTGCTGCTGCTGCTGCTGCTGCTTGTGATGAGCCAGCGCTGTTGTTGTCGACCTGAGACTGCGTCGTCCGTTTCTTTGGCTTTTGCTAGAAGCAACATGAAGTCAGCGCTTGGAAACGCAAGGGAAAGAGGGAGATATACCACTTTGGAGGAAGTGGCCTTGGGCGTGGCGACGGCTTTGCCCTTGCCCTTGGGGTTGGCTTTGCGCTTGCCTTTTGGGTCGGCTTTCTTGGGAGGCATGGTGAAGATCCTGAGCAGGTCGATGAGGATGGCGGTGAGGATGAGGGTGATGATTATGATGATGAAGGAAGAAGAGGATAGCGGGCATGGCAACCTGATATATATATTCCGTTTGTAATGCACAGCGCCGTCTGGTGTTCAATGCTTGCAAACGCGCCTTTGTTTAATACACGCGTTCTGAAACAGTGGCATAGACGTGAAGCTGTGCGTTGGAAGGCACTAAACACCAAGCATCTCTTTGTTTAGTTAAAGCAGCAACGTTGCGATAACCTCCTTTGAGCGTTGCGATACCTTCCTTTGAGCCTTGTGTGCGCGAGCGTTGCGACCTATCCCTTATAGGCGATGATATCTCTTCTCCTTGCAACACCAGCCGGACATCGGCATTGCGGTTGGTATAGTGGTTTGAGGGGGGTGGCAGCCCTCGGCCATTATATTAACCACATGTGCACCTGCCCTCTACACATGAGATGTTTGATGGAATGGCTAGAGCGACGACACTGCCCCACAGTAAGGCGCTCGACTTCTGCGAAAGCAGTCGGAAAAGAGGCTTCGAGCCTTCTCGCCCGCACAAAAGCTGAGCATTGTAAGACAGGTGACTAGGTCTTCGGATCTGGCCTGCAGTGTGTCGAAGCTGGCGTGCGGAGAGTTTTTGCCTTTTTGCTGTTCTAGCTGTCTTTCCTCACAATGAGATGACCTCTATGAGCAGCAGATCGTGCCTGCTAGCTGGGCTTAGGCGCGGCCGTGGTAGCGCTCGGCAGGAGCGATCGAAGGTGTAAGGGCGTCGCCTCTCTTGCTATGCTCACGAACGCGATCTGTAGCTTCAAGAGGGCCCTCGGTATCGCAAAGCAGCCGAAAGGTCGAGCGTTCGAATCCGGCGCGATGCTTCTTTTTTTGCAATGCTTTCAAAGCTCTTTGATGATGATGATGATGATGATGATGATCGCGAAGAGGGCGGTGGGGCGCAACATCAATTTTCCGCTGATAGGGCGCCAAAGCCGCTCTCTCCGCAGCTTCGCTTGGGCCCCTTTGAACGCTTTAGCGGGCATCAGTCTTGTACGAGTGTCTTGTCCCCTTTTACGAGGTGTAACTAGATGAAAGGGGAATCATGAGGCAGTTGTATTGATAAGATGCTCGTATGCTGAATCTTGTGCTGGCTGGACTATCCAGCCGTGTCCTGAACGCCTCTGCTGTTGACTATCATTATGGCTATTCGTCTCCCCGTATGGCCACTCCAAGCTCGAGTTGTTGGCGGGCAGCCAGCAAGTTTCCAGTGCATTCGTTGGAAGGAGAGTGGTCCGCAAAATAAGGATATAAGAATAAAATTAAATAGAAGGATGAAAATGATGGATACAGAAAGAAGGGCTTCTCAAAGGGCCCCTCAACCGGATATCATACTGCGCCCAATTCTATGCCTCGCTGCAAAGCCCCAGTCCCGACATCAACTCCTCTGCCGTAACATCAATAGCCCCAGACGCCCTGTCCTCGATGCCAAACCCAATAAAGAGCTCGTCATCCAGGTATCCGTGATACCGCAGGTCGGCGCTCTTCCACGCAATCGACGTGACGTAGAACATGTCCGAGGTGAGCAAGTCCAAGTGCTGCTGCCGGCCGTGGATCCAGAGGGGCCGCCTCGACACGGCGTGTATGGCAAAGGGCGCCTCCTGCTGGAAGAGCATGACGTACGGCTCGTAGACGCCGTGGAAGTTGTAGAAGGTCTTGTGCTGCCAGATGGTGAAGATGAAGGTGTTGTCCTTGTTCGGCACGCAGCCGGCGTCTGGCCGCTTGCACAAGGTGATCTTGAGAGAATTGCTTGCTTGATGGACCGATTCGAGAGGGCTGTCGGCTTTGGGCATGTACTTTGCGAGGCACTTTTCGTCTTCCGCCTCGGTGAGCACCGCTAGGTTGACGCTGACGGAGCCATCGGCCTGGGCCCGGGCAAAGACTCGCTGGGGCGCAATGTCGTAATGGACATACATCTGCCCGTCCGGATCCCAGAAAGGGAACCAGTTCTTCTCAACGGCACCCCACGGCAGGGGGCGCTGCAGCTCTGTGCCTGTGAGGAAATCCATGGGACCAGTCGCCGGGGCTGCTCCCCAGTCGACGAGCTGGCGGAAGTCCTGAATGAACTGGCCAAAGCAAGTAAACTGTGAATTCGACCCGTAAACGATGTAGGGGCTCTCTGGTCCGTAGAGAACGCGGGCATCGTGAGGGCCAACGTTGAGGCCAAAGAAGGCCAGGTCGCCGTTGCAATTGTTGCCCTGCGTTGGTGCCACAGGAAGCGCTGTGGGAGGCGCAAGGCACCGCAAGACGCCATCTTGGAAGACGGCGTTGCAGACGAGCTCTGTGAAATAAACGCTCTGCTCTTCCGCACTCCGCACCAGCTGTGCCACCACAATCCACGTACTGGCCAGCGTGGGATGCGGGATAATGTTGGGATTCATCCCATTGAGCTCCCCGGCAAAGTCAATGGCAAAATATTTCCTATCGAGGGTCGACACCGAGAATATCTCTTGGTGGGACGCCTGGATGTCCAGCGGACTGGAGCTATTGCTCGTCGGCGGCGGACCAACTGCGGTTGTAGAGTTCCCATCCTTGTGAGTCTTTTGAGCAGACGATTCTGAATGTCCGGAGCTGATTGGCACCTCTGCCTCGTGCTCATCATGATTTGAACCGACACTCCCTTTCCCCTGGCTTGTGTCGAGTCTGTCCGAGATCCATTCGTTGACTTTGGACGGGACAATAGGCGCGTACTGATAGAATCTGACAATGGTGCAGATGATAACGGCCACAGGGACCACGACAAGCAGTAGCCGCTTGAAGTCTCTGGCGAGCATCGTGAAGGCCCTTGCAGCCAGCTGCTGGCCTAGATATATGTCGAGCTCAGATGTGGCTTTGGCGTGACCAGCGACAGGGGGACAGCTTCCACACCTGAGCTATTAGCAGGACTACTGCTCCTTGCCCGAGTGAGAGGGAATGAGATGCTGCGTTATGACTAATTGCACAAAGTTAGATCGCAGAGCTTCTGGGCCATGGAAGCTCGCAAGGCTGGATAGGGCAAGGTGAAGAGGGAGCACAAGCGGAACAAGCTCTGAGCTCGAGCACAGCCCGTGGCGTGGGGGGTGTGGCTTCTATGGCAAACTCAAAGATACCCTGCCGGTGAGATCCTGAGGAGGGGCGCAGGCACAAACTTGATCAAGTTCTCCGCGTAGAGTATCTGAGAAGTGGTACCTTGGCCTGGGGAATAGGGCTGTCTTGGCACTCTCTTGATATCGGGGGGAGCGTAGGAAGTGCACTGCAGGGCTACGCCAGATGGGATGATGCCACAAGACGAGGAGAGCCCTGACCAAAGCTGGTAGTAGTAGTATGTGTGCTTGACGCCCGTTGCAGCTCAGCTGTCAAAATAGAGTAGTACCAAGAATACAGGCAGTGAGGGTTGCAGCTGATGAAGACTGAGCTGGGCCACACCCACGATGGTTGAGGTTCTGCCGTGGCCTAAGACGCGGCGATGTGACGCTGCCGCTTTGCAGGAAGACAAGTCCCGGCTGCAGGGGGGGCTTCGTTGATTCTGCGGTCAAGAAAAGGCGAGAGGCGCGCAAGAACCAATGGGACGTCGATGATTCTACCCAAGTTCGCAAGGGTGGTGGCTACTGTGAGCAATACGAACGGATTGGCAGCAAGCTTCTGGATGGCAGATCCCAAGGGCAATGATGTCAGTCAGGGCTGGGCTAGTAGCTGTAGACTGGATGTGTACGTTTGTGCTCCCTGCTGTATGTATTGTTGCTCACGGCAAAATCATCACGGGGCTTCTTTTCTTTCAGCTGCTCACTCACTCGTAAATGGCAGGGTAGTTGCGTCGCCAGTTGGCCAGCTACAGCACTTGGTAGCAAGTGCTATTGATCCATAGTACGGAGTAGATGTTATTATTACGAGATCAAGCAACGAAGAGATTAACCATTTTGGTGTCGTTATCCGCGGGGGGCGAGTCGAGGCGAGCTTGGTTTTGATGAAAGATGGACAGTCCTGCGCATTCGCAGTGGACACCGAAATGGAGCAAAAGTGGTGCAACGGGCGAGTTGCCGGGTTGTTGACGGCCATGTAATAACATCTAGAGCCAGCTAATCAACTATGTACTATCGGTTATACTAGACACAAGAACAACAAAGGCTGTTCCAATGACCGGATAACTCGACAACGGGACAACTCTTCTTCGGTGAGAAAGGGCTTGGGTGCCAGATAGAATGAGAGTAGATTATCGAGCAAGTAGAAAATAGCAAGACAATTATCATGTGCAAACAATTTGATTACACATGCCGAGGGACGATGCCATCTCGCCCTAGAACCTGCAATAGTCCGGCCCCCAAACAGCTCGTAAGACACAACACACACAGAAGAGAGCACGACACGGAACCCCGACTTCACTTCTTCATCTTACTTGTACAGGTACCTCTGCGCAAACGAACCTCTGGCCTAGGCGTCCACTAACGAAAGCCCACCCACTGAGTTCCCACCAGAAAAGCCCACCTCCGCACGCCTCTTTAGTTCAAGCGACAAGGCTCCAGTCGCCGTCCACCAAAACGAACAAGCATCGCCCAGACCAGACCAGATTCGAGGAGAGGGGGGGAGCTTTTGCCCTTTGTCAGGGATCCCCGATCAGGTCCCCTGTCATGTCGATCATCACCTCCTCGGATCGGCAACATAAGGACAAAATGGCCGGAATATTCGTGGGGAGAATGAAGGATGGAGAAGAGAGTGAGAGCGCGAATGGCGCTTATGCTAGATTAGGGCAATTGGCCGTTGTATGACAATTTTTTTTTTCTTTTTTGCGCGGGAAAGGTTTGGGTGAAAATGGAAGGGGAAAAAAAGGACAAGGGCAGCGAGTGGGTTTGAATGTTGCTGCTGCTGCTGCTTGCTACAGTATCCAGGATGGAGAGCATTGTGGGATGAACACTGTGATGACGAGGGCCTTTCCTCGACAAATATCTCTCTCTTCTCTGCACTGCATCGGTGATGGTGAAGATAAAGAGGACAGTCCGTATAATTAATACTCCTGGTGTTTTTCTCTGCTTCTTCTCGTCATCATGAAGATTATTCCTCAGGAGAACCAACTCCTGCCAAGGCAACATTACGTAGCCTTACTTCGTACCTTGCCTTAAGGCACTGCAGCCAAGCAAATTGACGCGATCCATCGCTTGTTGGCTGGCGCAACAAAGTACCAACAGTTTTTAGAGTGCAGCCACATCAGGAACCGGAAAAGGAGAACAAGCGCCAGCCAAAACTATGACGGTTACCTCGGAGATACATTGTACTGTACAGTTCATCTCTGCGTGTTGCAAAGTATTTCGCTTGTACCAGAGTCTCACGGAGACTGTTCCATGAAACAGCCATGGTTGATGCTATCCCAGGAAAGGCAACAGTGTAGAAGCCGGATGGAGAAGAGACCTGGGAGATTGGAACAACGTGAACACCCACGGAGAAATTGCAAATAGGGCATGCCACTTTAACACGGTGAAATTTCCGAACATGACATTCTCCTCAAGTTCCTTTGCGCCAAATCCTATGTGTATGTACATCCGTCTAAATAAAGTGCCAAATCCTTCTAAGGCTTGTACCGTAATACTACTAGGTAGTAGCCACCCATCCATGTGCAGTCAGTCGCATTAGCATCACCACCCCCCTGAGGTATCATCCTGCATCACGCCCGGGCCTGCTTCGCCAGCACCGGATCAGAGCAGCCGCCGCCGCCGCCGCCGCCGCCCAACGTCTTGCGGTACAGCCACGAGCAAAACTTGACGCTCGGCGTGTCCACCCATCGCGTCACGGCCTCTGCCAGCGCCAGAGTCAGCGGCAGCAGCACCAGATGCGGCACGAGGAACGACACCTCGAGCCCCAGAGGCCCCGACTTTGGTAGCGGCAGCTTGTCCACCCAGTTCGGCATGCGCTGCAGATGCTCCTCCGTCCGCCAGCCGACGGCGGCGTAGAGGCGGTCGCCGAGCGTCCAGAGCACGGGGCCGTGGACCATGTAGAGCGCAAAGGAGATGCGCCCGAGGTACTGGCAGAACCTGGTCTCGAAGAAGCGCTTCAGCCAGGCGATGCGCGGGATGGACGCGACCAGGAAGCTGGCCGCCAGCCACAGGTAGAACCACTTGTAGTCGAACACCGCCTGGGGCTTGAACCAGGACAGATAGTACCACCCGCGGCTCTTCTGCAGGTTCTGGACGTCCGAGTTTTCGCTGGGGATGCCGCCCAGGAAGAGGCTGAAGACGAGGAGGTGGTAGTAGATGAAATCCTTGGCCGGCTCGAGGCAGGCCAACAAGTACGGCAGCTCCCCCTTGTTTGCGAGCAGGTCCAGGTCGCAGAGCAGCATGCCCGTGCAGAACATGGCGCAGTACCAGCCGTCTGCGATGAACATAAAGTAAAACACCAAGAACGCCTCGCACGAGAGCCGCGCGTTCTTGGAGCTCCTCGACAGCGCCAGCTGCGAGGCGTAAACCACCATGGAGCCCTTGAACTCGACCGGGATGGACCAGAGGTGGAAGTTGTAGCTCAGCCAGGGAACGCCTCCCTCTTTGAAGACGAAGCTGAAGTTCTTGAACTCTCTATACAGGGACACCACCTCTTCCGACCAGCTCTCCGCCTGCTTCATTCCGTTGATCCACATGCCGGACATGTGCCATAGCGTAATGTATGTGAAAAGGACCGCAATGAGGGGCATGTAGAGCCGTGGCCACCGCCTGAAGAATGCCGACGCGAGGTTGTCGCCCAGCTTTCCGAGCTCGCCCGCCTGCACAAGACTCAAGGGCTTCAAGCAGAGGACGTAGCCCGAGATGATGAAAAAGGTCGAGACGGCATAGTGTCCGCCACTAAAGAAGTTGCGTATGCCCGGGAAAGCGACCATGTAGTATTTGCCGTCATAGCCAAAGCCGTTCTCAAAAATGGAGTTTTGCTTTGTCCAGCCGTGAACCCACAGCTCGTGATGGTGCCAGTAGACGAGAAAGGCGGCGAAGCCCCGAAGGCCATCCAGATACGACGTCGGGCGCAGCTTCTCAGCCACTGTAAAGGCAATGGGTATCTTGGAGAGCGCGTTCAAGACTCGGCCAATGACCCGCTTGTGCTTGGGGGTATACGGGATTGCCTTCCATATCGCGTACCCCTTCGACTCCTTGACCGACTCCGGGTCGTAGTCGGGCTTGATCTCTTCCCAGTCTCTGCTGGTGTTGAGGATGTTTTGTTGGCGCATCTTGTCGCGTTGTAGCGAGAGAGCTCATGTAGAGCCTCAGCTAGAAGGAAAAGAAACAGACGAAAAGGAAACGCCAAGAGACACACACCCCAGCTGCAAGCAAGCAAGCAAGCAAGCAAGCAAGCCTCGCAGGGAGCAACGGCTTGGACAAGGCCAACCTGACCGCCGTCTTCTGAATCGTGCTGGCAGCAACGCCAAGCTTCCCCAGACGGACTTTCGATCTGGGTTATGGATCTTTCGGCAGCGGCCCCAGAAGCCAGGTCGAGGGTCACGGACACACGACACGTTGACACGTCGTATCCGTTAATCTGGGAAATCGGAATGACGATGGGCAAGCTAGAGTTCCCCCAGAAAGCACGGCTTTCCCCAGCTTTCACAAGCCGACGATCAGATGCTCAAGCGTCAGATAAGAGGCTCGTCCCGAGGTCAGAGCAATGCGGAGGCGAACGATGGGCGCGGGGGTGGTCCGGGCCTCCTCGTATAGATCGACTATTACGAGTATCGTACTAGTAGCTGGCTGAGGAGACGCAGTTGCTAGCTGACGATATCACCCGAAGAGGAGAAAAAGGGCAACGAGATGATCGAGCACCAGCTCTGTCTGTTGATGCCGAGGGAAGACCCAGAATGGCCAGCCCAGATGGTGGGAGGAGGAAGGGGGAGAGTGCCAGAAGAGGTCAAGACTGACTCCGGGGACACGCAATGACGGCATGGGCTGGAGGCAATTGGAGCTCCGTCGACGCTGGTCCGGGATACGATATTCCTGTTCCTGCACGCACTCGTGCTGGAGGGTTGAGGTTCTCCAACTTTCACATGAAAAGGCGTTCTCTTCTTTCCTTCTTGTCATGCCCCGTCCCTCGGCGATGATGTACAGCAACAAGTACATGCATCAACGGCCACACCACCATCCTTCTCCTCACGCAGACGCCATCAAAACGCCACAAGGAACAAATGGGCTCTTCCAAGGAACTTGACCAGGCAAAAAGAACATCACCAATCAAGCCCGAGCCCACACTTTGTTGAAGACTTGCCCGTTCCACCATCTCGGGGAACATCTTCGCCCAGCAGACAAGGACCAGCGCAGGAAGTGCTGCCCTCTTGGCCTGGGGAGAAACGGGACGTCGAATCCCTGCTGCGTGGAGTCTCGACATGGGCCATGACTTATTGGCCCCTCTTATAAAGCACCATCACACCAACAAGTGCTGCATGCATGGGACAGGGGCGTTTTTGACGGCAACTGCAGCATCGTGTGTGTGGCTGATCGGCGCTTCGGACACACGAGCAGCCAACATGCATATCCAGCTTATTAGCTGCCGGCGAATTTGCGCGTCTTTTGCTCCTTTGAACTCGACGACTGCACTTCAAATCAAGCAGTAGGTACATAGTATATGCTTTGCGTCTGATGCCTTCATCAATGTCTGAAGATGTTGTCTTTTGAAGACGTGTTCCGCGTCAAGCCCATTCGGGCATTGAGCTCGATAAGCGATGGGTGACGAGCTGATGCGATGCGATGCTACAGGTAAGACTGGGAAATGCAACCATGGATTCGTACCTGGACCGGGATAAGCCGTTGACCTGGTCGAGAAATGAAATTGGTCTGCAGAAGCCGTTGAGAAGAGGTGAGAAGGATGTGTAGAGGTAGAGGTAGAGCTACATAGGACTGGTGTCGGGCCATTCCCGCGCGCCGTCTCAGCTAGACAGATTCCACCAGCTTCTGACCTGTACCAGTACTCGTACAAGCACTTGTCCGCGGCAATGAAGCGCAAGCCGTGGCTGACAGGATCTGTAGCGAGGCAAAAGCCAAGATAAGAAGAGGCGCTCAACGGGCCGTGGCTTGACTCTATTCGGATTATGCTTTGGTGCCGGTGCCAGATCCTGTCGTACTTGTACCTTGAGGCATAGCTGAGCCTGCGGTGTTCCATGAAGAAGAGGCAATGGAACCTCAATGACAAAATCATACTCGTACAGTGTTGTTGTGCCGATGAAGACGTGCGGTATGGCCGCTCTGCGGACATTGCAGGTCCAGCCGGCGTCTCCTCCACCCGCCTGCTGTCAAGCCTTGGCCATGTCGTCCTCCCCATGTTCCCCCAAACTGGCCTCTTGCTGTGCCGCCGCGCTTTTGCACGCTTTTGGCAGCTGGTCCGGCTCTAAGCAGCGCTTCCTCCAGTGGCTCCCCAGCCGTAGTCATCAAGAGATGCTGGCCCCCTGGCGGATGGGCAGGGATCCACCGGCGAGCGGGTTCGACAGCCTTCACATGATGGATCCCGGCATCTTCAACAGCCTCTAGCCATCCAGCCATCCAGCCAACCATCCATCCAACTGCGTGTTAGGAATTAGACCACGTACCGGTACAAGTCAAGGCCGAGCCAACTGCAGCCGGACACCCGCTGCCACACGAGTACCGTGTACATGGATCGCCCGTGTAACTCCCGCCTCTCCATGCCTTGCTTTGGTCGCAGAACAGCAACGAACTGCCTGTGACTGCAACCCATGGACGGCCCGGAATGCCCTTTTGATATGGCCGAGTTATAAGATGCGCGTGGACCGGGTGAGATGGGCTCGTTTTCCCAGCTTCTCCTCCTTCCCCGGGTTTGCTGATCCAAGTACATGACTTACATCAATGCTCGGTTGAATCTCCTCAAAACGGCGAGTTACATACATGTACTCGGGGGCAGCCTCCTGATCAAACTCTACTTTGCCTTCCTTGGTTTCCATTACGACGTATCCAACACAGGAAGAACCGTCCGGAAGAACTCAATTCTTTCCCTTTCTCTCCCCCTTGCCAGAACAAGCCCTAGCCCTGCCTGAAAAAGTTCTTCTCCAGTTCCCAGGGCTTGTTGCGTTGTGCTCAGGTGGCGTACGGACAGGGTCTCCCCAGAGCTTCGATCCTCAACTTGCTGTCCGAGTCAGAGCCATTGTCCGATTTCTGTCTGGGGACTCTGTATTGACCTCATTCTCATACCCATTCACCATCTCTCTCTGGCATCACACAAGTCTCTTGGCCCTTCCCCCTTCCTCTCCCCTTCCCTCTCCATTGTCCTTCTCCATTGCGGCTGTTACCGTCCGTAGCATGGTGCCCATTGTCTAAAGCGGCCCTGCCATTGCTGCTCTTCACTCGTTAAAGTTTCCCATCCTCGAGTTCCTCCTCCACCTACACTCTACACAAGAAGCGAGAAACGAGCTCGGCAACATGAGCTCGCCTCTTGGATCGCCGAGGCTCATGCACTCGGCCAGCCCCTTCCGCAACAAGGTGCCTACACAGATGAGAAGGTGCCTGCCTCTCTACATCACCGTCGTCTGCGTCTTTCTCGTCATCGTCAACTTTGACTGGATCCTCGCGATACCCAATCCCGCGTCCGTCCTGCGCCGCGAGCCAAAAGCGCCTCCACTGCCAGGCAGCACATTTCCGCAAAAGATCTGGCAGACATGGAAGGTCGATCCTCTCAACTTCGACGAGCGCGACCTGGTCACGGCGCGGACGTGGACGACCATCAACCCGGGCATGCGCTACGAAGTCGTGACGGATGCCAACGAGATGGCATACATTGAGGATCGCTACGGTCCCAACGGCTTCGACCGGCCAGACATTGTCGAGTTCTACAAGATGATCAACCTGCCCATCATCAAGGCCGACCTGCTGCGCTACATGATCATGTACGCCGAGGGCGGCATCTACGCAGACATTGACGTCGAGACCATGAAGCCCTTCCACCGCTTCATCCCGGAGCGCTACGACGAAAAGGACATTGACATCATCATCGGCGTCGAGATTGACCAGCCCGACTTCAAGGACCACCCCATCCTGGGCAAGAAGTCCATGTCGTTTTGCCAGTGGACGTTTGTGGCGCGCCCGCAGCAGCCCGTCATGATGCGCCTGATTGAGAACATCATGAAGTGGTTCAAGACGGTGGCCAGAGACCAGGGCGTGCCCCTGGGCGAGGTGCAGCTCGACTTTGACCAGGTCATCAGCGGCACCGGCCCTTCGGCCTTTACCAACGCCATGCTGGAGGAGATGAACCGCAAGACCAAGGGCCCCAAGGTCACCTGGGACAATTTCCACAGCATGGCCGAGTCCAAGCTCGTGGGCGGCATCCTCGTCCTCACCGTCGAGGCCTTTTGCGCCGGCCAGGGCCACTCGGACTCGGGCAACCACAACGCCCGCAACGCCCTCGTCAAGCACCACTTCCACGCGTCCAACTGGCCCAGCCGCCACCCGCGATACAGGCATCCCGCCTATGGCCAGGTCGAGGACTGCAACTGGGTGCCCGAGTGTGTCCGCAAGTGGGACGAGGACACGGGCAACTGGGATAAGTACTCGGAGAATGAGCAGAAGAAGATTATCCAAGACATTGAGAATGCGCGGCTGGAACAGGAGCGGCAGCAGCAGGCATTGGCGAACCTGCCAGCCGCGCTCCCTTAGCAGTCGCATGGCTGATGGGCTTGCTGATGATTCTCTTGTTGCGTCTGCAATCTGCTTCCATCTACAGACTGCGGCCGGTCTAGACTTTGGGTTGTTATGGTTTCATGGGCTTTATGACTTTTGGGCGCTGGAGTTGTTCCCCGGACATGGAGTTGGCGATGCTTTGGATGATATTAAAAGGACAAGGAGCGGGTGGGTTGTGGCATCTCGACGTCGAGCTACCGGATCCGACCAGGTTGACGGCATGCATGTACCTTGCATCAGTACATGGGCGTGTATATACATAGATTGATGTACTAGGTAATGAATGAAACTTTTGAATAGTTAGATACCGATCTGCTAGATGCCATTCATGTTGACATCAATGATGGACGTCTGTTTATGCGTGCTGTTGGCTGTTGTGCTGAAGCCCGTCTATATAGTACAAATAGATTGGCTTGTTGGGTCGGCATCAGCACCTTGCTTTGGCTGAAGAGTCTGACTCGATGACGCCTTTTGTCGTGGGCTGTCTGTCGGCTTCAAGTTGTCTCTTGGGCGTCGACCCCTTTCCTCTACTTTTTCTTCATACAAACATGTCCATCTGAGCCTTTAAATGCTGCCAACCTTGCCCATAAATAGTTGTCAAAACAAGTTGAAGTTGATGGGTTAATGAATTGGATAGGTAACGCCGCAAATGGTGCTGCAACTGGACGGACTCTCGTCTCCTTCTCAAAGCCCGGCTCTGCAGCCTCGGCTTACCTAATGCCCGCCATGTGCCATCTGACCCGCCCTCTAGCCTGACGTGTACCGCCCGTCTCTGGCATTCGCCGCAATCCAACCTCCATCTGCAGACTTGCAACTCGACTCTTATCCTCTCGACGTCCCATCGCCTGCGCCTCGCCATCATCCGCCTCTGTGTTTTCGCAGCCTCGCGACATCTCCGCTGCTTTTCTTCGCTCAAACCTTACGCACGCCGACGCTTTCGATTTCGACGCCGTTTCTTTCTGCCGCTGCCCGGCTCCCCGCCACGCTCTCACTCTCTCCCACTCTCGCTGCGTCGGTAGAGCGCAAAACAGTCTCAACAGCCACTCGACGAAATGGCCGCTCGCGCACCTCCCGCTGGCCGACCCGGCCTCAACACTCGCTTTGCGCAGTTCAAACTCGTCCTCTTGGGTGCGTTGACTCTTGGCAATCGGACGGATGGAGATGTTGGTTTGATGCGTGCTAACATGCTGTTTTGCGACAGGCGAATCCGCTGTTGGAAAGGTGAACTAGCAACGTCTTTGGCTCGCGGTGCCAACTCTACAAGGGTAGAGGGAAGATGTAAGATGAAGAGGCTAATATTCTTGTTGCAGAGTTCAATAGTCCTTCGTTTCGTCAAGGTAGATTGCTCGTCGTGTCCGGGAGGCCTCTGAACCGTCTAGCTAACGAGAGCTCATCAGGATCAATTCGACTCGTTCCGGGAATCCACCATCGGAGCGGCTTTCCTCACCCAGACCATCTCGCTCGATGAGAACACGACGGTCAAGTTTGAGATCTGGGATACGGCCGGCCAGGAGCGCTACAAGTCGCTGGCGCCCATGTACTACCGAAACGCCAACTGTGCCGTTGTCGTATACGACATTACGCAATCCGTACGTTTGACGCCCGAGGTGGCAACTAAAGAGGGCTGATATTGACTCGGACAACGCAGGCATCACTAGACAAGGCCAAGGCATGGGTCAAGGAACTCCAGCGCCAGGCAAACGAAAACATCATCATCGCCCTCGCCGGCAACAAGCTCGACTTGGTGACTGAGCAGCCCGATAAGCGGGCCATTCCCACCGCCGATGCCGAGGCCTATGCGCGCGAGGCCGGCCTCCTCTTCTTCGAGACGTCTGCGAAGACGGCCGAGAACGTGCGGGAACTCTTCACCGCCATTGCGAAGAAGCTGCCCTTGGACCAAGTCGGACCCAGGCATGCGCGACCTGGGCAGCGTCCCGGCGTCAGTCTTGCGCCAGAGAGCTCCAACACGAATGCCAACGGACCTTGCAGCTGCTAGACAAAGAATGTGTCTCCGAGCAGAAGGTTGCGGGGGGGGGACGTTTAATGATGACCTATGGACCTAGGTCCTGCAATGCAATTTGCATCCGTGGGGATGGGTTGACGAGATTCAGGTTCAGGCCGGGATAGACTGACAGCAGTGATTCAAGGCCTCGGCGTGCATCGAAGCAAAGTCGAGGGTATGTGTCGTATATTTCTCGGAGTCTTGGGTTTGGAGGGTTACGTTACTGGCCGACGATTTATTTTTTCTGGTCTCTGTTTTTATCTTCCCCGTTTTGTTATAATATGCACTTTATGATGGTCTTTTCGCTCGTCTTGGTTGAAGGGGGGGAGATGAAGGGTATCTTACTCTCCCTGCCTGTCGGCATGTTTTGAGCCTGCGGGGAGGCCTGATGGAAGAAGATGATGAGGACGATGTGTATCTGACCGAGCGTCTAATAGATTGCTGCTTCGATTAGACTACACCTTTTGACTGTGATTTCTTTGGGTTTGTCCTCTGTGATACTATCAAGATGCTCCGCAGAAGCCGGGATTAGCATGAGCAAGTGGGTCACTGGTTGAGAGAATAGCAAGATGAATTGTCCAAAGAGTCGGGATTCAGACTTGATGGCGGTCCAGGCAGAGAATCTTCAGAACTACTACATATTCCCAATTCATACTACGAGCTGGCATACGTCTTGAATCTCCAGGTAGTGACTGAATGCCACATAAATGAAACTGTCCTGTTACGTGCATGACTGACCCGTTGCGTCACGGCTCCGGTTCCCGCCGGTACTGGGCAAAGTAGAAAGACGGCGAAAAAAAGCAGGCCCATCATTAGCCGAACTTTTTCCCTGAGCGTTTAATTCCTTAATGCAGCCAACTTTTGGAGCTCTCTCTTTTGGCATCTGACCGAGAGAACCACCAACCTTTTTTCCTTCCTATACCCCCAACTTCTTCTTTCGCCGGGGTCCATTGCAATCTCGATATGTTGCGGTCATCGCTTCGGTCGGCAAGATTGCTGGGCGGCAAGCCCATTGCGGCGGCTGCCGGGCGCCAATGGTCTGTTGCTGCGGCGCGACAGGCGCCTTTGGCCAAGGTATGGAGGTTTTTGCTCTCTTTCTTTTTTTTGCCCTGGGAATGAACGGAGGTCGCTATGGATGAACGAAGCTGGGCTTAGTTCTTGGCATGAGGGATGAGAGGGGATGGAGGGCTTGGAAGAGGGTAGAGGGAACTGTTGTGTGGTTTCGTGGCTCTGTCATCCTGCGATTGTGTTGTGTGTTGACTGAATGGTTGGCTGACTTGACATGTTGCTGCTGCATCACAGAGATTCTATGCCGACCAGAAAAAGACCCCGGTTATGCCCACGTCCGAGACCCTGACCTCTGAGCGCACGCCCCCTCCTCCCGCCCCGGAGCTCGTCGACATCACGGTGACGCCCTCGGAGATCCCCCCCACGCCGCCTCCTCCCCCGCCCGCCAGCCAGGTCGCAGAGCCGCCAAAGTCCAGCCCGCCGCCGAAGAAGAAGAAGGGATTCTTCCGGAGGCTGCGCAACTTCATCTTCACCCTCATGGTGCTTGGCGCGGTCGGCTTCGGCGGCGGCGTCTGGTACTCGCGCGTCAACGACACCTTCCACGACTTCTTCACCGAGTACGTCCCCTTCGGCGAGCAGGCCGTGCTGTACCTGGAGGAGCTCGACTTCAAGAAGAGGTTCCCCAATGCCCGCCTCGGCGGCAGCGGACGACGCACCGATCCCGGCGAGAAGGTCAGGATCCCCGCGCAGAGCGGAGCGTCCTGGAGGGTGGCGGAGAAGACGGAGCCTTCCGAGCGCCGCACGAGCGCCTCTCCCAGCGTCACGAAGCCCGCGGAGAGCAAGCCCGAGGAGGCGCCCAAGCCTGCGCCGCAGCAGGATGCCGTTGTTTCCAAGCCGGCTGAGAAGGTGACTCCCACAGAGACGTCTACGTCCAAGGCCAAGCCGACCGAGGTCAAGGATAAGCCCGCAGCCACGCCCCTCAAGTCCATTGATTTGATGTCCCTGCCCGACGCCAAGGAGCCCATTGTCCGAGATCTTGTCCACATGCTGAACGACCTCATCCTGGTCATCAATGCCGACGGTGCGTCCGGCAAGTACTCTTCAACAGTCGAAAAGGCCAAGGATGAGGTTTTGAGGATTGGCAGCCGATTGAAGGATCTCAAGAGCGAGGCCGAGAAGAAGGCTGCCGAGGAAGTCCGATCCACCCTTGCCGAGTTCGACGTCGCCGCCAATGATCTGATTCAACGAGTGGAGGGTACCATGGCTCAGCAAGAGGTTGCCTGGCGCAAGGAGTTCGAGGAGCAGATGAAGTCCGTCCGCGAGAGCTACGATGAGCGCGTCAAGCTGCTGATGGAGCGAGAGCAGAAGCTCAACGAGGAGAAGCTCCACAACCAGCTCCTGGAGCAGGCCATTGCCCTGAAGAAGGAGTTCCTCAAGGAGGTGGAGGCCCGCGTCGAGGAGGAGCGCGAGAGCCGGCTGGGCAAGCTCAACGACCTGACGGCCGCCGTGTCGCAGCTGGAGCAGCTCACGGCCGGCTGGAACGAGGTCGTCGACACCAACCTCAAGACGCAGCAGCTGCACGTGGCCGTCGAGGCCGTCCGCGCCAGCCTCGAGGACGGCCAGCACCCCCGGCCGTTCATCCGGGAGCTCGTCGCGCTCAAGGAGATTGCGGCCGACGACGCCGTGGTGGACGCCGCCATCGCCTCCATCACGCCCTCGGCGTACCAGCGCGGCATCTCCACCTCGTCCCAGTTGATTGACCGGTTCCGCCGCGTCGCCAGCGAGGTCCGGAAGGCGTCTCTGCTGCCCGACGACGCGGGCGTCGCCAGCCACGCCTCCAGCTGGGTCCTCAGCCACGTCATGTTCAAGAAGCAGGGCCTCGCGGAGGGGGACGACGTCGAGAGCATCCTGACCCGCACGCAGACGTACCTGGAGGAGGGCGACCTGGACGCCGCGACGAGAGAGATGAATGGCCTGCAAGGGTGGGCCAAGACGCTGAGTAAGGATTGGTTGGCCGAGGCTCGAAAGGTCCTCGAGGTCCGGCAGGCGCTTGATGTGAGTTACATTGAAACCCTCTTAGTGATGAGAGAAAGAGACATGGTTTTGCTAACAGAATTTGGCAAATAGGTTATTGCTGCAGAGGCTAGACTACAGAGTCTGAGGGTGGAATAACCAAAGAAAAAAGAGACTCCTGGGGTTGATGGATGGGTTGTTTTCATACGTTCTGTGTTAATACATTGACCAGCGAGAAGGGTAGAAGAAGAAGGAAAAAAAAGTAGAGAGGGCTTCCGGCCCCGTGTATAGTTTATATCAAGAAGATACTGCTAGTAAAACAAAAAGGGCTCAACCGCTGGTTTTGACGTTGTGATGATATATTGTGACATGATGTGCTACAAAACAATAGGAATGTCTATGCCCGACTAACCTGCGTATGCCATGCTCATTCATTCAAGATAGGTAGTTAGAATAGTATAGAAAAGCCCAAGACAAGAAGCCGAACATTCTGCGACCTGATAAGGGTAGTAGTAAATAAGTACGCTTGCGAGTTACCTTACAGTCTTCGCACATGGGCAAAAGACACCGGAACGTGAACATGCAGTATGACCAAGGGGAAAAAAAGAAGTAGTAGAGAACACGATAAACATGATATTTTTTCAGACTCCTGTTCTTACAAAACGTTGATAAAACCACCAAACAACCAAAGAAAAAAAAATGCATTTGCACGCTTGACAATTACATGGCATCGTCTTCTTTTGTCTCGGCATCAGCGTCGTCGGCGTCTTTTGGACGCTTAGTTTCAGCTTCCTGCTGTGATGATGGCTCAGCCTCGTGTTGTTTCTCGCCCTCGGCAGCCTTTTCCCTCGCCCGCTCCAGCCTTTCCAGGGCATTTTTGATGATTTCATATTGCTCACCCAACGTCGTAGTCTGCTGCTGAGCTCCGGCTTCGTCTGCCCAAACGACGGAGGAGGAAGCGTCTCGCTTGAGCAGGTCGCCCAGATAGAGCTGGATGTCCTTGAGGTTCTCAATCAAGGAGAGGAGGTGGGAGAGGATCGCCGCGTACTGCGCGTTCGCCTTCTTCAGCAGCGCAATCTCCTCGCGAAAGCTGTGCCTGTCCTCCACGAAGCGCCCGAGGTAGGCCCAGACGCCGGACAGAAATGACGAGCCGGATGAGGGGCGGGCCTTGCCGCCGGCGCTGGAGAGGCGCTCTTCGGCCTGTTCGTTGATTGCGCTCAGGTGGGCCTGGCCTTGGTGGAGGAGCAGCGAGAGGGCTTTGCCTTCCTCGAGCAGCTTGTCCAGCCGGTCCTGGACGAGGACGACGTGCTCCGAGTACTTGTCCCACAGGGCCTTGTCGTTGCCGTCCTGTCTCGATGACCTGAAGATGCTTAGTGGGCGGATGGCCCATGCTATGACGGGGGGCAGCGTGGGGGCCTCGGGTTCCATGGACAGGGAGTTGATGTGGCGCAGGGTCCAGCGGTTGATGTTGATGACGGAGTCGACGGTCGACCCGACGTGTATGTGGAACGTCTGCATGGCCGCGGCTGCGCGGCCGACCTTTTCAATGTAGCCATTGAGCTCCGACATCAGATCCTCGCTGCCCGCGCCTTCGCTCGTCTTGAGGAGCGATCTCAGATTCCGCGTGACCATCTCTGACTCCTTGAGTTCACGGGGCATAGCGAGCCCCTGGGTCATCTTGTCCAGCACGCTCTCAAAGCCCGATTGAACGTCCATGAGGCTCGTAAAGTCGATGAACGAGGCTGAAGCTGCACGGCCAGATGTTTCGACCTCAAAGAATGGCATCTGGAAGTTGGAAACGCTTGGAATGTCGTGTAGGGACTTGAGGGAGAAGGACTGGATTCTGTCGCGGGCGATGTCCAAGGAGATGCCATTGGTGTGGAATAGATATGCGGCCATGACGATTGCGGCGGGTATTGCCGTGTAACGCAAGACTCGTAGTAATCGGCCGGAGAAGCTGGACCTTGACGAGCTTGACGCGCCGTAGCTGCCATTGGCCTCGTTTTGCTGCTTCAGCAATTTGGCATACTCTCCCTCCGAGTCCCACCCTGGACGCGGATCGCCCTCGTCGCGCTGGAGATGCTCTTGCTCATCATCCCACACGCTGCCCTCCTCCGTATCCTCGTCGGCGGTTCTAGCGCTTCGCGACGCTTCGCTCGCGACGAGATTGTTGGCCTCGACGAGCGGCATGCGGAACTGCATGTCGGGCCGCGGATATGAGGTGCGCTGCGACGTGGCGACGCTCGAGGGGACGGTGGGCCGGAAGGGCTCCCGTAAGATGACGTCCTCCTCGTTCTGGAAGTTGGCAAAGTCGCGGATGCTGTCTTGCGACCCAAAGCCCGCGCTGTCCATGCTGCTCATGCTCTGCGAAAAGGACTGGGTGGGCAGCCCTGACGAGGGCACGGCGCTTGAGGGAGGGCTCAGCTCATCGTCGAGCGAAGGGTCGATGATGCTGGTGTCGAAGCTGTCGTTTTCGCCCTCGACGAGGCGCCACGAGCTCTCCGGGGGGATTTCGCGCCGCCGCGGTGGCATCTTTTCTGTCGGATGTTGGGAGGTCGGAAGAGGGAAGAGCCAGGTGATGGCGCGACCGTGGAGGTGCAGAAGACTTTGGCTGCGTCTTCTGGCCGGCTTGTCAAGATGAATTGGCGGTGTTGGTTCGAGGGATGGATGGACTGAATTTCAACCCTCCGTCTTCCGCCCACAAGCTCGAGATGCTATCGCAGACATAGGCCGAGGTCGGTCTAAGAGATGGCAATCTGGAGCCCGTGGAGGCGTGAATCGCGACGACGGGGATCGCAAGGTGGCGCGAGCGAGGCAGCAGTGGTTGCTTGATATTATAGCCTGGGAGCAGCACTTTGGACTTTGCGATGGATCGATGCTATCGGTTGACGTGATTTAAGCGGGATCGCGTCGCGGCGAGGAATGAGTCACACAGGCGAGTGAATGGCGAATGAGGAGACACGGCGAAGCAAGGCTGAAGCACGAGCAGAGGCATAAGCACAGGTCACGGCTAGGCAGATGCGGGTTTGTTCATCAATGGAGATGCGGGAGATGCTTTGTGGCGGGTGGATTTGCGGGTTGGTTGAAGCTGGTAAGAGGCAGCAGGGGAGTTGTTTATATGGAGCAATAGAGAGGGAGCTAGGCTGCATCAGAGGGGCGGGTCCCGCTGCTTTAGTGCCATCTGATGCTCAGGTAAGGCATGGAGTGTGTGGAGGGGCGACGGTGAGGGTACAAGTGATTCCGATTGCTGGAGCTGGATATGAGGAGGAGATGTTGCATACATACATGAAAAGAGACAAGGTGGATGGTATGCAGAGAATAGAGCATGTCGAGATATACAAGGTATCATCATGTGAGCCCAGATGAGGCAGCAGCTGATGAGGTACTGTATCTACTAAGAAGAGAGGGTATCGGTACCTCTCGAAGAGGTGCGACTACTCCAGCTGGGTCGTGATATAGCCCCAAAGAGATGAATGATTATGAGCTGTCGTGCTGACCTGTGGCCCGTTCAATTGCGTTTTGGTAAAGCAAATACTATGGATTTTAGATGAAATCGGGTGCACATCATAATTCTCAAGCACAACGCAAACAAGGAGATCAGAGTTACCGTGACATTTCTCCGTTCTGCAGAACTAAGAGAGCGCCGCATCACATGACAACTTGGAGCTTTTGACAATGCCTTGTCTCATCGTCGCACAACAGAAGGTACGTCAGGTACCTAGATGGTAGTGAAACAGTCAACAATGCAGACAATCATGGCCTCTCCCATCCCCAAGGTCAGTTGCATGTGCTTCGGCTCATCTCTGTTACTACTAGTACTTCCATTGTACATGTTGGTGCTAAATGACGGCTCGGGCCCCGGCCTATCACCGCGCAGATCCACGAGCCGAAGTCACCCCAGCTTTTAGACCTCGGCTCACTCAGCTCCCGTCCAGTCAGCTTCCATAGTCGCCATTTCAATTGCAGCACAATTTCAACCTCCCGCGATCCCCCAGTGCAGCATGCAATCTTGACACAACAACGACAAGAACCTGACCACTGTATAACCCGACTCCGATCCCGACCTCCAACCCTCGATGCCGATTCCATGAACGACTCGAGCTTCGTCCAAGCCCAGCAGCGCGTCGCTGCACGACGACAGGCCCGCGAGGTCGAACAACGAGCCCGGGTCGCGGCCCAGCGCGAGTCCTCCCGCGTCAACGCACAGCTGCAGCGTCTGCCCTATCCACTCAACCGCCTCGCCAATGCATGGGATGCCGCCTCCTCTATAGAGAGCGCCCGGCCTGCGTTTCGCGTGGCGCAGGTCGACGCCGAGCTGCTGGATGAAGAACTGCTGGATCTCCTCAAGGGGCAGGTTGGCGAGGCCCTCAAGTACTACGCCGGTGGACACCTCAAGGACGACTGGTCCGCCGAGATTTTGCTGGCGCTGAGGGCCATCCTGTTCAAGCTGACCGTCTGGGACAACGACGCCACCTACGGAGCCGCGCTGCAGAACCTCAAGTATACCGACGCCCGAAAAGGGGGCCCTGTGCTGGCACCACCGACGAAGCTACAAAAGTCGCTGTACGGTCTAGTCACAGTCTTTGGCAAATATGCCTGGAACAGATGGGAGGACTGGCTCGTGGATCAGGATGATGGGTACAGCGACCCCAGCCCTCGAGTACAAAGGCTGTCCCGGTTGACATCTGGACTGACCACGGTGCACTCCGCCGCGGCATGCGTCTCCTTTCTCGTATTTTTGTTCCGCGGACAGTACCGCACCGTCCTCGACCGCGTCCTGCGCATGCGGTTGGCGCCTCCTACGAGCCACGTTAGCCGTGAGGTCTCCTTTGAGTACCTCAACCGCCAGCTGGTATGGCACGCCTTTACCGAATTCCTGCTATTTGTGCTGCCCCTGATTGGCATCAACCGCTGGCGGCGGTGGCTCAGCCGCACCTGGCGGAAGACAAAGGAGATTATCAACACAAAACAAGGGGGCGATTCTGCCAACGGCGAGTACGGCTTCTTGCCCGAGAGGACCTGCGCCATCTGCTATCAGGACCAGAATGCCGCGGCGTCGTCAGAGTCCGAGATCATGGCGGCGGCAGCCTCCAGCGGCGTCATCGGGTCGGCGCAGACGGATGTCACGAATCCCTACGAGGCCATTCCCTGTGGGTGCATCTACTGCTTCGTGTGCATCGCAACACGGCTGGACCGGGAGGAGGGCGAGGGCTGGACGTGTCTGCGGTGTGGAGAGCACGTCAAAGAATGCAAGCCATGGAACGGCGACGTGCTCGAGCCGAGCCGCAAGTCAACGTCAACAAAATCGGTGGCGTTTTCAGATGATGTCGTTGGAGGGTCCGACGATGGATCGGTAATCTCGAGACAGGAAGGCGTGGGCGCTGAGGTGGTGAAGCGTTGATATGAGGAGGAAAGTCATGAAGCATAGAGTTATCGTACTTGATCTGACTTGTTAAAGTGGAGGGACCTGGGGTGCATATACTCAGCTGCGTTTTGGGAATTATTTGTATTGTACAGCATGCCTGTGTAAGGCTGATGGGATTTCTATCATGGAAAGTTTGGCAACCGGGAGTACAGCGTGAGTTTTCAGTATCTACTAGTTTCTTGGTAAGGTTATATATATAAAGCAGGCAAAAGGGCCATAATAGACAAAACGAAACAAAATCTCCGTCTGCATCAACTAGGAGCAGCGTGAGTTTGTATCATCTTGGTGATGGAGCCTTGAGCCAGATATTGGTAGTAGTCTACATAAGGGAGTTGAGGCATTCAGGTCATACAAAGGCTGAATAGGGCTGCCCTGGCCTATGTACCTCGCAGCCTAATAGCCCGAGCTGGGCGTTGCTGCCGCCCAGTAGCAGGCGCCGGTGATGTCATTCCCGCTACACCGCCCCTGTGCCTCCAGGTGGCTTTCAGGGGTCCTCTGGCGGCAACCGCGTCATTCTGCCGCAAATTTGCTTCGCCAGAGGGCACCGCATCTGCTGTGCGTCTGCTGTCAGTCTGCCGTGAACCTGCTGTAAATCTGCTGCAGCTGCTGCTGTAGCGCCGATTTTCTGACCCAACAAGCATTGGATCAACTAATCTCCAGCTCCAGCTGTGTCTCGGGGGTGTTAAGTTGCTGTGCATAGGTAGGTACAGTAGTAGCTCCAGCCTCTCACGTAGCCTCCAGTGGACATCTCCACGCACCAGCATCTCCCCCATCTCCAAGAGAACACACCAGAACGCCCGCGATCCGACCCCCATCATGCAGATGCAGGGATGCCCCTCTGCCCACGAGACCCTGCCGTAGGTCATTCCCACATGCTTTTTTTCTCCGCTGCTGGCCGCCCTTGTTCTCGCGCGAGTGTCGACGCCCCGATCTCGCATTCCGATCTGGCTACTGTTTGCATTTCTTGTCTTCCGAGCTCTCTCGCAGAGCCAGCTGCTTGTCTCAACCGTCTGTCCTGTCCTCTCTGTGTGTCTGTCTGTTCTGGCTCTCGTTTTCCTACACAAGTTGTAGACGAGACGGACGACAAAGGGCCGAGCAGCGCCCAGCTGTTCCGCCTCGCTTCTCTTGTCTAGTCTTGTCGCCCGTCGCTTGATTTTGTCTCGACGCACGCCCTTGCTTCTCGTCTGCAGCTTCATCTTTGTTTCAAGCTGTGTCTCTCTTTCTGCCCGCGGCCTAGCCATGCCCAGCTTCTTTCAATTCACCCAGGGCTCTGAATCGCGCGTCCGCCCTACAGACTCATCACCTCTGCTCGGCCGCTACCGAGCCGTGCCTCCTCGGCAGCGTCGACCCAGCAGCCCCCTAGGCCTTCTCTCCGCTCACTATGAAAATGGGCGCGACAGCATACATGTTGGTTACGGAGCGCTGATTGTGGCTGAGATTGAGGCCGGGCTTCTGGACGGTCGAGATGGCTCCAGTGCCGGTGACATGACCGACGATGGCGAGTCAAGATCGAGATGGGAGAGGCTGTGGCAGAGCTACTTCATCAACTTGTTTGTGAATCCGAGGCCGTCGGCCGTGAAGCGCGTCGTGGACAGGTGGTGGAGTCGATATGGGCTGCTTGTCTTCCTTCCTGCGGCGCTGGTATGTTTGTTTGTTTGCGTGTCTTGTTCTGTTGCTCTGCTGCTACCATCCCCAATGCTTGCGAGTGTGGGCGCATTTGCTCCCAGGCCTAATGCTGACACATGTGCTCATTCAGGCCGTTGCATGGTGTGCGGTGCCGTTCCCGCAGTACTCGATTCCGGACGAGGGCGACGATGGCGATATTGCGACTGGCCTCTGGCTGCGACTTACACAATCCGTGGCCACGTTCGACAGCAAGATCCCCGGTCACGGAGAGGCCCGCGTGCAGGTCAACTTTTGGTTCTTTCTCTTCGTCTACTACGGCTTCTATAACCTCAGCGCGCTGATTTGGATCACCAAAGTGTTTAATCTCTACAGCTTGAACTGGTATGCGACATGCGCTCCCGTTGCCTCCAGATCATTGGCGCTCAGCTGACAATAAATGTTTTGCTAGGTGGCCGCAGTCTTTTGGCTTCCCCGTGACGGTCTCTTTGCTCGCCGTCATTTCTCTTGCTGTTCCCATTCCCGTCTATTTTTCGCCTTCTACTCGCTTCCTCACAGCCCACAACACAGCCTGGGTATCATGGACCTTCATCGTCATGGCCATGCCAGTCGCCATCTCCTTTCTCATCCTCATGACAAACGAGCGCCACATCAAGCTACGGCACTCACTCTCAGAGACCCAGCGCATCTTTACGACTTCGTGGTGGACCGGGGAGCCTGACTCTTTTCCAAACAGACAGCGCCGGCGCCACGACCTCACCGACGACCTCTGGGAGCAAGAAGTTTTGAGGGTTCTGCCTCCGTCTGGCACGTCTAGGGTGGCGCTGCGACGAGGATGGCTGCCGGCAAGCTTTGTGAGGTTCTTGTGGTTCTGCGTAGCGCTCTTCATTGGGCTGATGGCCTATGTCCTCGGAGAGGCGTATGCCGAGATTTACCTCCGCACGTTGCCTCATAACAGTTTCGAAACTGTTGTGTACGTGTATGGATGGGTGGTGACTGTGCATTTGCTCGATGCTCTCACGGGCTGGGTGCTGGGCATCAAGGAAGGCGAGCGCGTTGGGAGTTATCCCTTGAGCTGGGTCTTTAAGCTGTTTGTCTCCCTTTACCAATTCATCCTCTTCTTCTTCGCACATTGGCCCGAGCCTTGGTTACTGAGTTGAATTGGAATCGACTTGCTAACATAATGACACAGCTACTTCATGTTGACATACCAGACCTACGTTCGAGCTCTATACGCCCGCCTCCGCTCCCCGTCCCAGTTCGTCATCCTTCAGATCCTCTCTTCCACGGGGCTAGTCATCATCACACCCATCATGATGACTCGCCTATTTCACAGAATCTTGACCATGCTAGGCCTTAGTGGGCTGACGTATGGCACGTATCAAAAGCTGCAAACTCGAAACCTCTTCATCCGCTTCCTGGCCGAGAACACGTCCATGGCCACCTTCCTGGGCAGCATCCTGGTGCTCCACTTTGGCGCCAACAAGGACGTGTACCCGTACTTTGCCTTTGATAAAGCCGAGGACGAGACGCTGCAGTACGACTTTAACCTCACCTTTTACGCTTCGATGGTGACGTGGGGGTGCGAGCTGGTTGCCAGTCTCGCCGTGCGGGGGCTGATTGCGCTCTTCTTTGGCATCGACGTTGGATTGGAGGGCAAGTTGGATCTGGCTGTTTGGCCGGAGCTTTTGCCCACCAGCGTGGCTGTCATGCTTCACGTTTTGCAGAATATGCTGTTTTCCATTATACGTTTGCAGTTTCGCACATGAAGAGCGAAAGAGAGGGAGAGAAGATGGTAGTTTTGCAGTTAGTCATTGGGGGAGAGTAGTAATCTTTGCGTCTTTTCGATTTGTCATTTTGTTGCTTTACATTCCGCGTTTTCCCTCCTCTCCTCTCATCTTCTCTCAACCCAACTGGTCTCTCCTTTCAATACTCCAAGGCTTGAACGTGCTTGAGCGTGCTTGACCGTCCTGATACCCCCCCTCGTTTACTTGCTATATTCAACATGGTTTTCTTGTCGTTATAGAGTTTTCTTGTTCTAGCATTAGATATCTACCTAGATACTCTTGCGAGTGCTAGCAATTTTCTTCGCAGTCAATGAATGAATGGAATTGTCCTTGAAAGGTGAACATATTAAGACGTAAGGTATATGGCAAAAAACGGAGTGCATCCGCCTCTTGGAAACTTGTTTCGTTTTTATTCGGGAATCGCCCATCTATCTAGTGCTTAAAAGTAACCGTCTTTGTCCTCACCCACTCGTCCAGCCCAATGGCCGAATTGAACCGCCCAAACCCGCTCGACTTGGTCCCTCCGTGCGGCAGAGCCGGTTCGTCGTGAACAGTCATGTCATTGATGTGCACGGCGCCGCTGTCAATCTCCCTCGCGAAACGCAGGCCCCTCCTCAGATCGTCGGTGAAGACGGCCGCCGTGAGGCCGTACTCGGAGTCGTTGGCGAGCGCCAGGGCCTGCGCCTCCGTCTCGACCTCGTGGAGGGAGACGGTCGGGCCAAAGGACTCGGTGGCATACAGGTCCATCTCGGGCGTCACGTCGCCGACGATGACGGGGCGCAGTTCCGTGCTGCCGCCGCGGGAAGACTCGTTGGCGTCGTCGTCGTCGTTGTGGACGTTGCCGAGGATTACGGTGGCGCCCTTTGCCGCGGCGTCTTGGACGAGCGCCTTGTTGCGCTTGACGGCCGCTTCGTTGATGAGCAACGGTGCGGGGCTGTCGGGCGGGAAGATTTCGTTGACGGCGGCGACGAGCTTCTCCTGGAACTGGGGTCGGACCTTGCTGTGGACGATGATCTTCTCGGTGGACATGCAGATCTGGCCGCCGTGGAGGAACGCGCCGATGGCGCACTGCTGGGCCGCGAGGTCCAGGTCCGCGTCCTCCCACACGATGGCCGGCGCCTTGCCGCCGAGCTCCAGGATGACGGGCTTGAGGTGCTCGCCGGCGAGCCGCCCGATGACGCGCCCGACGCCGGTGCTGCCCGTGAAGTTGATCTTTCTGACGTGGGGATTGGCGATGAGCGCCGTGGTGATCTCGGCTGCGGTGTCGCGGTCGTGGGCGATCATGTTGATGACTCCGCTGGGCACGCCCGCCTCGTGGAAGACGTATATGAGAGCCCTCATGCACGCGGGCGCGTGCTCCGAAGCTTTCAGGACGACGGTGTTGCCGGCGGCAGCTGGGCCGACTATGGAGCGGGTGGGCAGAATGTAGGGAGCGTTCCTGAGTCAAGCTGTGAGATGTGTGCTTTCTGCGGATTGCATGGATCAAAAGCCATGGTCGAAAACATACCATGGAGCCACGGACAGAACAACACCGTAGGGCTCTCGTAGCACGATACCGCTGCTGTTGGGGTCTGCCAGGGAAGGAAACGACCCTTCAATGGCAGAGATTCGGCTGGCAGCGTCTCGGATCAGCTCGGCCGCAGTCTTGATGTTGAAGAGAGCCCAGGGAAGAGAAGCCCCCGTCTCGTTTGCCATGACGTCGGCCAGCTCGCCGCCCTTCTGCTGGATCAAGTCGGCGGCCTTGAGGAAGATGTCACGGCGATACGCAGGTGACGTCCTTCTCCACGTCTTGAAGGCCGCAGCCGCCGCATCCACGGCCGCAGCGGCGTCCGAGACGGTGGCTGCACCGCATCGATGGGAGACTTTGCCGGTGACGGGGGATACGACGTCGAAGGATCGCTCTGGATGGTAGTCTTTGCCGTTGATGAAGAAGGGCACGACGTGCGCGTCCTTGGTGTCTCCCAGGAACATGTTGATATATGACGCGGCTTGGCTGCTGTGGAGAGTGGGAGGAGGATTGACTGGTATGAGAGCTAGCCAAACGGCGAAGCAAGCAAGCGATCTGATTGTTGACTATTCCAGCTCCTTCGCCTTGGCCAAACGCAGGTACTTATACCGTTGGAAGAGTACATCTGCATGCATAAAGAGGCCATGAATCCGTGCAGATTATTAACCGACGATCGAATTTGTCGGCATGGATAGTGAGTGATCTGCGCACTGGGTAACTTGATAGTCATGTTAAACAATGGCACCTTGATTTGTGCGGGGTCGGTTCCAGATGAGGCTCGACCACTAGGAACCTGAATAGCGTCGGCTCCAGAAGGCGGCACTGCAGCGTTCAAGCAACACAAGAGAAGCCGTGGTCGTCTCCCGAGGGCTTCAAGGGGTCTCGTGAGTAATGTCTTGGTGAGCATGAGGGCTGTTTGGAATCCCGGCACGGCCTGCGTCTCCCCGGCCAGAGATTATAAACCAGCCAAGCCAGCACCCTCATTAGTCAGAGTCTTTCGGGATAGAGGCCCAAATGTCGATATTTCCGACCGAGAGCTCATGGGTGAATCGTGAATAAATCCGAAGAATGGAAGAGATATCTGTTGCTTCACTTCCACTGCTCCAGCTTGTCGGGCTCCAGAAACGGCTGTGGCACTGCCATGGTGTTGATGCGAACGATTTCTGGTGGTAGCTTGTAAGCGACCCGATTCTAAGAAAGGACGTGAACAACGGCACTTACCAGGCTCCGGTACAGAGCCGGGAAGGGCAAATTGATCGTTGGATTTCGTCTTGGAAGAGTGCACGTAAATTCCGCGATCAGGGACCGGCTTCAGGACCCTTTTCACAGGCTGCTTTTCTGTCTTGCTGTCCGTCATGATGAATGCCGGACGTCCCCCAGACACAAAATGGCGTCTCGACAAAGTAGGTAGTATTGGTATGATGGACCGGGACAGAGCTGGGTGACAGAGAGTGAAGAGGAGTGGTCAATACCACATCAAAACGGTGAGGTAAGGATGACCAATGACCTATTTAAAGACCCAGGCAGAGAAAGAGAAGCTTATGTACAAAGTCTCCACGCTTCCTGGGGAGAACAGGATAGGGCGAGATCAGAAACCAGCAAGAAGCCAGCAATTGGTCCGAGACAGCTCGATCTGCCCAGATGGGGAAAGATGTCTCACGGTTCCGATTGGCGATAAGCTTATTCAGGTACAATGGAAGTCAATCTTTGATTGGCCTGGGGCGATGTCAGTCGGGAGTAAGGCCACGTTGGCTGATGAGACAGGGAGAGGAGATTCCCGGTTCGCCGCGGGAACTCGTTATAAGTGGAATACACGTCGAGATCCAAGGGTGAGCTCCGGTTGGCTGAGAACGGAGGGTTGCAGCAAGATCCACAAACAATCGACGCCAGAAGAAGAAGCCGAAGATGGCAGTAATGTCGAAGACGAAGTAGTAGGTAATCGTGCAATCCAGTTGTGATGTTGTAGTCAAGATAAGGTCGGCAGTCCATGGAGGGAATCAAGCGCTTACTTGTCCAGGTGAGATGTTGGGGCGGCTTTGAACGACCGACCGCTGTCTTAGGTAAGCCGTCCTCAACAGGCAGGGCATCTAAGTGCCGGCTGAAGCCTGACTAAGCACAGCGCATTTTGTATAATACATATTGCCATAGGACTTCTTATTTTGCGTCTTACATGAGGCGCGTTGCTTGGGAACAATCGTGGAAGCTAAAGTGCAGCTGTTCTCCTACGTACAATGCAGACAAGCAATCACACCAGCTGAGCTGTACTACTAAGGTAGAAAGGCAAAAAGGAAAGGGTCGCCCCATCCGCTAACATTATATGTACATGAGTAGTCTTACTTGGACAGTCATTAGTTACGACGCGCCGGTATGACTCTGTGCGGAAGCTGCACTCAGTATTACTCATCGTATTGTCTTGTCAATCTTTCATGTCATGGCTTTACTCACTTTATTATCCATATTCTGTGTTGCAAAGTAGAGAAACCAAGTACGACCGCAATTGCTCTCCTTGCAGTACCTGATACTATCCCCAAGGCTTAACAAACCAGAATCCCGTCTTTACAAACTCAGTAGCTCCGCTGCACAGTGGCATTAGTGGGCGTTAGTGCTGCACCTTGCCATGAGACCGACGCCCTCCACGGCCGACTGGCCAATCAGGGGCCACAACTGCTGCGGATGCCCACATTCGCAGTTTAGCAGTACCCCGCTCTTGAGACTCATTGACGAGCTTTGATTGGTTCAGCGCCGCAACCAGCCTTCTCACGTGATACCTGATACAGCATGTGGCCAATCAGAGTCTGCAAACCCCACTGTGGCTGGCCTTGTCTGGCTGAGTCTCCGCGCCTTGTGGACTTGGATGGCTTTTGGGGTGCAACGTCTTGGGGCTTTCCTGGGCCAATTCTGGGTTTCTTGGGACAAGGCCTGCAGCTGGACGGCAAGCACTTGCATACGGAGGCGCCAGTTGTATTACAGAGAACTTGGAATTCACCGGTGGCCGCGGCGGAATGTGATGTAGCTTGGTTCGCCTGAAGGATGAGAGTAGCTCGCAAGTACCTGGCGTGGGAGGTTGGCAACGTTGGCAATGAGAGGTAGGACACGGCAAGATGAGAAATACAACGTCTCTCACTTGTATGTATAGAAGGCGGGGTCAGCGGGACTGCGGCAAAAGCGGACAGGCAATCAAGAGGAATGGTATTCAGAGTCAGAGTTAGACTAGAGAAGAGAAGAAGAGAATGGAGTCATTCACGGTGCATTGCTGCCACGGACTTTGATCTTGATGTGACGGACGGAAGCAAATAGTCTGGATCCACGGAGTATTAGAAACCCAAGATCCAGCAGGTACGGAGTACTTCCGCGGTACTTGTACCTGCTCCCCCGGCCACACTTGACTCGACTTGGCAGCGCCGGCAGGTACCGTCCCAGCACGTCGACTTTACTTTTTGCCATGCCGCGTGCGGGTGCCCCAACTTGGCCGACTTTTTTTCCTCCGCCATCGCCAAAAAATTACGAGACATCAGTCATAGGCCCTCTCAGCATCATCGTCTGCGGCCCTCCGCTGTCGGCCCTCACCACCAACTGCTCCAGCATCATCCTCGCCAGCATTCGTCGTACCTACAGTATTCTGACCACCACCGCTGTTCCGCTGCAGCCTCGCGCGACCAGCACGGCTGCCGCAAAGCCGCCACTTGAGCTTCGGCTTGCTCCGTAGCCGCGACTCCCCTCAATCGTCCATCATCTATCCTCCGTCAGCCTCGCTCCAGCGTCGCCTGCACCAACCTGCTGCCAGGCACCATCTCTCGGCCAGCAGAGAGGCATACTCAGAGGCAAGCCAGAAACGGCCCAAGCGCAATAGTACAACGGCATGGATGGCTCACCGGGCGTCGGCCGCGGGGCGTCTTCGATGAGCCCGACCAGCCCTGCCAGCTCTCGCCAAGGCAATGGAATGCCCAAGCGCAAGAGGAGCGCTGGCATGGGCCTCGAGAGCAGCCCCGGCAGCATCAACGAAGACGACCACGGCGACCAGCACGACCACGGCGAGCACGACAAGAAGCGACAGCCCGGCGTCAAGCGGGCGTGCAACGAGTGTCGCCAGCAAAAGGTGCGTCAACCCCCCCGTCCTTGCGAGCCCGTCTCCCCGCCAAGCATGTTCTAGTCATACCAGATGTGTGCGAGAGAGAGAGGGAGAGAGAGAAAGAGAGAGCTGTTGCTGTTGCTATAGTCTGCACTCAGCCTTCTTCTGCTTTGCTCCCCTCTGTCCTGGCTTACCTTGCCATTCCTGGCTCTGCGCCGCCAATTGAATTGGGTTGTTCGTCCAGATGGCTAACCCGTGGTGTAATTGCTGCGCAACAGTTACGATGCAATGTCGTCCAGGAACCGTTCCAGAGCTGCTCGCGGTGCAACCGTCTGAAGCTCGAGTGCAAGATCGAATCCAACTTCAAGCGCATCGGCAAGCGATCCAAGCATGCCGAGATGGAAAAGGAGATTGACCGACTGCGGCGTAACATCGCCCGCGCCCAGGCTCAGGGCTACATCCTCGAAGACGACGAAACACTCAATTCTCCAATGGCGCCCAGCACTGCGACCTACACACACACGCGAAACCCTTCTCTGATGGGCTCCGACGAGGCCGTTTCCTCGCTGCTCCACCTCAAGAGAGGCGGCTCGTATAGCATGCCGCGCTTCTCTCACGAGTTGGAGGGGGTCCAGTTGACAGACGAAGCAGTCACCCACCTCTTCAACGAATTCTTTGCCTTCTACCATCCTTTCCTTCCCTTCCTCAACCCCCAGCAATCTCCGGACCAATATCATCAACAGCACCCTCTCCTTTTCTGGTCCATTGTCGCTGTTGCTGCGCGTCGATTCAGCCCTGCCAACTCCCCCAACCTCATCTCGAACCTGTCTGGGCCCCTTACTCGATTCTTGTGGACCACCATCGGCGAGGTACCGAGCAATTACTATGTCGTCAAGGCCATGTGCCTGCTCTGTGCCTGGCCGCTGCCCACCAGCACGACCACGTCGGATCCGACTCACATCCTCTGCGGTGTCATGATGAAGACGGCCACTGGCATTGGGCTGCATCGCCCCAACCACATCCAGGACTTCTCGAGAACGTCGGTCGATCTCAACAAGGAGCAGCTTGCCGACCGTGTCACCACGTGGGCCGTGTGCAACATTGTGGCGCAAAACATCGGCACTGGCTACGGCCAACCGGCTTCTTCGTTGTACGACTGGACGCTGGCCCTCCGCCCCGGCGACGATCCGGCGCTGCATCTGTCTCCTGAGCTGGAGGCCCGTCTTCAAATCGAAAGATTCTGCGACAAGGTTTCCAAGGAAATGTATAGCAACGCGAGTGATCCCAGAGGCGTTGCCGGTGACGAACACAGGGCAATGCTCATGCGCGTATACCGACGCGAGTATTCGGAATTGTACGCTTCCATCATGTCTCAGCAGCTGGGCCCCGTTGTCAACCTCCATTTGCGTGCTGCCGCCCTCCATATGAGGCTGGCCGGCTTCTTCGACTCCAGCAAGACACCGGGTTACCTGGACGACCTGATGGGCTTGTGGCGGGCGACAGTCAGCTTCCTGGATGACCTCCTGGAAGTGGACAAGGTAACCTCTCCGCACGACAACATTGGAGGCACCTTTCTGCTGTACGCCACCAACTACATCCAGCAGATGCTAGTCGCCGCTGCCTTTACCCTGCTCAAGCTGATGCGGTCCTTCTTCTCCAAGACGATTGACTTCCAGCGCGGGCGAAACCTCTTCCACCGTTCCATCCAGGCCATCCGTGCCACCAGTGTGGTTACCAATGACTTGCAGTGGCGTTTGGCCGAGCTAATGGTGCAGATGTGGAACGGCGCCCGTTTGGATCAGAAGAACTACAACCAGGAAGACGACTCGCCCATCCAAGTCGACGACAGCCTGCAGCTCAAAGTACGATGTCGCCACAGCATGAGCCTTGTTTTCGACTCCGTTTGGCGATGGAGAGAGGAGTATCAAGCTTTGGGCAGAGGATCGCTCGAAGGTAAGCGATACATGTCGGCCTGTGGGTACACCAGCTGCAATTCAAACCTGCAGGATTCCTCCCCCTTTCTTATCTTCCTTCCCACTTCTTTCCACATCGGAATCGAGGGGTTGTGTTGTTGAGTAGTAGAGCAGAAAAGCTAACCTTGCGTCGTTTCCTACAGCCGCCCTGAAGCATCCTACAAATCCGGATTCGGCCAATGAGTCCTCGGCCGCGTCTTCGCAACTTGACAGCACGTTGATGCCATCACACAGTCTCCCCACGTCCAACAACATGCTCACTGCGAATGGTGTACTAACACCAGGCGCCCCAGGCTTGTCTGCCCCTGCAACCGG